GGCAGGGGCGTGGCAGGGGCGTGGCAGGGGCGTGGCAGGGGCGTGGCAGGGGCGTGTCTTGGGGCGCTGTCTCGGGCGGGTGCGGGGGTGGCGGGGCGGCGGCGTGCTCGTGCGGCAGCGCGCGCATCAGGAACTTGAGCTCCTGGGGGAAGGGGGTGGGCTCGGTGACGAGAGGATGGTGGGCAGCTCTCGGAGCGGCGGCGGTTGGGGGTCCTGGCCGAGGTGGAGAGGGCGGAGGACGAGGGGGGAGGAGTCGGGCACGCGCGGGTTGGAGAAGAGGGCGAGCAGCTCCGCATGCCTACGGGACACGTCCGAGACACGTCCGGGCGGAGGCCGGGCTGCAGCCGAGGACGAGCTGCTCGGCGAGTGCTTGCGCTGCAGCATGCCGATGCGCGTGTGCTGCTTCGAGACGCGGGCGTGGAGGACGTAGCTGTTGATGAAGCACTGCCGCTCGTGCTGGTCGCGCATCCGCGCGGCGCAGAGCAGCAGGAGGAGCGCCAACCCTACGGCGCGTGTCACGGGCGCGTGTCACGGGCGCGTCGCGGACGGCGCGCAGCAGCTGCAGCGGCCGCAGCGGCTGCAGCGGGTGCAGCAGCAGCGGCGGCGGCGCGGCGCCTGCGGAGAGAATGCAGTCGACGACCATGCGCGACGAGGCGTCCTCGTCCCGGCCCAGCTGCAGCCCCGCCGGAGGTCCGAGCACGAGCGAGGGCAAGCGCCACTCGCCCCGCCCCGCCCTCCTCCACCAGCGGGCCTGCAGCGCGAGGCTTCCCGCGAGGTACGTGGCGAGCTGGAGGGCGAGGCAGGCGCACACGTGCGGCAGGTCGAGGGCGAAGAAGAGGGCGCTGCACGCCATCGCCGCGATCAGCCACAGCAGCTGCCACACCGAGTTTGCGTCCTTGTCGCACGCCTCCCACGCGCCGTCCGGCTCGACCGCGTCTGCAGACAGGACCGAGCCGTACGCGCAGCAGGCGGCGACGACGGCGGCGAGGCGCCACCAGCGGCGCGTCGCGCGGAGCCGGCACAGCAGGCTGCCCACCACCAGCAGCGCCACCGGCGCGGCCGTCCGCAGCGCCACGAACGAGGCGGGCCGCTGGTTGACGACAGCGTCGTACACCGTCGACAGGCCGAGGAGGACGGCTGCGACGGCGAGGCGGCGGGAGACGCTGCACCGCCGGTACTGCGAGATGAAGAGCTGGTACTCCTCCTCCGCCCGCCCCACGAACCGGTTCGACCAGTACCGCTGCCCGAGCAGTGCGGTGCGCACGCGCCGGTTGACGTCGCGGGCGAGCGCGCCGCGCGCGGCGCTCGTCTCGACGTCGACCGGGTCGTGCAGCCGGCGCGTGATCGAGTGGAGCAGGGAGCGGCGCCTGGGCGTGTGGTCGTGCCGCCGCCTCGGGTTGGAAAGCTCGCGCTCAATGACCGAGAACTGGCTCATTGTTGGCTCGAGCTCGATGGTGTGCGCCCGCCGAGTCGCGCGGTGCTCCTGGTAGCGCGAGAAGCCGGTGACGCGGTTGTCGCGCGAGGAGAGGCCGAAGCTCTCCTGCTCCGTCGACACGGAGCAGCCAGGGGAAGCCATTCTAAACGGGGCGGGCGGAATGCGCCGCGGAATGCGCCCAGGAAGGTCGTTAACAAAAGAAAAAAGCGCGAAAACGTTCGCGAGCAAAACTAAAAAAGAAATAGACCGGAAGTTACCAGGAAGGCGGCTGCCGCTCGCGGGCTGTGCGGCCAAACGCGAATATACACACATATGCTTATCCTCTCGGCCGCCTCCAGCGCCTTCGCGCTCCACTCCGCTGCGGGTCCTCGGCCGCGGCTGCCCGTGGCGCCTCGCGCCTCGCCGCCGGCCGCCGTCCAGACCCTCGTAGAGCCGAGCCCGTTCACGACTCTGCTGCCGAGCCGCACTCTGACGTGCAGCACACTGCTACGCCGCCTCTTTGTCGAGCCGGAGACGAGCTTTTCTCCCGCCGCGGTGGCGGCAGCCTGCAGCGAAGATGTCGAGTGGGTGGATATGGACCTGACCGAGCCGATTCGCGGCAGGGAGGCGGTCGAGCGGCACCTGCGAGCAAAGTGGCCTCTCGGCAGCCTGCTCAAGGTGGAGCGGCTCTCTGACGGGGCCTCGTCCGGCGGCTTCACCTGGCACCGCGAGGCGGACGGCGTGTCTGGCTCGGGCCTGCGCGGTGTCACCTACTTCGAGCTGAACGGAGAGGGCGAACTAGCCTACGTGCAGGAGGGGTCGGAGCCGCTCTTCAAGCTGGACACCATCCTCGAAGCCTTCCTCACGGCCGCAAACGCGAACCGGCAGGACGAGGCCAAGCCGCCCCGCAGCTACGAGCGGCAGACGCCGACCACCGCGAGCGGCATCGCTCGCTACCTGTGGGAGGTGAGACGAGCGGCTCCCCGCGCCACCGCCACTGCTGCCTCCTCGCACCACCCCGCGCCAGCTCTCTCCCTCGAGTGCGCACGCCACCGAGCGCTGGTACTGGTGCTGGTACTGGTCGCCTGCCCGATGCACGAGGATCAAGCAGCTGACTCGCGGTGCACATCGATGTGCGCAGGTCGCCTACCCGGGCGGAGCGACGCCGAGCGAGGCGCACACACTCCACATCTCTCCCCTCCTTGGCGGAGCAAGCTCCTCCTTGGCGGAGCGGGCCTGGCGCGCAGCCCCTCCCCCACCGCCGCTCCTTCCTTGCTCCAGGCCCTCTCCTTCTTCTCGGACGAGGTCGTTTACGAGGACTTCAACTACCGCGAGCCCTTCGTCGGGCTGCAGGCCGTCTCCGCCTACATCTCCCTGCTCGACGCCTTCCCCCAGTTCACCTTCCTCCCCGAGCGGATCTCCGACGGGGACACCGGCGTCTGCATCACGTGGCGGTGCGAGGTCAACGGAGAGCCGGGCCCCTCCGGCATCTCGTTCAACCAGGTCGACAAGAGCGGGAAGATCTGCTTCGCGAGAGACATCCCCGCGCCGTCCATCAAGCCGCCGCCCCTCGCCGCCGTCGCAGCCAGGCTCAGCCCTCAGCTCCGCACCTTCCAGCCTCGCGCACCCCTCCCGTCGGTTGCGCCGCCGCCGCCGACGGCCCTCGACACGCTCGCGGCCCGCCCTGCCCGCGCCGCGATCGCCCTCGCCTGGTTCAGCTTCAGCGCCTACGTCGCCCTCGCCTCGCCGGGAGAGTTTAGCGTCTCGGCCGACTCGTTCGACAACCAGCTCATCGCCAAGGTGAGACTCGGGCCCGGACACCCGTCCGCCAGCCGCCCTCACTCCCTTCGCAGCTTTGACCAGTGCCGCCGCCTTTTCGTTCGCTGCCTCGCGCACGGTCTGCCTCCATGCTACAGGCGATCGACGACCCGACCAGCCTCAACCCGATCTTCTTCGCCGTGTTCAACGCGCTCGGCGTCCTGCCTGGCACACACACGCCCCCTCCCTCCCCTCCTCCGCCACCTCCCTCCCCTCCTCCGCCACACCGGGACCGTGACCCCGCGACACGTCCGGACGTCCCTGACACGTCCCTGACACGTCCCTGACACGTCCCTGACACGTCCCTGACACGTCCCTGACACGTCCCTGACACGTCCCTGACACGTCGCGCAGGCATCAACGCCGCCCTCCTCCTCCCGGGTGCCAAGGGGCAGCGCCCCCTCCCCGCCGCCCCCTTCGTCTCCGCCGCCTTCTTCCTCGGCTTTGGCGCCGCCGGCCCATACCTCGCGCTGCGGCAGCCTCGCCCGGACCCCGTCGGCAGGTCGGAGCTCGGCTTCTTCGCGCGGTACGTGACTGAGTCGCGCCTCTACGGCGGCGGCCTCCTCGCGGCGGGCGCCGTCCTGCTGTACGGCCTCCTCTCCATGGCCGACCCCGCCGCCGCCCTCTCCGACTACGCTGAGCTCTTCGGCTCCTCCAAACTTGTGCACGTCTCGTCGATCGACCTGCTCGTCCTCTCCGCCTTCGCATTCGAGCCCATCCGCGAGGACATGGCGCGCCGCGGCTGGTGGGACGAGGCGGCGGAGGGCACCAACAACCTCGCCCGGCTCCTCGCCTTCAGCCTCGTCCCCGTCCTCGGACCCGCCGCCTACCTCGTCCTCCGGCCGGACCTGCCCGAGGAGCGGGCGTGACCGACGCGGGCGGCGGCGGCAGAACTTGTACGGGTAGTGCACTTGGACGCGGGTGGCGCAGCGGGAGGCAGAAGATTTCGGAAAGACTTGCACTTGGAGCACTTGGAGTGCAGTTATCAACCTCACATCCAGGGCCGGAGAGCTGAGCCCCGAAGTAATTCTTTTTTGCTTGAGCAGTGTTGTTGCCTGGGTGGCGCTATGCGCTTGCTACTGCTGCTGGGGTGTTTTGCTCTTTGCGCGTGCCGGTCTCACGTCGGCGCACCCTTCCGTCGCGGCGCGCGTGCCGTGTGGGCGCTGCGCGGAGGGAGCGGCGAGTGGACCGCGCACTCAGCCGAGGACGGCCAGACCTACTATTTCAACGCCGTCACGGGTGAGTCGTCCTGGGAGCTCCCGCCAGGCGCATCCGTCCCGTCCGGTGGGGCTGCGGACTTCCTTGGAGGCTGGAGCGCCCACACCACAGACGACGGGCAGATTTACTACTACAATGCGGAGACGGATGAGTCCACGTGGGACCCGCCTCCGGGCTTTGAGGCTGGTGGCTTCGAGACGGCCGGCGGCGGGCAGGCCGACGAGCCGGCCGCTGCGGCGCCCGCCGGGACGGATGCCGATGCTGTTTTTGGCGACAGCGCCGGCGACGCGGCGGGGCGCGGAGACGTCGGAGAGGAAGGGGGTGAGACTGGCATCGCCGCCGCCGAGACCGCGGGACCCTCTGCCGCCGCAGACGCCACCACGGCTGCGAGCGTCGAGGATCTCGCTGCCGGCGAGGCTGCGCTCACGGGTGGTGGTGCGATGCTGGCCGTCGAGCCGTCCCCAACGGGCGATGGCGGCGGCTCCTCAGCCGAAGAAGAAGCCGAAGAGCCTGCGTCGACTGCTGGCGGCGCGACAGAGGTCGGCGATCCGCCGTCCGCCGAAAAGGCGGCGGCGGAGAAGATGGCGGCCGAGCTTCCGGCGCAGCTCGGCGAGGGGGAGGCGCAGGCGGAACGGGCGGCGGCGGAGGCGCCGCCGGGTGAAGCTGCTGGCGCGGGGCCTGAGCGGAGGAGGGGCTGGAGCTGGTTTGCATGGTGCTGCGGGGGCGAGGCGGAGGAAGAGGCCGCAGAGGAGGCGGTCGGGGAGCCGGCGCCGAGGGCGGACGGGCGGCTGGGCGCCCCTGCGGCGGTCGGTCGGGAGTCGGAGGGGCGCGGCGAGCGCAAGGTGGCGCGGCTCGAGCAGCGGCAGTGACCTCCTTAAGCACTCCTCATGCGTCTTGACCTCGCTTGCCAGGTCGCGCGGCTCAAGTCTCAGCTCGAGGCGGAGCGAGCCGCCGCCGCTGCCCTCCGCTCGGCAAGTGCAGAGGCGCAGGCGCGGCTCGAGCGGCTGACTGCGTCCGAGGTTGCCGTCGGTGCGGCGGGCGAGGGAGTGGGGCGAGGAGTGCGGCACGGTGGGGCCGTCTCTGTAGGCGCGGCTCGAGGAGAGGCTGGTGGAGGCGGCTGCGGCGCTGGCGGCGGCCGAGGAGCGGGCTGGCTCGGCGGAGGCGAGACGAGCCGAGAGTGGCCGAGCGTGGCCGAGACGCGACACGTCCCTGACACGTCCCTGGACACGTCCCTGACCACGTCCCTGACCCTGGACTCCGACGTGCTTTGCAGGAGAGGGCGGCGGCGGAGGCTGCTCGGCTCGAGGCTGCGGAGGCGGCCGCCGCTGATGCTTCCGCGCGCTCTAGCTCTGAGCTCGCCGCGGCCAGGGCGGCGGCGGAGGCGGCGGAGGCGGCGGCGGCGCAAGCGGCAGCGGAGGCGGCGGCGGAGGCGGCGGAGGCGGCGGCGGCGGCGGCGGCGCAGCTCGAGTCGGAGGCAGCGAGCAGGCGAGAGGAGGGGGAGAGGCGGGCGGCGGAGCTCGACGCGGCGCGGAGGGAGGCGGAGGCGGGCTCGGAGCGGGTCGCTGCTCTCGAGTCGTCTCTCGCCGCGGCGGAGCGGGCGCGCGGCGAAGAGGCGGTGCGGGCGGGCGCGGCGGAGGAGGCGGCGGCCGCGACAGCCACGGCGGCCGAGGCGGCGGCGGCCGAGGCAGCCGCTGCTGCGGCCGCGGCGGCGGCCGAGGCGGCTGCGCTGAGTGCGCGTGCTGCGAGCGCCGAGGGCGCCGCTTCCGCCGCCGGCTCTGAGGCGGAGTCTGCTCGCGAGGCGTGCCGTGTGCTCGAGGAAGAGGTGGCCCGCGCCGCGGCAGAGGCGGAGGCGGCGGCGGCGGCCGTGTCTCGCGCGAGCGGCCAGCGCGACGCTGCGGAGGAGGCGGCGGCGAGGGCAGCGGCGCAGGCGGAGGAGGCGCGCTCCGGGCTCGAGGCGGCGCGGCGCGATTGGCGCGTCGAGCGAGACGCGCTCTCCGCCTCTCGCGACGAGGCGGAGGACGCGATGCGGCGGGCGAGTGCCGCGGCCGCGGTGGCTGCCCTGCGCATCGAGGCGGGCGTGCTCGGAGTGCAGGCGGCCGCCCTGCGCAGGTACGCAGGCGCCTACGTGAGCCGACGCCACCGCTCGGCAGCGGCGACCGCCGGCTTCCGCGAGCTCTGCGCGCTGATGCCGCACTTGAGCGAGGCGGTCTGCGCCGGCGTGGCGCCCGACTCGGAGCCGGCTGCCTCGCTCTTCGAGGGCCGCGCCGTCGTCGCTCGCAGCTGGCGCAGGCTCGCCGCGATCGTGCGGCCACTTCCGCCCGAGTGGCGGCTCGCGTCCAAGGCGGCCGCCGCTCTGGTGACGGCGTGCGAGGGCCACGCCGAGGCGGCCGCAGCACTCTCCGACAGCATCGACCCGGCGGGCGCCCCGTTAGGGAGGACGCCGGCGGTGAGCCCACACCGTGCGGCGGCTTGCGCGGCGCGGGCGGTCGACACGGTCGCGGCGGAGCTGCAAGGCTCGCTGTTGGCGCCGGGGCGTGCAGTCGAGTGGCTCGTGAGCGCTGGCGCACTGGCCGCGCGACTGCCCCAGCCCGAGCCCGCCGATTGACGCTCGCGTTGATCGGAGAGGGGACCGCTGTCCGTATCTCAAGAAAATCTCATGACGGCGCGCACAGTGTTCCAAGCACGAAGGCCTTCACCGATCACCGTGTAGCCGCCTTCGGATATGTGATGATGCGCGCCCCGCCTCGCAGCAATTGCTGCGCCGCCCTCGAGCCCCCGCGGCCCGCGCCCGCGCCACGTGCTCTCGTCCGGTCAATTATCCTTTGAAATCATGAAGAAATGAAAGCTCTGATGACTGCAGCGCATCTCCCTCTGGCAGAGTGAACTCTGTAAATTCTCCGGGCGGTGGGGGGGCGCTCGATGCGAGATCCACACACATTACGGGGTGTGTGGAGGGGGGTGAGTTGACGACCGCCAGGGGTTGTGCGCTGGGCCCTCCTGCTCGGCTCCAGCCAGTAGACAAGTCTTGTCATCAACAGAGTAGATGGATCTGACCTCAGGGCCGATGTGACCAAGCGCTGGTAGCGTGGTTTTACCTTGACACCCATGGTCTCACAGTGTGCCGGCAGGCGCCGAGCAGTGTCGCTCACACAAGCCGCAGCACAAGAGTGACCGAGGGCCAGTGAGGGCGAGCCCATCGCTGTAACAGCTGTGGCAGCCGCACAGTAGGCTGTGCCAACTGTGCAGAGCGTGTGAGCAGCAGAGGAGCTGCTCTCCAGGCTTCTGTCTCGCAAAGAGCTGCATGCCACCGAAGGCGCTGTCGAGGTTCGCCGAGCGCGGCGCAGTCGGGGGAAGCCGCCACCGACGAGCGCAGAGCGCTGGTCGGATTCACTCGCCGCGGGTACACGAACCATAGTCGTGGCCGTGTCCCCGTCTTAGCGGCGAGGCGCGGGACCGTCTGTGGCGGAGTGGATCTAAGTGGGTCGCGTCGACTGACTGCACTCCTACTCCGTACTCCAAGTGCTCCTGTCCTCTCCAGCATCCACACCCTCTACGCGTACCACGGCCGGGGTCCACCGCATACCGAGATGATGTGATGATTTTTTGAGATATATATATCTTTCTCTGCGGGACGGGGAATAGGTCGCTCTGTGCGCCTTGTTGTGTGCGGTTTGGATCTCGATCTGAGTCTGACTCGTCTGTCCGTCGCTCTCGCCCCGCGTTCCCCCCGAAGTCGTCGTCGCACACACCACTGCCGGCATACGCCTCCGACGTCCGGCTGCGCGGCGGACGTCGGCGGGCGATGGCCAGAGGCAGCAGCGGCTCTCCGGCCTCTCCCTCTGTCAGTTAACTCGTAGCATGCTGTGCGACCCTAGCTCTCGCCACAGAGAGGATGTCTGCCGCCGAGGGCCGGTGAGATGGCTCGAGCTGCAGCATTGCGTCGACGAGCTGGCCCATCTCGGACGAATAGCCGGCGGGCAGCGGCTCAAATTGACGCGACATGATTCTTCGACCGAGCATGTAGAAGTTGATGCCCTGCTGGAAGAAGGGCGAGCGGAGCGCCGCCACCTCATAAAAGAGGCAGCCGAGCGACCAGATGTCGCTCTTGAAGTCATAACCTCCGCCCTGCATGCACCTGCGTCCAAAGGAGTGGGCAGGAATCACCCAGGTGCGCGCGCCACCTCCACCTCCCATCCGCCCCGCCGTGTGCAGAGCTGGGCTCACTCTGGTGACATGTAGAATGGTGTCCCGACATTGGAGTGCGTCTGCTCCGTCTTGGAGGAGAAGTAGCGCCCGAGTCCCAGGTCGCCGAGCTTCATAACGTTGGGTGCCGTTAGGAACACATTCGCCTGTCGCCAGATCAATCCGGTTCAAACTACGTTGGGTGCGGGTGGGAGCGGCTGAGGCCCAAGCTCGCCGGCTTAATGTCACGGTGCATCACGCGCCGCTCGTGCATGAAGCTGAGCGCGTCAGAGATCTGCATGACGGCCTGCCACGCGGCCGCCTCGCCCAACTGCGCCCCCTCCTGGACGGTCTGCTTGATGAGGCCGGCCAGGTCGCCGAGCTCCGCAGCCTCCATGGCAATAGTGAGCTCGTTGTCCTAAGACGACGCCCTTTGGTTTGTTGGGGTCGAGGACTGGCTGGCAGCGACCTCCAGTGTGCAGGCGCCTCGAGAACGCAGTCAAGGTAGGAGATGATGTGAGGGTGCTGGAGGGTGCGAAGGAGCTCGATCTCGTTCATGCATTCGGATCGCTCCTTGGACCCCATCTCGAACACCTGGATCTTCTTCAGGACCACGAGCCGCTGATCCACTCGCCTGGGGTTTCAGATCCGAGTGGCATCGACGACAGCGCACGGAGAGCAGAGCTAGATTGGGTTGTGCATCACCTGCGAGCGCGATGCACCACAGAGAGCTTGCCTCGACCAATCAGCTGCGCGTGATCAATGTCGTACTTCTGGTTGAGCGCCGTCGCCGCAGCGAAGCGCTCCATGGTATCTGCTGTGTCGCGCCCGTCCCGGGCCGTTGACACGCGTTTTATTATTAGTTTAGGTATCCGTGAATGACCTGGCTCGACGCCTCGCTTCGCCGAGGTCGTCGCGGCGTGTGAGCGCCCTCCCAGGCCGCCTGCTGATCTCGAGCGCGGCTGGCGCACGCCTCGGCCTCCGCCGCACCCCACCGCGTGGCGGAAACGAGCCGCGGCGGCCACGGAAGAAAGCGTCGCCTTGGCTCGACGTGGTGTCGCTCGCAGCTGCTCTCGCCGACGGTGAGCCTGGCTGCCCAAGCACTGTGAGCCGACCGGATGTGAGGCAGCACTCGCGCTGAGCCGCTCGAGCTGTCGCAGGCGTGCACGAGTCGGCACGGGCTCCTTTCTCTGCGCTGGCGGACGCTGTTTGGCGCTGCACGAGCAGTGCGTGCACGCGCGACGCGTCGCGTGTGCACTCAGCGTGCCGAGCCGGCGCCTGTTGTTCTATCACGGCGCCGCTGCACCACCCGCAACCGACTCCCGCTGCGGAGGGCGGCGCACTCCGCTCTAGGTGGCACGCTCTCGGTGGCACGCTCTCGGTGGCACGCTCTCTTTGGCTCGCCGAGCAGCATATCGCCACCACCGCTGGATCCGTGCGACAGGTGTGTGCGCATCGCAGCTGCCGAGGGCTAACATGTCCACGCCCCCCTCAACGTGTGGTCAGGAGCGAGTGGCGACACACTCGCTGTCAATACAAGTCAGGCAGCTGGCCTCGAGCAGTTCGAGCCAGCCTCGACCGAGTGTCGCGCGTTGAGGGAGGCGGCGCATGCTGCCGCTGGCGCCTCCATCGCCACGAGCCTCGCGGCGGTCGCGACGCACCTTGCGGCGTCTCTCGGGGTCATTTCTACGGCGTGCGACGCCGTGTGAGGTCGCCGGCGGCCCGCATCTCTGCCGCCGTCGCTCCGCCGGCTGTGACCGAGTTTCGGGCGTTGAGGGAGGCGACGCATGCTGGCGCCGGCGCCTCCATCGCCACGAGCCTCGCGGCGGCGGTCGCGACACACCCAGCTGCGTCTCTCGGGGCTACCTCTACGGCGCTTGGCGCCGTGTGAGGTCGCCAGCGGCCCGCATCTCTGCCGCTGTCGCTCCCCCGGCTGTGACCGAGTGTCGGGCGTTGAGGGAGGCGGCGCATGCTGCCGCCGGCGCCTCCATCGCCACGAGCCTCGCGGCGGCGGTCGCGACGCACCTTGCGGCGTCTCTCGGGGCTACCTCTACGGCGTGCGACGCCGTGTGAGGTCGCCGGCGGCCCGCATCTCTGCCGCCGTCGCTCCGCCGGCTGTGACCGAGTTTCGGGCGTTGAGGGAGGCGGCGCATGCTGGCGCCGGCGCCTCCATCGCCACGAGCCTCGCGGCGGCGGTCGCGACACGCCCAGTCGTGAGTAATCCCACACTCCGCACGTAGCACTGCTCGTTTTCACTTTTGGCGTGTGCGGCATTGCAAAGCACTGGCCTGGCTGTGTGGCTGGAGCCTGGAGCGTACTCAGGTCGTACTAGTACTTGTGTCTACGCGTGTCACCATTCTTGCAAAACACAGACTGCACTCCTTGCTCACTTCTTCCTCCCCTTCTTAGGCTCCGGATTCGGCGGTGCCGATGACTTCCGCTTCGCGCCACGCGGGCCGCCGCCGGCTTCGACGACGAGGACAGGCCCTCTCTGGTGCGCTACCCGTGTCCGGGTGGGTTGCACTGACCACTGTCATGTCAGGCATGCTACATGGCCCCTGGAGACTGCCTTGCAGCTGGAGGCTGGCTGGGGACCCTACCTAAGCTCCACAGAAGGCCTGGAGGCTCTTCCCGGCCTGCCCCGAGAGACCGGCTAGGGGAGCCGTGCCGGCACCAACTTTAGCCGTGAATATATCCAGATCCCCCCATGAAACAAAGACCAAACTTCTCCCACATGGCCATTAGGACCCAGTAACTAAAATATGTTGGGCAGGGCAATTTGTTATGGGCAGAAAAAGAATGGTGGCAGTGGCCCACTATGGCCCACTAGGTGATTCACGGGTATGTTGTTGTAGCTATTGCTGGCAAAACAAGACACAGGGCAAAACAAGACACAGAGCTCACACAGAATCACAGAGGAAAGCGGCGAGTCGAATTCCTTTTATCATTAGGTTTGTTCTTAGCAGATCAAGACACAGAGCTCACACAAAGTCATTTTCAGGGGGTTTCTGGTTCGAACAGTGAAATTCTTTTCCCGCGAGTAGGATCGCGGTGCGCGCATTGCCGTCTGACAACGTTGGCCGCGACACGCTCACCGTGATGTGTAGAGCGGCGGACATACAGCCCATACAGCCGGAGTCGAGCGTGGCCATCCCAGCCGCCCCGTCGCATACTGTGGCGCCTCCGCGGCGGCGGCGGCGGCGGCTGTCAAAGAATGCTCGAGTACTATTGCTCGCTGGCATCCTCTTCTCCTTCATCACCGTCACGCAGTACGTGGCAGCGCTCGCTGCACATTCGCTTGCGCTGGCCGTCGACTGCGCGTCCATGCTCGCCGACACCATCTCATATTCCGGCAACTTGCTCGCCGAATGCGCACCTGCCCGGCTCAAGCAGCGGCTGGAGCTGGTGATGTCTGCCATTTCGCTGCTCCTGCTCTTCTCGTTCACGCTCTTCTTCGGGCTCCATGCCATCAGCAACCTCGACGTCGGCACTCCAGTCAAGCAGCAGCACGTCGATGCCACCATAATCCTCGTCTTTGCGCTGCTCGGCAGCCTCTCTCCTGGCCGCACAGGGGCGCTCCTTCTTGTCTTGAGGAGAGAGGCGCCTGCCTGTAGGCATCGCCTTCGACGTGGCGTCGCTGCTCGCCTTCAAGGCACCCCATACCACCCCTCCTGCTTGAGTCATCCTCCCCACCTCCTCCCCACCTCCCTCACCGCTGCTCCGCCTTCTACTATAGCACGCCTCCTCCCACACACCTCCCCGCCACCTCCCTTACCGCTGCTTGCCACCACCTCGCCACCTCCCCGCCCCTCAAGGTGTGGCACTGGGACGAGGCCCACGGAGCCGCGCCCAAGGCGGCGGCCAGGACGGCGGCGCACGCGGCGCGCGAGGCTCCTGCAGCGCCCGTCGAGCCGGTCGCTGCAGAGGGCGCGACCAGCGGGGCCCAACCCGAGTCCCAGGCCGACGGCGATGCAGCTCCCGCCGCGGGCTGCGATGCGAGCGCGGCCAGCTGTGCTGCCGGCGGCGGAGGCAACGTCAACATGCTCTCTGCCGCGCTGCATTTGCTCTCCGACTTTGCGCGTTCCCTCACGACGTTGGCCGAGAGCCTCGTCTTGATGGCCCTGGCGCGGCAGGGGGAGGGGGCGCGCGGCCCGTCCCCCGCCTTCGTCGACGCCGTCGCCGCGCTCTGCGTCTGCTCCTTCATCGGGATCGGGATCCTCGCCGGCGCTGTCAAGTGGCTCAGGGCGTTCCGGACCTACCTGCGCCGCGAGCGGGTGGCGGCGCCGAGCGGCGGGCCCTCACCTCGCCGGCGCAGATCGGCGCACGGGGGCGCGCGCTTGCTTGACGGCACGACCACGGCGTCTCGGCCGCGGCCCTTCTCTCAGGCGGCGAGGGGCGTCCTCCGTCTCGCGAGTCTGGTCGCGAGGACGTTGCCGCGCTGGTCGTCGGTGAGAGAGTCGGTCAGCCGCTCGGCCTCTGGCTACCGTTCTCCGGAGGCGGCACGGCCCGCCCCTCGCTCAGACTCCGGAGGCTACCGCTCCGGCTTTCGGACGTTGTGATGTGTGAGACGCGCGCCATACATGTCATGTATCGGTGTGTGTGTTTCCAGGAGGTCGACATCTCGATCTCTACCTCAGCCGTGCGGCGTGTGGGCGCACATGGGTTGCGCAGCGAAACTGGAGGACTGCTGTACCGCATCTGTGTGGAGTAGTTGCAGATGCGAGATGGATTTTCAAAGTTTAGAGTGGATATGCAGCTCGACCGATCCATCAATCGAGAGACAGAGAGGAGTGAGGAGGACGTACACACCCTTTTTTTCTCTCGCTCCTCCCCGGTGACGATTGCACGCGATGTGTGGCACGAGTGTCCGAACTCAATCGTCACGAACGACACATGACCTCAACGTTTATAGGATACAGCGACATCACTGGCAGTGCCTCTCTCAATAAATAAGCTCGCGGCCTGGAAGCGAGACCACAGAGGGGCGCCGGGCTGCGGCGCCTCGTCACATGATGGAGCACGGCACAGTGACTTTGATGTTGATCGGCTCGGGCGTGATGAAGCAGAGGCAGCAGCCCGCGCCAAAGACGCGCGTCTTGACGTTGACGTCCACCCACGAGGCGTACCTACACGCGCCAGCCCTCTGGCTGAGGGCGAGCGCGCCGCCGCCCGCCGGCTGTGCGTGGGTGTGCACGGGTTGTCGTCAAACTCCGTGGTGAAGGTGCAGACGACCATCCTACCCCCCTTGCCGTACATGCCGGAGCCGATCCCGCTCGCCCTGCGGCGGAGAGGCGGGCCGGGCCGCGCCTCAAGAGCCGCGCCCACGAGGCGAGCGGCCTCCTCCCTCCTCCCTCCCTCCTCCCTCCCTCCCTCCCTCCCTCCTCCCTCCCTCCCTCCCTCCCTCCTCCCTCCCTCCCTCCCTCCCTCCTCCCTCCCTCCCTCCCTCCCTTCCCCTCCCCCCCCAGGCCGCGCCTCCAGTCGGACCGAAAGAGGATCTCCAGCTTCCCCGGGTCCTCGATCATCTGACCGCACGGGGAGGGGACCAGCTGGGACGGCGGCAAGCGGGGGCCCCGGGCTAGCTGCGCCCCCTCGGGCTGGCGGAGGCGGCGCGGGGCGCGCGGCGGCGCATCTCGCCTGGGTCATCACCGCTCGCACATCGGCCGCCACGTCCGCCTTGTCAGGCCGCTACGGGCGGGAGGCGGGGCCGGCTGTCGGTCGAGGGCAGCCTCGCCGCCGGTGCGCGTCGGCGAGCGCGGGTGGCTGCGGCGGCTCTCGCCCTCCCCTCCCCTCTCCCTCTCTCTCCCTTCAAGGCTGCTCGACAAGGCTGCCCTCCCCGGCTTCTCTCCCCGGCTGCTCCCCCAGTGCTCTCCCCGGCTGCTGGCCAGCCGAGGGGCCCGTGCCGCCTCCACGCGGCGCCGCTGCGCGCGGGGCGGCCTCGGCGTGGCGGCCGCACCTCTGCCTTTTTGGCGGGCTTGAGCAGCACCATCTCCGCCGCGACATCCCCCACACAGTCCCCATACCTGCGCGGGGCGGGTGCTGTTGCGTGCGGCGCGGCGGCGCTCTGCCCGCCCTCGCAGCCGCGCGCAGCGCACCGCTCCATCCGAGCCAGCGGGTTGGACCCGTCGCGGCCCGTGTGCACGTCCTGCACAGTCAGCAGGTCCACCTTCTTCATGTCCTGCACATGGTCGAGGCACGCCTTTGTCATCCCGGAGCTGATCAGCTGGAGCGGCGGAGCCGGATTCTGTTTCAGCAGCGTCTCCTTTGCAGTTTCGCTGTACATCTCGTCCGCGTAGGTGACCGGGTCAGACCGCGCACGGTTCATCTGCAGGAAGAGCTCAGCCGCGAAGGGACTGTTTGCATTCGCCACACGAAGGTGGCCCTTGTTCCAGTCCGGCTTCTTCAAGGGCGGCTTCGCGCCGCCCTCCGATAGGCCGCTGGCGCCCATCACTCCGGGCTGCGGCATGGCTGCTGAAAAAAGAAGGGGCACTTAGGTGCGGTGCTGCGCTGCGCGGTGGGCGAGCTGATGCGGAGACAGCAACCTTGCGCACCTTGCCCAGCCGCCGCCCTCTTGGCAGTAAAGTAACAAAAGAAAACAAGGGTGAGGAGGCGGGCGCGCGCTTGCCAGGCCTTCCGCGGGCAGCCTCTCGGGCAGACTGAGGGTCGGCTTTGGGTGGCGCGGCCCGTGCGCTGCGCTGCGCAAAGCTGCGTGTGCTGAGGGAGCATCTGGTGCTTCCTTTGGGAGGTGCGCACCTCCTGCGACTGGTGGAGGGCCGTGCCGCCGCGCGCCTGCTCCGTGGACAGGGCGGGGAGACGGCGCCGCAGCGCCACAGCCTCCGCTGCATGCCGGTGCAGCACTCTGCTGCTTGGTGGGCAGCCTCCTGGATCTTGTGCGCGACGTTCGCGAGGCTGCAGTGGCGCTGTACTGCCTGCCGCGGCGAGTGGCGCGCGGCACGCGTGGCGCCGCGCGTGGCCCGGAGAGCGCCAGAGAGCGATGGGCCAGCCTGCGCGGCGCGAGCGCCATGGAAGCTGGCACATCGTTTGCATGCTGCCGTCGATTCTCTGGTCAACGGCGGTCAATCTCGCGATTGTCGATCAAACTCGGCGGCTGAGGGAGGGTGTAGAGGGGTGTAGAGAGTGTAGAGCGCTGTAGAGCTGTAGAGATGTAGAGCGCTGGAGAGCGCTGTAGAGCTGTAGAGCTCTACATCCGCCGCGTGACGATGTGAGTCGCCTGTAGAGCGATGTAGAGGCGCCTCTTTTCTCCCAGTAAGCTAAAAGTACAACGTGAAATCTCTACAACAAACTCTACATCATAAGCGGCGAACGGGAGGCACGGTCGCTCTCCGACATGAGGCGCGTTGCACTTGCCAGTGCTGCCCTGACCTTCTGTCTGCCCGCCCAATGGGCGGCAGGTGCCTCTGCTGCTGTGGCATGCCTCACGGCTGCGACTGGCCGGCGCCTCGGCGCGTCAGCTCGGCTCGGCGTAGCGATAGTGGCCAGCGCAACTCGCCTGGACTCAACGCTCAGCCAGGAGCTCCCGCACGCGCTGGCGCGAGTCATGGCGCATGCAACGCTCAACAATGATCGCCTCGCCTCGCGCAAATGCGACCGTCCTCGCAGCCGACAGTCCACCGCCTGCTAAAGAAGCACAGCGAGACGAATGCGGCACCGGCGACACATGGCAGGCTGGTCATGACGCAGTCATAGGGTGTTGTGTGCCGTCAGAGTGACTCTCTGTGTGTCAGGGATAGTCAGGGCTGTCCATCAGAGCTCCAGTAAGCTCGGAGACACCCCATTAGCGCGGCTCGACCTCTTTGAGTCACTGCCTTCCCGGCGGTTTGGCTGTAGAGCCTCTACAACAAACTCTACAGCAAAATCGCGCTCTACATCGCTCTACAGGCGACTCACATCGTCACGCGCCGGATGTAGAGCTCTACAGCTCTACAGCGCTCTACAGCTCTACAAGCTCTACAGCGCTCTACACTCTACATCATCTACACCCTCCCTCAGTGCCCGGTGCCGAGCGCAGGCAGAGCCCACAGGTCGGACCTTAAGACAGCATTGTAGATCCCTGGGCGAGGGTGGCGTGGCGTCCCCGTCGGGTCAGGGCTGAAGGCGGGGGAGACCAACCCGATCTCTCCGGCGTCCCGGGAGCGTGATTGACACCTCCCCCTGCGCCTGCGGGCGGACCCTCACAGATCACAGATCACAGATCACTTGACGGCACTGGATACGTCGATTCCGCGTGGTATAGTTTGTTGCGGGCATTAAGAAAACAGGGCATTAAGAAACCACGCCGAGCGATTTCCGCAAAAAATCTAAGAAACCACAGCGCGCCGCAGGCGCGGCCCCAAGAAAGGGCCCACACACGAGTGTGAACACGTGAACAGGAGCCCCGCTCAAATTTTCTCTTCGCCTGCGCGGCGCGCGCACTTGTCATTTTGCCTAAGAGCTAAGTCTGCGGTGTTCTGGGGACTGGGCGGTGTGGATGGAGGTGTGTGCGTCTTCCTGTCATCCCAAGACTGCTGACTGGCGCATCGGTCCAGCGCTTCCTTATTGTCATTTTACCTAAAAATTCCTAGATCCCGGCTGACCTGCCTGGGGTGCCGGCCGAAGCTAAGAAACCACGGCGTGGGGTGGGTGGGGTGGGTGGAAAGGCTTAGAAACGGCGGCGTGCCGCGGGATCCTGTTTTCTTAATGCCCGCAACAGACTGTACGGGACCTCGATCGTCTCGCCCTCTCGCTGGTTGGTAGTGTGACAAGAGTTGTTTGGTATTGAAATCTCTCTCTCTGGTGTGTTCATGCGGGACAAGCACGTTACAGCTGAAGAAAAGTAATTTGAAAGAAAAGCAAGTTCAGGATCAGGGTGGGCGGAGCAGTAACTCTTCCTCAAATGAAAAGAAATTTGAAAAAAGAAAAAACTTCCTGCACGCTGCCATCGTGGAAGAGACTGCATGCTCTCCTCGATCGTATGGGCCAGGCGAGGCGTCCCGGCGGCGGTTCCACGCACGCAGGACCCGATCGACAGCGAGGACGAGGCGGAGGCCGGGTGTGCCACCGCGCCGCTCGCCCTGCCTTTCCGAGCGCCGCGTCTCACAGCCTGCCCGCCCGCTCTGCCGCCACAGGCCGGATGCGACGGTAGCCGAGGCCAGCGAGGCACCGAGCGGCGCGAAGCGGGTGCGCTCTCATCGCGCCCAGCGCACCGCTTCTCGCGCGCCGGGTGCTGACGGCCGGCCGCCCTTGTCTTTAGCGAGCTCGCGGCGACGCGGCCGACTCGGACTCTGACGACTCGGAAGGAGGCCTCGCGCTGCCGTCGATGACGGGCAACCTCGCCTACTACTCCAGCCCGAAGGAGGACCCGCACATGACGCTGCGGGAGGAGGACGACGTCGACTCGGACGAGGACGACTTCGCGCTGCAGCCGACGGACCTCGTGCTGGTCGGCGCACGGTCCGAGGAGCAGTTCTCGACGGTCGAGGTCTTCGTGTACGAGGAGCCGCACGACAACCTGTACACGCACCACGACATCCCGCTCCCCGTCTTCCCGCTCTCCCTAGCCTGGATGGACTACCGTCCGCACGCCTCGCTCGGCGCCGCGGACGCCGCGGACGCCCGCCGCTCAAACATGCTCGCCGTCGGCACGTTTGCGCCGTACATCGAGGCGCGCCTCGCGTGGCGTCGCAGGGCTGGTCCCTCCGGCTGACGCCCGACCGTGCCCTGCCCGCAAAGGTGTGGGACCTGGACGTGATCGATGCGCTCGAGCCCGTGGCAGTGCTCGGTGCCGAGGGCGCGCAGGCGGCGCTGGACGCGCAGGACGGCGCCGCCGCCGAGGCCGTGGCCGCGCAGAGCCGCGAGGGGAAGAAGAAGAAGAAGAAGAAGAAGGGCGCGGAGCCTCAGAAGAGGCGAAAGGGCGGCGCGGCGGAGGAGCGCGCCGCCCCCGCCCTCCGCCCCGCCCGTCCTCGCCCCCTCCCTCTGCCAGAGCTGCTCCCGCGAGAGCTGCTCCCGCGAGCCGGCTGCGCTGCAACGGCCGCCCGCCAAGCCCGCCCCCTCAAGGCCCCTCTTCGCCGCACGCAGGGCCACACCGACGCCGTGATGGCCCTCGCGTGGAGCCAGCTGCGCCGGAACGTGCTCGCGAGCGGCTCCGCCGACACCACCGTCCGCCTCTGGGACTTGTGCGCACCCCCCCCGCCGAGCGTGGCGAGGGTGGCGCCCCGCCTCCCTCCGCCTCACGGCCGCGCCTCGCCTCCGCCTCACCGCAGGTGCGGCGACCACCAGCAGTCCGTCCTCGCGCTCCGCCACCACCGCGACAAGGTGCAGGCCCTCGCTTGGCACCCCGCAGAGCAGGCTCTCCTCCTGTCCGCCGCGTACGACGCGCGCGCCTGCGTCGCCGACGTCCGCTCGCCGGGTGCGGCGCGCAGCTGGCAGCTCGGTGTGGGGTCCGACCCCGAGGCGGTGGCGTGGGACCCGCACCGGCCGCACCTCTTCGTCGTCTCGAGCGAGGACGGCACCGTCCGCTGCTTCGACGCGCGCTCCGACGGCGAGGCTGTCTGGGACATGCGCGCGCACCGCAAGGCGGCGAGCGCCGTCGACTTCAACCCGGCCGCCGCGGGCGTGCTCGCGACCGGCTCCGCCGACAAGACGGTGCGGGCGGGCGGAGGGCGGGGCGCGTGGCTGCGAGGCGCGAGGCGCCTCACCGCGGCTGAGGGAGCGCTGTAGGTCAAGCTGTGGGATGTGAGCGGCGCGGAGCCGCAGCTGATTGCCACAAAGGTGCCACCTCGCACCTACATGCGCACCGAGATATGCACCGAGCCGTGGGCCGCAAAGCTGCGGCTGACGCCCGCCTTGCCGCCGCCGCCCCGCCGCCGCAGGACCTCGGCAAGATCTAACCCTAACCCTAACCCTAACCCTGCCGCAGGACCTCGAGCTAGGCAAGATCTTCGACGTGAGCTTCTCGCCCGACACGCCGTCGCTGCTCGCGGCGGGCGGCTCGAAGGGGAAGCTCGGCGTGTGGAACACGCTCGAGCAAGAGGCGATGCAGCAGCGGCTGCCCGACGCGCAGGCGGCGCTCGACGCGGACGGCAAGGTGCTGAGCGGCGCCGTCGCGGGGATGGGCGAGCTCAACGTCAACAGCTCCGACGAGGAGAGCGACGCAGAGGAGGCGGGGCTGGCGGAGGAGGCGGAGGAGAGCGACGAGGAGGAGGGGCGGGAGGGGGAGGAGCGGCGAGACGAGGAGGGGGCAGGTCGGCGCGCCAAGTCGACCTCCTCGCGGTCGGTCGGTGCGCGCAGTCAGAAGATGCGCGGGGCGGGAGGGCCGAGGGCAGGAGCGCACGGGGCGAGGGCGACCAAGGCGCGACCTCCCAAGGGGGGCTCGTGATTGGTGTGACATCCACCTCTCGTGCGGACGCTTGGCGCATGGCCGACGGGCGGACGCCGGACCCTCGCGCGAGCCGGCCTGGCGTCGGTGTACGGTGAGATGTCCATGCCGGCGTCCCGCGTCCTCTTTACATTTTAACGAGGTGAGCGAAGCGGTGGACCCCCTGTGGCGGTCTGGTCCAGCGCTCCGCGAGCTCCGCGCGGCGGATGTCGAGACTCAGGCACTCAGCTCTGCGGTCTGTGCTGTGTTTTTACACCGCACACCGGCACGAGTGACCGCGAGAGATCCGTGTGAAGCGCGTGATGATGTGTGTGTGTGTGTAACGCGTACGTCGGTCGTCGCCGCCTGTTTGTGCTACTCTGTGATAAAAGGCACGCGGAGAACTGGGCGGGGCACCATGGTTCCGTGATCGCTGTGTGCGTGTGTGCCGTTGCCCCGTGTTGGGGGAGAGCAGAGACCACACAGACGCGGTGGCGCCACAGACGCGCCGAGAGCGCGCATTAAAGGCACAGCGGCGCGCAGCGCCTGGTGCGCCGGTCTGCGAGAGCGTTTGTTCCCCCTGCTCGCCTCCTGGACACGATACATCAGACGTGGTTGCCAGTGGAGTCTCTGGGCCTGACATGTGGTATTGCGGCCGCGACCACATGCGTTCTCCGCAGTGTCCACGCGAGATACAGTACTCAGAAGCCATGAGACGTAATGAGTCCTGGAGGGTGCAGCCGGAAGCGGCCCCGGCGCCCCATTATTCAGTAGTCACATCTCTTCTCAGCGCGCTTCATGCGAGCCTCGACTCTCGCGTTCAGATCCGCTTCGCGTTCCGCCCTTTCAGCAAGCTGCGGCAACGGGGTGCGGGAAATGTCAATGTCAAATGTCGGGTGGGTATGGGTGGGTATGGTTTCGCGGGGGAAGCAGGGCGCAGACAGATGGTGAGAGGGCTGCACCTTTTTCTGCGTCTTCTCCGCCACCAGCTTGCGCGCGGCGATTTCCTCCTCCAGAGTCCGCTCCCCAGCCACACAGCACACGCAAGCGCCGAGCCCATACACACCACGATTGTCAGGGTTTGCCTCCAGCTTGTTGTCCACCGTGGGCCCAATGCAGCAGAGCAGGCAGCCGAGGTCTTTCACGTCGAGCTCTCCTTTGACAAACAACCTGATCCGCGTGAATAGGCTGGTCACCTCTGGATTCTGTATCGATATATCGCCCGTTGGCATCCCAATGCCCGCCCGGAGCTGCTGGAGCTCCGCCATGGCCTCTTCTTGCAGCCGCTTGTAGTCGTCATCAGCGGACTTTGCCCAGCTGCCAGCCTGGTCCGAGATCACTCCCGGTTGGTCGCAAATTGCCATGACGGAGAGGCCCCCGAATCGCGCGTAATGCGTACTTTAGCCGGGCTTTTGGCCAAAAATCGAACCCGATAAGAAAAAGGTCAGTCCCGAGACGCGGTTAGTAAGGTATGTTCGGTTAGTGGTTTGGCCACACCGAATCCCCCACAAGACCAAAACAAAACACCCCGTGGGCCCCGCTCTTTCCCTCGCATAGCGGCCACTCTTCGGATCGCTGGTCGAGCGACCCGGGGGATGCCCCGCGCGCCTGACCCAGGCGCGAGAAACGAATCTGCGAGGCGTGGCCGCTCACGCGGCCCGATGGGGAGGAACGGGGCGAGCCCCCTCCCCCTCCAACCCACCCGCGCTAGGTCTCGGGTTTGACGCACGGGGTCACTCTCGCGAAACCCGTGAACTAGCCGGGGCAGTCGGAGAAGGGGCAACTCCGTGCACTGACGGTCGGCCGTCAGAAAACACGCCTCCGTGGCTCGGGTTACACCAATCCTCGCTACCCAACGCGGCCAAAGGATATCCACCTCGAGAACCTCGAGAGACGCCAGAAAGAACAAAAATCCCTTCGCGGTTGCTAGTGGACGGCGCTACCGCTGAATTCCTATCAGCTCTCGCCGCGCTGGTAGAATGCTCCCGCGGGCAGCGGCGGCGCTCTCTGCCCCGATTGGTGCGATGGCATTCACGGACAGAGGCCAGGCCATGATTGCAGGCGGTGATGCTGGCGGCCGCGAGAGCATCATCGGTCGGAAGGGTTTGCCAGGATCTGGGCTCGTCAGCCTGGCGCTCGGACCGCGTTCGTGCCCCAATCCCAACTGTGCGGATCCGAACTGTAAGATCCCTTCCAACTTGTTCCTGCCGGAAGCTGCTAAGCGGCGACCAAGCTAGAACGAGGTGGTTTGGCGTAATCTGGCGAGAGAGACCTGCCGTTCGTTGCGCAGGGCCCGGACGAGATAGATGTGTCTCCGCCTATATCGTGGTGCGCCGCCGGGCGCGTCATGGTTGTGTAGGTATAAGGTGAGGCGTCTAGCGTGTCGTGTGCAGGTGTTTACGTGTGTGTCTGCGTGTACCGTGTGTCTGCGTGTACGGCTCTACCGCGTGTGCGCAGGTGTTACGTGTTTCTCACCACTCAGAGATGATCTCGTCCTCCCGCCTTCGGCTCCGCGCTCCCCGGCTTGCTCCGCGCTCCGGTGTTACTGTTCTAGCTCAGTCTAGCAAAACGGGCACACAAGGGCTCGGCTTCGTCGGGCGCACAAGTGTCTCCTACCCGATCCTCCTCCAGAAGCTCTCGTGCGGATGCATGCCCGTCCGCCGCCGCCTGTTCGAGCAACGCCCTCGCCCTCTCCCGTACACTCCCCTCCTCCACGGGGAGCGGGCTCGGCCAGCCGTTCTCTTCCCCGCGCAGCAGCAGCCGCGCCAGCTCGTACGCCGCCCGAGCGCCGACTCGAGCCCCTCCGAGGGACGACACTCCGCCGCCCTCGCCGCCCTCGCCCCGCCACGCCGCCGCCCGCCCGAGCCAGAGCGCCGCGGCCCTCAGGTCGAGAGGGACGCCCTCCGCCGCCGCGTGGGCCCGGCCGAGTCCCAGCATCGCCAGAGGGAAGCCGTCGAGGGCGGAGAGGCGGAGCCAGCCGCTCGCGGCCGCCGCTAGCTTGCTGTCGCGCCGGTGGGCGTGCGCCAGCCGGCGCGCGTGCAGATACTGCGCAAATGGCTGTCCCGCCTCGGCCCTTTCCTGCCACCAGCCCACAGCGTCGCCGAGGCTGCACCGTGGGCCAGAGAGGAACCACACCACCCAGCTCCAGCGCTCGCCGCCGCGCACGTCCACTCCGTGCAAGACGTCGCCCGCGTGCAGCACCGCGTCGCCACGCCCGAGCGGGAGCAGCGCCCGCTCTCGAAGGTCGCCGACGAAGAAGCCGCCCGAGTAGTCCCCGCTTCTCGAGAGCGAGACGACCGCCGTCGCCGCCGCGTGGCCGTCGACATGCTCGGGGTGCGCCCGCCGCTCGCCGGAGACGTACCGCCGGAGGAGCGAGGTGCACGGCCGGCAGAGGCCTCGACAGACAGGCGTGTGGCTGTTGACGAGGTCAGTCAAGAGAGTCAGGTCCGCCTGCGTTCGCCGAGCGAGCGAGGCCACTCTGATTTCGCCGTCCTTGACCACATAGAGCTCATGCGACGGCAAGCCGTCGACAGAGTCTGGCCGCTCCTCAAAGGAGAGCGAGCGGGCCGCAGCTAAAAGCGCGGCGGCCTTCTCGGCGCTGACAGCAGACCGAAGTAGTGCAAAGCTCGAGTTCCAGCGCAGTCCAGCGCCAATGGTGCCGATTGCGACGGACGGGTCGGAAGTGGGTTGCAACGAGAAGACCATGGTGGCGAGACCTGGCGTCGGCTGTCTGAACCGGCCGTGAACGCACAACCCCGGACATTTCACACCGAGCAGCGACGAGATTCTGGTTATCGAAATTAAAAGAAGAAAATCGCGGCCCGCCCGCTCAGTCTACAGTGGCTGCCACTCAACAAAGGTCCACTCCAATGGAGCACGGCGGCCTGTCCGAGACGCTCGGCCCGCTCCGCGTGCGCGGCGAGGGCTGGCTCTGCTGCGCGTGTCGCGTTCCGCTCAGCGTGGCGGCCTTGCTCCTCGCCGCCTTCTCGCGCTCGCTCCTCGACGTGGCACTCTGCTCGGCCGACGCCTCGCGCTGCACGTCGGCCAACGGCGTCCCGCTCGAGGTGGTCGGCCCCGCAGCGTCCGATCTCATGGCCGCACTCGCCAGGCGGCGCAATGCCTCTGCCGCCCACGACGCCGAGCGTCTGCGGCCTGCTGTGGTCGGTGAAGACCCGCCACCGCTGATCCCGTGGGAGGCCAAGGGCGAGGGATCCGCCCCGCCGCCGCCCAGTCCGCCGCCGCCGCCGCTCCGCCACGCGCAGCGCCTCCTCGTCGTCGGCGCGCACCACCAGGCGCACGAGGCGCGCGCCCTCGCCCACCGCCTCGCAGCTCTCGGCCACGACGTCGAACTCGTCACGGGAGGCGGAGGCGGCGAGGGCGGTGTCGGCGGCGGAGGGGGCGGAGGCGGGCGGAGGGGGCGGCGCAAGGGCTCCGCCGTGCTCGAGACCACCGCCGAGGCTGCGGTCGCGGCGAGCCACTCCGACGCTGCGCATGCCTTTGACGCCGTGGTCGTCAGCCTGCAGAGGGCGGGCCGCGGCGACGCGCTCTACTGCGATGCGGACTGCCAGCGGACGGACTGGCGGGCGGTCGCTGCACGCGCGGCGGCGGCGCAGGTCGTCTGCGTCGTCCGGCACGCGCAGGAGTCGACCTCGGGCAGCTGGCTCGCGGCCGGCTGGCAGAGGCTGTGGGTGCCGTCTTACTGCCCTCGGGTCTTTGCGCTGAAGAAGCCGGCGTGAGAGGGAGAGAGGAGGGCACACCGCGAGGGCGGGCGAGAATGAGAACGTGCGGAGGATGCACTCTCGCACAACGTCGGCACCAACTTGCCTCTTGCGAGGCCACATGGGTGATCAGGATCACCCCCCCCGCGTATATCCATAAAGAGTCTTACGTCAGTAACAAAATCTGGCCCGTTTCAGATTCAGTGCGCACAGTGCTCAGTGGATCAGGATGGCAAGAGCAGCTTTAAAACCCCTCTCTCTTTTCTCTGGTTGGTCTCTCTCTGCACTCTGGATGACAGTGCTCAGTGGTTGTCTTACCCGAATGCCTCCTCATCGCAAACCTCTCTAATGGAAAGCGAGAAAAAATTCCGTAAAACGCGGCGGGCCAGGGGTCGACGCGCCCCTGGACGCGCCCGGGGAGGCGCCTCCCGTATCGAGTCGTAAATCGCGTCTTCGACCCAGCGCCGGAGTTTTGCGCGGTGTTCGTCTTCGACCCAGCGCCGGAGTTTTGCGCGGTGTTCTCGTATGCGGCCCATCATGGCTGCTCCGCACCATCGCGAGCTCATCGTTGGCGGCGAGACTGCGCCAGCGTTCGCGTTTCCTTTTGTGCTCTCCCTCCTCGATGACCACTACCTCAGCTGTGGCGCCTCGCTGATCTCAATGCGGTGGGCTCTCACCGCAGCTCACTGCATCGACCGTGGAAACTCACGGTACTCCGTGGCAGTGCACAGGCATCAGCTCAGCGACGCGGACGAGCACGAGTGCGCCGAGCACATTGAGGTCGAGGCAGCACACTGCCATCCAGGATATTCTGATGACCACATGCAGAACGACATCTGCCTGCTCCAGCTTGCACGGACACCACACTGCTCGGATCGAATACCCACGGTGGCGCTCGACGACGGCAGCTACTCAGAGCCAGGGGCGTATGCCACCGTCGCCGGCTGGGGCACCACCGAAGCCGACGACGAGCCTTGGGACCTGCTTGGGTGGTTTACGTATGACTACGCCGGCTCCTCCCACTCAGACCAACTGCAGCACGTGGAAGTGGAGGTGATTGATCGGATCACCTGCGCGGCACAACTGGAATCCAAGGTCGCGTTTTCCGTCACCAGCACTATGCTCTGTGCGGGTGCCCGCAGCGGTGGGAAAGACTCGTGTCAGGGTGACTCGGGCGGCGCACTCTTCATCCCGGCCGGCCCCAACCAGCTGCGGCCGATCCAGATTGGGATCGTGTCTTGGGGGGTGGGGTGCGGCGCTCCCCGGTCCCCGGGCGTCTACACTCGCGTCTCGGCCTACACAGACTGGATCGGCGGCATCATTGAGCTCCCGCCGCCGATGCCGCCTTCGCCACCAGCTCCGCCGCCCAAGCCGCCGTTGCCACCGTTGCCGCCTTTGCCGCCGTCGCCACCGGCAGCTCCGCCGCCGCGGCCGCCGCGGCCGCCCTCGCCGCCCTCGCCGCCGACGCCACCGATTGCGCCTCAGGCACTCGCGTGCACCTGCGCGCCAGACGGTGTGAGCGGCGGCGCTCACACCGGCATTGCGGGCTGCGACGACCACCATAACGAGCAAGGCGGAGCGTGGTGCTACGTCGTTGAGCCAGCGGAGTGTGCGGAGGCCGAGCCATCGCAGCGATTTGGTGGAGCTGGCTTCGTCGAGTGCACGATCTCGTGCAGCGCAAACGAGCGGCGGTGGGCTGGCGAGTGGGCGCATGATACTGGAGACGATCCAAACTCGGTAGCCGTCTTTGCAACCAGCCAGCTGCTTGTCACCAACCCCGTCCGCCACTGGAGTCCAGCCGTGGGGACGGTGTCCGGCTCAACCCTGCGGAAGCAGTGTTGCCGTGGCGGGGGGAGGTGGGCGAGGGTGTTAATGTCTAACGAAGATTTCTTTTTTCAACCCTTTTTTCCTTTGGCTCATTTGCTCACACATAGAGAGACCACACGATCACTCCTTCCTCCGCCCACTCTCTCCGCCCCGCCGCTCGAGAGGCGGGCAGCCCACGCGTTCTTTTTCGCTGTGCCTTTTTGTAGTGCCAGTCCGAGCCAGTCTGCTGTGGTCCTGTGAGCTGTGTGAGAGAAGAAAGGAAGAAAACACAACCAACAAGGGAGGTGGGAGGGATCATGGGAGGACGGCACGCCGCCACCACATAGGAGAGGAGTGTGGTGCTAGCCGTCGCCCACCCTCGGGCGTGGGGGCGTCTGCCTCTTCGGCTATCTCTCTTCGCAGTTTCTCGCCAATTCTCGCAGCGACCTTCATGCCACCTCTCGTTCTACTCACTCTCGTCGTTCTCTCTCCTTCTGTTTCATCCTCGAAGCTAGAATTCTTTTAGTGCCAGTGCGCGCCAGTCCCGTGCCTAGTGTAAATAATAAATAAATAAAACGGACAAGCTAGGGCTGGGTCGAGGACAGACACGTCCCCACCTTGCCTAGTGTCGTGCGAGGGCGTTTGCTTGCGGCACGGTGGTAAAATTCTTTTTCGCTTCGCATCTGCTCTCCTGGTTTGCTTCTATTTGCTGTCGCCCCGCCTGCGCTAGAACCCCTGCCACGGCCCATGCTCGCCACGCTCGCCGTCGCCGCCTCCGCCCTGGCGCCCTTGACGTCCCACGAGTACTTTCTGCGCGAGGTGGCCCTGACCCAGCCGCCCGCCGGGCTTGCCTCGCTCGCCGCGGCGCTGGTCGATGCGGGCGGCGAGCTGGTGCCTCCTCAGCCGCCAGATTTGAGCCGGTTCCCGCTGCTCGTCCCGCTCACGCAGAGCGCGGACGGCGCGGTGACCGGGCTGCTGCGCTGGGCGACGTCGGGCGGCGCCGCGTCCGAGCTTCCCGTCGTGCGTGCAGATCCCGACAGCAGGCAGCTGACCTGGCTCGCCGCGTCGGCCGAGAAGTTCCTCGAGCGTGAGGGCGAGCTCGCCGAGGCGGCGGCTGAGGTTGCGGCCGGCGGCGCCGCCACGCCGCCGAGCCGCGGCGGCGTCGAGGGCCGCGTGATCATGAAGGTTGGCCCCTTCATGGCCGAGTACGAGACGCTTGCCAGGGGCCACGTCGCGTCGGGCTCGTCCGAGAGCGCGCTCATCACGTGCGAGCGGAACCAGCGCTGCTTCGAGCAGTGGGGCCGCCCGTTTGCCTTCCACGCGAGGCTGCTCCGCTCCCTCGACCGGTCGGAGGAGGCGCGCGACGTGGCGCGCCACGCCCTCTCGCTGCCGCTCTGGACGCTCGGCGACTCGCTCGACGAGGTGTGCAAGATCGCGGGCTCGTCGACCGAGGAGCTCGCCGCGTCGCTCGCGATCCGCGCGCGGGGCGAGCTCACGCCCGAGCAGCGCGCGCGCGACAACGGCATGGACACCCGCACCCCGCGCGAGATTGCGCTCGAGCGCGCGGCCTGTCTGCTCGACATCGCAACGCTGCCCGGTTCGGAGAAGACGTGGGAGAGCGTGCGGCCCGAGCTCGCCGAGCGGTACAGCGAGGCGGGCATGTCGGACTTCTCGGCCTTCGTCTCGCCCGACGAGACGTTTGGCTGAGGGTGAGGCGGACCACTCCCCAGAGCTATATAGTGACTCCATGCTCACGCGCGCTGTCGCTCCGTCTGGGTGCCCGAAGAAAGAAAACAGACAAACCTGCGATTTCTTTTACACCGTGTTGGGCACCTGGGTTCCGGCTCCTAGCTCCTACCCGGATAGGGGGTCGGTTCCCACTGACTCGCGCCAAAACGCCCTATACACCTATATAATACACCTACACCTATTGGTTCGATATTGGTATTGCGCCGGGCGCCAACCGCCAGGGACTCCGTGCCCCACCTACCTACCTATTCCCAGGCCGCGCAGCGAACGAAGCGAAAAATACCCGTTGAGCCCTCTGTGAATCATCACAGACCAGCGCACAGCGCCATAGGACGTATTTTCTTCTCCATAACACAAGGCTGTGAATAGGCCTATAGGCTCCCAGCGCCCGCCGCACCCGTCTCGGCAGGCGAGGCTGGCGCCCCAACCGCAGGCGACTCGTCTGGCATGGCCCCGTTCGCGGCTAAACGCGCCGTCTCCCGCCCGCGCGAGCGAAGCGGTTTTCCCACTCCTCTCTTCGGGTTTTTACCCCCCCCCCACACACACACGCCACACCACCACCACCACTACCTATCTACCTATTGCGGAGCCACCTGGGACGGTCAAAACCGGACCTACCTACCTATTGCATAGTCCAGACCCCCTATCTGGGTAGAAACATGTGCGACAGGTTGTCGCGACAGACAGTTCCCCACTGACGGCACATGGCGGCGCAAGAAGAGCACTCGCGAATAACGACGAAGCAGTGAGCGCCATGACGGCACACCCGTGCAACATTTGTCGGCCGGAAGCACGTGCAGCACGCTAGTGGGACTCACCACAACCGCCAGCAGCGGGAGACCCTGCGACAGGGAGAAGCAGGTGTCACGCGGCGCGAGCGCGGTCTCGCTTCGACGTCAGCACGGTGCGCGGCGAGCTGCTCAGCGCGCGTCCGAGGTGCGACCGCGCACCGTGGGCAGCCCAGTGGGTGTGCTCGGCCCGGACGAGCTCGCTCGGCGCTTCATGAGAGCCCACGGCGGCGCCCAGCGAGATTTGCTTCGAAGTTGGCGAGCACCTCGACGTGCGTCCCCCTGCCTGGACCAAGCTCGGACGAGACATTCTCGTAGAGCCGGAACCCAGGTGTCGGCGAGCGTGCACACTCCTCGACGTACATGCAGTATTTCGTGTACCTCCTCGTGCTGCTCCTGGACGCCGCGCACGCGTTTGCGCCCGCAGGTCTTCGTGTACCGGTACTGGGTGGAAAGGGAACGATCTCCGCGCCGGCACTCGCCCCCGCGCCGGCACTCGCCTCCGCGCCGGCACTCGCCTCTGCGCCGGCACTTGCCGTCGGCCGGACTAGGCCTCCGTTGGCCCTGGACGTTGCCGACCCGTCTTACAATCTGGCCATCGGATCAGTGATCCTCGGAGGCGTCTTTGGTCTGCCCAGCCGCCAGCCGAGCATCGTCTCGCGGCTCGGCTACACGCTCGGTGCCTTGTGCGCCGCTTTCGGTCTCTTCATCGCGTTTCAGACGACTACTCTGCGCTTCACGTTCAGCGACAGCGACTTTGCGCTTGTGAAGGCCGACGGATCTTCGACAGGCAAGAATGTCGTGGTCGGCGGAGAGAATGTGTGGCGCTACGACACCTTTGTCAACTGGGACTTTCTTCCGTCCGAGAGCTTTCCGGTTCTGGTCTACTTTCGCGAGACGCAGACGCCTGCCGAGAGCCGCGAGGAAGTTCCGCTGGTGGTCGACAACCTGGACGGCCAGGTCCACTTCTTCCCCGCCATCTCCGACGCGCAGCAGCTCAAAGCGCAGTTTTTGCAGCACCGGTGCGCAAAGATCTGAGCATCCTGACTCCCTACCCGCCCGGCGGAGCTCAGGCCGCGCGTGCTGAGATGCCCCGCACCAGTCACTTGATCACTTATATGGGGATTTTCTTGAGGCTTGCGCGCCGTGTTTTCAGTGTATGTAGCTCTTACGTACATTCAAGTTCGCCTTCGCGGGCGGCAACACCTAGAGGTAGGGGGCAACACCGAAGAGCCGGCCCGCCTTGCAAACATGGGCTGCAAGCAACGCGGGTTCTGTGGTCAACGGGCGTTCGACCACACCACCGGCCAAGGCTACGTCAAGTCACAGCGTGGCCACTACCATGATGGGATCTTCACCAAACCGCGAACAAGTTCAACCTGAGTGATTCTGAGATCAGGTTGGGCGTTTCCCCTTTGGAGGCAGACATTTCAGAAAGCGAATCCCAGGCCGCATCTCCCCGCTCGAAGCGGGGAACCCGTCCCGGGCGCCCGCTGGAAGCGGGGGGCGCCCGCTCGAAGCGAGGGCGCCCGCTCGAAGCGGGGGCGGCGCAGGCTGCCACCGCTGCCCGGGCGCGCCGAGCGGCGGCGGAGGGCCGCCCAGGCCACCACCAGTGCCTCTCCCACCGGCGGCGCGGCGGCAGTGGCGCCGACCGCCCCTCCATCAGCGGCGGCGCGAGGCTGTCGTCGGGACGCCGGCAGGTGACGCGCGAATAGGGTGCCACCGGACCGGCCGACGAGCACCCAGCGGAGCCGTCATCGTGCATGGCGAGCCGAGCACCGCCGCGTCGCTTCTCGGCGCATTGGAGAGCAGAGGAAGCTGCTGGCGTCGCGGCTGGGATCGGCAGCGGCGCCAGCAGCTTTCTCGGATCTGAAGCGACTTTGAGCGCCGATCGATCGATCTGAGGGCTGACCGATGGGTGGCGCTGGGAGGAAGACCGCGCCACCCGTCGGCCAGCCCTCAGCTCCGCGACGGCGACTCGATAGTCGTGGCCGGCGCTCGGCTGCCACTCTAAGCTGTGCCGCCAGGCGCTCCTGGAACCGTGACGTCACTTCTTATGGATGCGGCACTAGGGACGCCCAATGTTTTCGTAAATATAGAAGCCACTCTCTCGCGTGTGGAAGCCACGACTGCGTAGTCGTGCTCCCCCGGAGCACGCCATAGAGCGCCGGTTGTGTACCGGGCGCACCCGCAGCCGTACACACTGCTGCCACCTGCCAGGGGGGCGCCGCAGGCGCCCCAAGCGGCGCGGAGCGCCGCCGCAGGCGGCGGACAGCAGGTGCGCAAAATTAAACGCCATTTTCGGTTCCGCAGTTTTGCCACTAACGTCGAAATCCGGTACAAATCGAGACTTACGAGAGCCGAGCCCCCCACGAAAACCACAGAGGGGCGCGCGGACAGCGCGCCGCCAGGGGCGCCGCAGGCGCCTCAAGCGGTGCGGAGCGCCGCCACAGGCGGCGGACAGCAGGTGCGCGAAATTAAACGCCATTTTCGGTTCCGCGGTTTTGGCACTGTCTACCAACTTTGTGGTACAAATCGACTTGCACTTGGTCTGAGCCCTGCGCTGCGTTTGAGCCTCCATTCTGAAAGTGTACGTAGAAGGGAAGGCAGCAGGTCCGGCTTGCGAACTCCGCTGTGCGCCGACAAGCGGTATGGCGCCGAGTAGAGGCCATTTTCCTATTAGAAAAGGCTGTCGAGAGCGCAAAATTTTCTTCGCTGCGCGCCCAACCATGGTGGGCACGCAGCGCCAGCGGGCGCCTGCGGCGCCAAATTTTTGAAATGTCTGCCAGTCGCCCAACCTGATCTCAGAATCACTCACCTGCATACCTGCTTCTCCACGAGACATTCGGCGGCGGCTTCTCGCCGCCTGCAGTTGCAAAGATCAACCGCCTTGCGCGCAAGGCTCAACGCTCGGGCGTTGACCGCACCGCGTACCCTCCCCACTCCCGCCTCTCATTTGTGTCACACCACGCGGAACGCATCTCCATCGCTTCGGTGAAGGGGGTGAACCGCGCCACATCCTCGATCGCCGTGCAAAGCATGCTCGCTTCCGAGCTCTCACGCCGCGCGTAGGGCCCCTAGGGGCCTAGAGAACACAACCCCCTCTCCCTTTTCTCCCAGTAAGCTAAAAGTACATACATTCCCGTAGCGCGTAGGAGGACTCTGCTGACAGGGTTTGCGATGACGAGCGACCCGATGCGTTTCTGTACATTGAGAGAGAGCAGTTGCAAAGATCAACCGCCTTGCGCGCAAGGCTCAACGCTCGGGCGTTGACCGCACCGCGTACCCTCCCCACTCGCACTCCCGCCTCTCATATTTGTGTCACACCACGCCACCACGCGGAACGCATCTCCATCGCTTCGGTGAAGGGGGGGAACCGTGCCATCCTCGATCGCCGTGCAAAGCTCGCTTCCGAGCTCTCACGCCGCGCGTAGGGCCCTTAGGGGTCTAGAAAACCTCTCTCTTTTCTCCCAGTACGTATTGCGGTACGTTTTGCCGGGGGCCGGCCGCAACCACGGCTGGAGCTCGATAGGCGCTCTTCGCTTCCCGCTGGTCGCGAGACGGATCGCTTGTCCACTTCGATGGAAGAGTACACTGTAGAGAAGCGGATCGGTGATGGTGCGTGCGGAGTGTGCTACCTCGTGCGGCGGGCCAGTGCAGCTCACAAACCAAAACGGGTTTCGTTGGTCCAGCACACGCACCGCGAAAAGTTTGAGAAGGATGCGCCAGACGCTAACCTCTTCGCCCTCAAACGGGTTGCAGTGAACCGCCTCAAGCCGCCAGAACGCAAGTGAGCGCTGCCTACGCACACAGAGCCTCCGCACCACTACAATCTCACCACGCCCCGCACTACACGTAGGGCAGCTCTGCACGAGGTGCAGCTGCTCTCACGGCTGCGCCACCCAAACATCATCGGTTACGAGGACGCATTCGTCGCCGATGGCGACTTGTGCCTTGTAATGGAGTACGCCGGTGGCGGGACTCTCGAGGGCTCGCTGCGGCGCGCACGGGAGACGTCAACGCTGCTTGACGAGGCTTGGGTGCTGGACTGCCTTCTGCAGCTCTGCAGCGGCGTCAACTACCTGCATGCCTGCCGTGTGCTCCACCGCGACATCAAGCCGGCAAACATCCTGCTCGCGGGCGAGGGGCGCGTGCCCAAGCTCGCTGACTTCGGCATCTCGATGCCGATGCTCGCGGACGAGCGGCAGCTCGGCCGCCACCTGCCCGGCGGCTCGGCTGAGGGGGAGGTGCTCCCGTCGGAGCTGCGCTCGCGCTCGCTCGAGGGGACGCCGCTCTACCTCGCGCCCGAGCTCTTTGTGCGCAGCCTGCAGGCCCGCCCTCCTCTCCCTGCCCTCCCACGCCTCGCTCGCCTCGCGGAATGTGCCGCCGCCTCTCGCAGGTCAACTCTGCGCAGTACTCGTGCGCCTCCGACGTGTGGGCGCTCGGCGTCTGCTTCTTCGAGATGGTGGCGCTGCACCGGCCGTACGAAGGCGCCTCCCTGCACGCCCTCGCGTACAACATCGGCCGCGACCCCAACCAGAACGCGATGCGAGACTGGCTCGCCGCCGCGGAGGAGGGGGGCGAGGCGTGGGCGGGCGCTCCACAGCCTGGCTGCACCTGCTCGGGCGGCGCGGCGAGTCTCGCGCAGCACAACGCGCACTGCTACGACCCGCACCTGCTCGGTGAGGGCGGCGCCCCTCAGCTCGGCCGGCGAGACGCGACTGTGAGGTGTTGCGCGTGCCTGACCGAGAGTGGTGCACCCTCAGGAGCGATCGAGGGCATGCTGCATAAGCGGCCGAACCGGCGCGCGACGCTCCCCGAGCTGCTCTCCCGCGAGGCGCTGGTGCGGTGGGGCCAGAAGCGCGAGCTGCCGCTCGGTCTCCCCGACCGCTCGGCCCTCGATGACCTCACGCCCAGTGCAGACTCCCCCGACGTGATGATGTGGGGCGGCGGCGCGCGGCTGCCTCGCCTGCGCACAGACCTGAGCGGCATCTCCGTCACCGCAATCTCATGCGGAGCGGTGCACGCGGCGGCGGTCTGCGAGCGCGGTGCCCAGACCCCGTCGCGACTCACAGCCCGCGTACAGCGCCCCATCGCCGCCAAGAGGCGCCACCCGACGCTCACAGGCCTGCTGTACACGTGGGGTGCGTCGCCGCATGGCCAGCTCGGTGACGGCGCCCGCCCGTTGATGCCCAGAGAGGGACCGATCCCTGAGATCCGTGACTGCCTCCACAGGGCACGGCGATCGCGCTACCCTCTCCGTTCGACGTCGCGTACTTGGCCTCTATCGACTGACCACGGTGCTTGCACGCCCAGCAATCCACTGCCCCGCTCCCCGACCCCACCGTCGGACCCCCCTCGTTGGCAAGGTCTCTGTCGCTTGTGGCCGCTCGCACACGCTGGCGCTCACCTCAATGGCGCAGCTCTTTGCCTGTGGCTCGCACGAGTACGGCCAGCTCGGCATCGGGACGGCGCCAAAGCCGGACTTCTCGTCGCTGACGACCATTTCGCAGGTCTCGCCGTGCCGGTCTAGATACCTACCCTGGGGAAGGGGGGAGCGTGCCATCCTGGACGGGGCAGAAGGCAAACGCTGTCTGGTGTGTCCACAGGTCTCGCTCGATGCAATGCGGTGTGCCCTCCAGCCATTGCCCGTGATCAGACCCGACGGCGGCCGCGGCGGCTGGGCGTCCTTTGCGGCCGCCGAGGCGCACTCGGCGGCGATCGACGCGCGCGGCGAGGTGTACGCTTGGGGCTGCTCCGACGACGGCCGGCTGGGGCTGCGCGGCGTCGGGCCAGCGTTGGGGGGCGATGAGACGGAGCGGCCCGCGCCGACGAGGGAGGGGGATTCGGTGGAGGCGCCTCGCCGCGTGCGCGGTCTGCCCTGCACGGCAGTGCAGGTCGCCTGTGGCGACAGCAGCACGGTGGTGCTTTGCAGCGACGGCGCGCCAGCCGCCCCACCGGTTTCGACCCTCCTCCCCCTCCAGCCGCCCAAATTTTCGGCTCTTGGCTGCAGGCTCGTTATACGGCTTTGGAGCCAATTGGGCGCTACAGCTCGGGATCGAAGGCGCGACGCTATCCTTCGCCGCAGACGCCTAGAACTGTGGGAAGGCCGAGAGTCGCCACTAGAACCGCCGAAATTTGTGGGCTGATCCAATTAAGCCCTCCTGCTTTCCCAGGCGGACTCGATGAGGTGCCCGCACCGACACCACTGCTGAGCGGCCTCTGCCAGTCCCGCGTGGCAACCATCCGCTGCGGAGCAGACCACGCGGCAGCCATCACCGAGGACGGCGAGCTATGGATGTGGGGTGGTCGCCATGGCGCCCCTGCAGTCGTCCCGCCGCCGCCGCCGTCTGAGGATAGTGGCCGGCAGAGCTGGCAACCGAACGGGTGGACGCTGGTTGCTTGCGGCACCGATTGCACCGTGGCTGTGAGCGGCGAAGGCGGCTGCTTCACGTGGGGCGACGGCGCGCACGGCAGGCTCGGGCTTGGTGACACGGAGCCCCGCGAGGCCCCAACACGAGTTGAGACTATCTCGCCGATCGCTTCTGTCGAGGCTGCTTCTCCAGGTGACGAGGAACGGGCCAGCGAGGAGGTGAGGGACAGTGGCGACAGCGCGGTTGGCGCCGGAAGCAGCTTGGGGGCTGCACTTGCTGACGCTTTCGCCGAAGAGGGCGGTGGGGCTGTGGAGCCGGACGGCTTCGTGGTTGAGGCTCTTGCTTGCGGCTGCGGCATGGGTGATAGCGACGCTGGCCCTCTCATGATGGCGCTGGTCGTGCCGGCGTTGCCGGAGACGCCGAGCGAACGCGTGGGCAGCTCCTTTAGCCAATACCGTGAGGGGCCGGAGGACGACTGGAGCGACCGCTCTTCATTCCTCGACAGTTTTACGGCCTCGGTCACCTTGTTTTGATCCGGGGACAGTCATGAAATGATAAAGCATTTGTACGATCGATAGCCGCTCTCTCACTCTACTCTCAGCTGCTCTGTGAGTCATCAGTCAAGTGTCAACCGCACACACGAGACAAAGTCTAGAAGTCAAGAGAGAGCGGTGCGCGCAGCGGTTGCGCGCGCGCCGCGGAGCGCACCGCAGCAGCGGCCGTGACAGACGGCGTCGCCGCGGATGGAGCCAAGCATCTTGGCTGCGGTTTCGTACGCTTCAGCCGTCCACTCCGCCGCGCTCAGCATCGGACAGCATCACCTGACGATGGGGCAAGGCGCAGTCAGCGAACGCCCCAGCTCCCACCGCCGGTCCGCCACCGCCCTCGCGCCTTGTACTCGAGCGCACCCGAGGAGCGGTCCGACGGCATCTCGACCGTAAAGTCGGCGGAGTGAGCCTGCAGGAAGTGGTACAGGCCGGCATGCCGCTCCTTGAGTACGCTCAGCAGGCCGACCGCCGCGAGGTTGCGCCCCACATCGCGCGAGCTCGAGACGCCGCCGTGCTGCAGCAGGTGGTCTCTCACCGCGCCAACTAGCGCCCCCTCGCCCGGCACGGCCTCGCCTCCGAGCGAGCCGGCTGCGGGCGGGCTCTGCGCCGCCGGCTGGGCCGCTGCCCGCGCGGGCCTCCGCTCGAAACTCCAAGCCGGCGCGTCGGGTAGCCTCGCGTCTCTGGACGGGTTGGTGCCTCCGATGGGCGGCCCGCGCGCGTGCGGCGAGAGCGAGAGGGGCGGCGGCGAGGTGAGAGGGTGGGCGGGCCACGCTGCCTCGAGCGGGTTCGGCGCGGCGGGCCACTGCGGAGAGGCCTCCGCGCTGTGTCCGGCGGCGGCCTGGACGGCTAGCAACGACTCCATCCCCGCCGCGCCGCCCGCGCCGCCCGCGCCGCCCGCGCCGCCCGCGCCGCCCGCGCCGCCCGCGCCGCCCGCCGCACCGCCCGCCGCGCCGCCCGCCGCGCCGCCCGCCTCCCCACCCGATGGAGCGCCTCCCACAGGGCTGCCTCCAAGAGGGCTGCCTCGCTCGCCGGCGGCGATCGCGCCGCCCAGCTCTCGACCCAGCTCATCCTCCTCGCCCCCCTCGCCCTCCTCGCCCTCGTCGTCGCCCTCGTCGTCGTCGCCCTCCGCCTCCTCCTCCTCGCCCACGCTCTTGGCGGCCATGATCGCCTCCTCGCCGCGCATCTCCGCCTCGCTCGCCTCCGCCACTAAAGCGAGCTCAAACTCGCGCGCCCGCCGCTCGCCGCCTCCGCCGCCCTCGCCCGCCGCACCGTCCGCCTCCGCCGCCCCGTCCTCGCGGCGGCGGATCTCCAGCGTCTGCGGGTACGCCTGCGCGAACGCGGTCAGCGACCCGAAGGTTCGCTTGAGCAGCTGCAACGCGTCATCGCCCGTCGACGAAACGCCCGCCGCAGCCGCAGCCGCGGGAGGCGGAGCGGCGTCGCCGGGCAGTGTGCCGGGCGGGGGCGGCTGCTCGGTGACGTCGACAGGCACGGCGGAGCTGCGGAGGAAGCGTCCGATCTCGCGCGAGCGCGCGGCGCCGCCGTTCGCGCGCAAAAAGGCGGAGAGGACGCGGAGGAGGGCGAGGCCAGCAGGCGAGCGAGGCGCGTCGGGCGAGATGGAGGGCGCCTTTGGGGAGAGGAGGAGGAGGCGAGGGTCGAGAGGCAGAAGAGGGGCTGGGCGGTGCCTCGGGAAGTGTCTGGGGAGGGGCTGGGGGAGCGCCTTTGGCGAGGGGAGCACGATCAGGTCGAGGTAGTCGTCGAGCCTAGGGTCGGGGGTCAGGGTCGGGGGTCAGGGTCGGGGTCGGGGTCATGGCATGGGTGGGCGTCGGGCGGAGTGTGGGCGGTAGCCAGATCGGCTCGAAGTCGCGCACGTGCGCGTTCGGGTCGAGCAGGTCGCGCGAGCAGCAGTTGCGCATCGAGCAAAGGGCGACGCTCTTCCCCTTCTGTCGGATGCGGCTCATCGCGGGGATGAAGTCCTTGTCGCCCGAGATAAGCACCGCGATATCGTAGGCTCCCGGGATGGAGGCGTAGTGCATCATCTCTACGGCGAGAGAGATGTCGATGCACTTCTCCTGCAGGCCGGTGGTCGTGCGCACGTGCACCTCGAAGCCCGCCGCCGCCATCTGACGGAACATGCTCATGCGCAGCGAGCGGCGGTGCGTGTCGGCGCGGTACGACGTGAAGACCATCGTGCGCGTGATCTCGACGAAGCGGCGCGTGCCGTAGCGGCGCAGCAGCTGCTGGTGGATGTGCTGCGAGATCAGGTACGGCAGCCGATCAAACGCGACCGAGTTGGAAAAGGCCCACCCGTCTCCGTACCGCTGCTGCACGGGGCAGTTTGGGCGGCGGCCATGGAACGAGTAGTAGAGCCATGATCCGTCGACGAAGACCATCACACGCAGCGGGAAGGCGCTCGCCTGGTACTCGAGCCCGCTCTCGGCTGACGGAAGGCCGGGAGGTGGGAATGGTGAAGGCAGCGTGGCGCGGAGCGCGCATGCCCTCGGCCGCTCCCGCCAGCCGGACGCGCGAGAGAGGGTCGTCCAGGCCGAGGTGCCGCCCAGCAGCACCAGCAGCGTGAGGGCGCCCATCGCCGCTGGCCCTCGCCAGAACCGAGAGCGAAGGCGACAAAAGAATTCGGTGCGCACAAGAAAAAATAGACCACGGAGCTCGTCGTGCGAGCTCCCGCACTGGGCAGTCGACTGCATCGGGCGGGTTGCGCTCGATGATATCGCTGCACGCCGCCTCGCTCGGCCTGGCTGCGCCTGCGTCGGCCCCGGCGGCCCCTCGCGCTCCGCCGCAGCAGCAGTGGCTTCCGGGCGCGGGCCGCTCGCCCTCGTACCTCGATGGCTCGCTTCCCGGCGACCGCGGGTTCGACCCGTACTGCCTCGTCGCGCTCGCGCGCACGCGCACGTCGGTCGACTCTGGCCCGTGGGCCAAGCTCGACCGGCCGACGCGGATGGTGATGGCGCAGGACTGGGAGGCGAGGAAGAAGGTTGCGTGGATGCGCGAGGCGGAGATCAAGCACAGCCGGCTCGCGATGATGGCGGCGGCGGGCTGGCCGCTGTCGGAGCTCGCGGACGGGCCGCTGAGCAAGCTGCTCGGCCTGCCGGCCAACCTCGTGGCGGGCGGGAGGGCGCCCTCCCTCCTCAACGGCGGCCTGTTTGACAACCTCGGCTTTCTCGGCCTCGTCGCGCTGGGCACCGCCTACCTCGAGCTCAACACGCTGGACAACGTGGAGGGCCTCACGCCGTCGGGCTACCTGGCGGGCGACCTAGGCTTCGACCCGCTCGGTCTCGGCGAGGGAAAGATGGAGCACATGGCCGAGGCGGAGATCAAGCACGGCCGTGCGGCGATGCTCGCGGTCGTGGGGTTCGCCGTACAAGAGGCGATCTACGGCACGCCGGTGGTGCAGCAGACGCCGCAATTCTTCAAGCCCTTCTTCCTCTGAGGCGGTCGGCCCGCGCGGCTTCGGGGCCGTTTTTAGGTGGCGGGTTCATTAGTAACAGCATAGGTCACGTCAGGTGCGACGTGGTGGTGCGAAGCCTCACATAAATCACATAAACGCGCACAACAAACAAGTGCAAGGCCCCGAAATCGCACAGTGACGGAAAAAAGTTTCGCCACTTCCGACTTCCTCACTCGTCGGCCTGGCGCGCTTCTCTGCGCCCTCCCACATCTTCCTAAAATTCCAAATGGCGGGATGATACGGAGTCGCCGAGAGCTCATCGCCGCCACCTCCATCTTTGCTGTCGCTGCGCTCGCCGCACTGTGCTGCCAACCGCGGCCTAGCGTACCGCTCGTCGACTTGCGTGCTCCGGCTTCGGTGCAGCGGGAGGCTTGGGCTGCCGGCGCAGCGCTCGGCGCCGTGCGGCTCGTCGGGCATGACCTCGACATCGCGGCGGCGCTCAATGCCTCACGCTCCCTCTTTGCTCTGCCCGAACCGACCAAGCTCGCCGCTGGCTCTCTCGATGGGCGGCCTGGCTTCCAGCGCGGCTACTTGGCCATCGGCGGCGAGAGCGGTCTGGCTGCGAACCTCGAGCTGAAGGAGGGCTTCTGCTATGGGTACGAGTGGCCGGCGAACGCGCCTGTGGAGAATGGCTTGTGCGGCCCGAATCTGTGGCCCGAGGGCAGCGAGGGCGCGCCCTGGCGGGCGGAGCTGACTCACTACTTCCACGCCGCGGCGGGCGCAATGCAGCGCGCGACCGCGCACATGGCGGAGGCGCTGCTGCTTCCTGTGGACGCGGCCTCGCTGCTGCGCGGCGGCGAGCGCATCTCGATCATGCGCCTCTTCCACTACTTTTCAGCGGCGGAGCACGCCCACATCGCGCCAGGTGGGCTCCGCGCCTGCGGGTCGCATCTGACTCGACGCGGACACGTCCCGCCCACGCCTGTAGGCAAGCCGCGCACCGGCTCGTCGGCGCACACGGACTGGCACGTGGCGACCCTCATCGCGCAGGACGGCACCGGAGGGCTGCAGCTGCTCGGCGCCGACGGGGCGTGGGTGGGCGTGCCCCCGCTCGCCGGCGAGGTGGTGGTGCTGCTCGGCGACTACCTGCACCTCCTCTCGCGCGGGGCGACTCACTCGCCCATCCACCGCGTCCTGCTGCCGCCCGAGCGGCGGCACCGCTACTCGCTCACTCTCTTCGGCTACCCCAGCTTTGACGCGACGCTGCCCGCCGAGGCTGCGGCCGCGGCCGAGCTGCCGCCGTCGCACACTCGCGCGCAGCTCGCCGCGGCGGGCGCCTTCAACACGCTCGTCAACGGCTCGGACCCGCAGGCGAGGCTTCGCTTGGCAGAGGAGGCCTTTGGGGATTTGGTGCTCGACAAGTGGCGCGGCGTCGCTGCGAATCGAGTCGGCAGTCGGTCGGACCGTGCAGGGAGTGACGCAGTGTGAGGCTGAGGGAGCCCCTCCTCGGAGGTCGGGGTTGAGGTGTCACTTCGCCGGCTGCGAGAGGGACGTCCACACTGACATTCGTCATCAGTTCGTCATTCAACAGTACCTCGCTCATTTTACTGCGCGCAGCGCGCTCACTCGTTCTTTACAACATGTGCATGCACATGTGCATGTGCATGTGCATGTGCATGTGCATGTGCATGTGCATGTTGTGCATGTAGCCCTGACGACCCTCGCGTCCATAACCGCTCGGTGGAAGCGAGTACGGCGCTGCTCACGCAGACGGCCGCCGCCGACACACCCACGAGAACGCCAAAATCGTCGGGCCGTGGGTACGCGAGCGAGAGGCCGAGCATGCCGAAGCCCGCCAGTTCCGCGAGCGCCCTCTCGAAGTTGAAGACGAGCACCGCGCCGTCTCCGGCGGGCACGGCGAGCTGCAGCAGCGCGCGCTCGCACAAGTCGAAACCCCAGAGGCCCACGCGCGAGCCGGCGACGGCGCCCATCAGCACCGCCTCCCGAGCAGGCCCTCGGCGGGGCCAGGAGGGGAGGAGGACGGCAAGCGCCGCGGCCACAACCATGCCGAGCTGCAGCCGCTGCAGCACCGCTCCCGCCCGACCCACGCCGAGCCGCTTGATGAGCGGCGGGCCGGCGACGGTGCCGAGGCAGCCCGCCGCCTGCGCCGCGGATCGGAAGGTTGCGATCGAGCCCGCGCCGACGCCTCGGCTGCGCAAGTGCGCGGTGAGCAGGCCGGACGGCGAGAGCACCGTGAAGAATAGCGCGACGAAAGCGCAGAGCGTGCGGCGCGCCCCCGGCTCGAGTTCCGCTGCCAGGCGGCCGCCTTCGCGCAGCCCGCCGAGCGCTGCCCTCAAAGGCGGAGGTGGCTTGTCGGCCGCGTCGCCGTCCGCCGCGAGCGCTGGCTCGGACCGGCGGAGGAGCGCCAGCACTGCCAGGGTGGCACAGGCCGCTGTACAATGCCACGCTGCGAGCGCGGCGAGCAGCGAGGCGGGGTCAGCCAGCAAGGCACCGTCGGTCTGTGCCAGGGCCAGCAGCGCGTAGGTGCCGACGGAGGCACCGAGATCGGTGCGCATCACCGCCGCGTTGGCGGCCGCCAGTCGGTCCACGTCGCCGCCGCATGTGCGCCTCACGTAGTCCTTCTCGACGACGAGAGACAGCAGGGAGGAGATGGCGCCGTCGACAGCCATGAGTACCGCTCCAGCCCAGAAGCGCGGGTCGCCCATCACGCCGTTCGAGTACACTGTACCCGGCGCGCCAGCAGCAAGCAAGGCGGCACCGCCACATAGCACGCACACGTTCTCGCAAACAACGAGCAGCGCCATCCAGCGCGGCTGCATCCGCGGCCCTGCGCGTGCGATCAGCGGGGCCAGCAGGACAACTCCCAACGACTGCGCCAGCGAGACGGCCGAGATGGGGCGCAGCGAGCCGGGCGACGCCTGTGCGAGGTAAACGGGCAGCACAAAGGCCCATGCGCGGTCTGAGCACGAGCGGAGGCCGTGTGCGAGGCAGAGCAGAGCGAGCGACATCGCCTGTCGTGTGCGGTGGAACCCTGTGGTTAGAAGTCGTTCGTGCAGCTGGCTGAGGCAGGCCACAGCCCAGCAGCTTCGGTGGCTGCGGCCTCGGCGGCACGCACGAGCAGGTTCGTTGTGAAGAGCCTCACTATGCGGATCGGCAAAGGCGCAACGCGTCGATTGACGATCTATGCTTTTGACCCATCAGTCTCCCGAGTCTACGCCCTCAGTTCCCCTGCCGTGCATGCCCCTCTCCGGGGGCCCGGCAGGGGAAGAGACAGTGCCGATGCTGCACAGCACTTTGCGCAGCACTACAATGACATACACACATCAGCCAACGGCGTGGCGATGTCGCGCGCATCTACGCGGTGCGTGCACAAGACAAGGAGTTTGGCCTCTTCTGCCACACGTACGAGCTTGGCCGCTTCTGTCCGTCCATGCTGCCGTCGGCGCAGCGCATCCCACCTATATTGGCGACCTCTTCACGCAGCAGAGCACTTTTCCAGTCCCGAAACAGGGCACGCTCGCTGCTGTCGGGGCCCACGAAAGCGTGGATCGCGTGCCTGGCGGCGTGCGAGGAGATCGACAAAAACACGCCGCAGTCGGAGGCGATCAAGTTCAGGGAGGCGAGCGACTCGCTACATCTCGACAGCATCTCGATCTCCCAGTTCGGCGCCGCTGGATGGCTCGACATGCGCCCTGATGGACTCCACCACACGAAGATGGTGTCGGCGATGTTCCTGACGGCGATACAGCGCAGGCACGGGCTCTACTCTTGTCGGTGATTGCGCCCACTTTCGTCGAGAAGGCCGCCGCGGGCGTGCACCGTCACGGTGGGAGAGTACAAGGGCGACTCCCTCGCCAACTCCAACAAGGGCGACCGCACCTCCAAGCACAATGGGGTGCTAAGGAGCCGCCCAGAATGCCATCCGGGCGCGCTCGGTTGGCAGCATCATCCTCGGGGACAAGGAGAAGCCCGAGGTGACGCGGCACCTCAACGACACGTCCGTGACTGACATCTGCGAGCTCGGCGGCGTCTTCGCCACGATGCGGGACGTGCATTACGAGGTCAAGTGCTGGAACCCGCTCATCAAGTCGACGACGGCGGGGAGGCTGAGGGAGGGTGTAGAGGATGTAGAGTGTAGAGCGCTGTAGAGCTGTAGAGATTTAGAGCGCTCTGGAGCGCTGTAGAGCTGTAGAGCTCTACATCCGCCGCGTGACGAGGCGGGTGCGTTGTAGAGCGATGTAGAGCGCGATTTTGTTGTAGAGTTTGTTGTGTAGAGGCTCCACAGCCAAACCGCCGGGAAGGCAGTGTCCAGTGACTCAAGGAGGTCGAGCCGCGCTAATGGGGTGTCGCCGAGCTTACTGGAGCTCTGATGGACGGCCCTGACTGACCCTGACACACAGAGAGCTCTGACGGCACACAACACCCTAACTGCGTCATGACCAGCCTGCCATGCGTCGCCGGTGCCGCATTCATCGCAGTGCTTCTTTAGCAGGCGGCAGGCAGGCGGTGGACTGTCGGCTGCGAGGACGGTCGCATTTGCGTGAGGCGAGGCGAGCATTCAGACGCGTTGCATGCGCCATGCCTCGCGCCAGCGCGTGCGGGAGCTCCTGGCTGAGCGTTGAGTCCAGGCGAGTTGCGCTGGCCACGATCGCTGCGCCAAGCCGACTGACGCGCCGAGGCGCCGGCCAGTCACAGCCGTGAGGCATGCCACAGCAGCAGAGGCACCTGCCACCCATTGGGCGGGCAGACAGAAGGCCAGGGCAGCACTGGCAAGTGCAACGCGCCTCATGTCGGAGAGCGACCGTGCCTCGTTCGCGCCGCTTACTTGTACGTACGTTATGATGTAGAGTTTGTTGTAGAGATTTCACGTTGTAGAGCGCCTCTACATCGCTCTACAACGCAGGCGCCTCGTCACGCGGCGGATGTAGAGCTCTACAGCTCTACAGAGCTCTACATCTCTACATCTCTACAGCGCTCACACTTCCCGTGACGAAAAACGAACGCACACCAAGCGCTAAGCGTGAGGACACGATTTCGAATTCGTAGGAGCATCTGAGCAAAATTGAGCCCGCTCAGGTGTGAACAAAAGATATAAGGGTCGACCAGGTTTCGAACTGGGGACCAATTCCTCCCGCCAGCGGAAAGGCTTCCAGCAAGATACGCTGCGATTGAAAGAAGGTCTCAGCTCGGGAAACCTCTATAGCATACCGGAGGAATTAGACACCACAGATACGCACACACCGACGCCCGAAGTGCCAAGAAGGACGTCATTAGCACGAAACCTCAGAAGGCCATGGGCGCCGAGAGAACATTCCCCCGAGAGGACAAAAAGAAAAAAGCTGAGGGAGGGTGTAGAGGATGTAGAGTGTAGAGCGCTGTAGAGCTGTAGAGATGTAGAGCGCTCTGGAGCGCTGTAGAGCTGTAGAGCTCTACATCCGCCGCGTGACGAGGCGCCTGCGTTGTAGAGCGATGTAGAGCGCGATTTTGTTGTAGAGTTTGTTGTAGAGGCTCTACAGCCAAACCGCCGGGAAGGCAGTGACTCAAAGAGGTCGAGCCGCGCTAATGGGGTGTCTCCGAGCTTAGTGAAGCTCTGATGGACAGCCCTGACTATCCCTGACACACAGAGAGTCCCTCTGACGGCACACAACACCCTATAACTGCGTCATGACCAGCCTGCCATGTGTCGCCGGTGCCGCATTCGTCGCTGTGCTTCTTTAGCAGGCGGTGGACTGTCGGCTGCGAGGACGGTCGCATTTGCGCGAGGCGAGGCGAGCATTCAGACGCGTTGCATGCGCCATGACTCGCGCCAGCGCGTGCGGGAGCTCCTGGCTGAGCGTTGAGTCCAGGCGAGTTGCGCTGGCCACTATCGCTACGCCGAGCCGAGCTGACGCGCCGAGGCGCCGGCCAGTCGCAGCCGTGAGGCATGCCATAGCAGCAGAGGCACCTGCCACCCATTGGACGGGCAGACAGAAGGCCAGGGCAGCACTGGCAAGTGCAACGCGCCTCATGTCGGAGAGCGACCGTGCCTCGTTCGCCGCTTATGATGTAGAGTTTGTTGTAGAGATTTCACGTTGTAGAGCGCCTCTACATCGCTCTACAACGCAGGCGCCTCGTCACGCGGCGGATGTAGAGCTCTACAGCTCTACAGCGCTCTCCAGCACTCTACATCTCTACAGCTCTACAGCGCTCTACACTCTACATCCTCTACACCCTCCCTCAGGAAAAAAGGCTTCGCACCCCGACGACTGCACTCCAAGTGCTCCAAGTGCACCCCCTCCTTGCGCAGTGACCCTCGCTAAGTGTCGCCGTTATCGGGGCACGCTATCCTGCGCAGGCAGGGCAAGCGGGGGCGAGGCGCAGTCCCTCTGGTCTATACTGGTGTGGTTCTGTCCCTAGTCTCGGAGAGGGGGGCAAAAAGATAAGAATATGTATTTTTTTCTTCAGCGCTCACACTCTACATCCTCTACACCCTCCCTCAGCGGGGAGGGAGGGGCTCGTGGGACAACGGTGGCAATGTGTCGTCGGTGGGCCACCTCTACGGGTTTGGAAACACGCTAGACAAGGCGTTGACGGGGGTCGTGGGGTGCAAGGAGCGTGGCCGTCAGGTGGACGGACCGCTCGACCACTCGCTGGTCGCTCGACTGGAAAGGGATGGGTCAAAGACCACGCGTATGGAGACAGACGGATGGGGGTCAAGAAGAATGCGGGCTGGAAACGGATGGGCTGGGGGCGCAGTACTACGACGCGAGGTGGGTCAAGAAAGCCATAACGCGGCTGGTGCTCGTGGAAACCTTGGGTGGCATTGCGCCGCCCACCAAGCAGTTCCTCCACGTGTTCGCCAAGGAAGCGGTGGGCACCAACACGGACCGGACCGCGGTGTACCCGCGCGGTCGCGCCAGCAGCACCAGTATTACGCGGTCCCGGCGAGCGCCTCCTCCTTCGTCGTCCACCACACGCAGCAGATCTCCATGGCGGCGGTGGCGGGCGACGCCGAAAACATCAACAAGCAGGCGCGCAAGATGCGCACCAACTGGACCAAGAACAAGCAAGCGGCAAACGGCCTCCTGAGTCTTGTCCTCGGCCCCAGTGGGGGGTGCCCGCGCCGCCAAGCTCTGTGCGGACGGGCCCTCCCCCTTCACGTACGGATCATGTAGTCCCCACAATCGCTGTCGTGGGATCGCTTGTCATGACGTCGTTGTGTTGACATTGGTGCGCACTTGGAGCACTTGGAGTGCAGTTGGCAGCCTCACATCCACCCGGCGTCTTTCTTTTTCTCAAAGCCTGCCTAATGCTAGTCGCGCTGCTCGCTTCGGGCTTGGCCCCGGCTCGGCCTCCGCTGCGCCAGCTCGCTGCGCCGGCGCCCGCCGACGCCAAGGCGAGGGTGCTGCTAGCGATGCGTGGCGGCGAGGCACGCATGTCGGCCGCACAGGCGTTCGGCCTCTACGCTCCTGCGATGGGCGTCCTGACCTCCAACGCCCTGTATTTCTCGGCGCTGCCGGCCGTGCTCGCTGCGCGCAACAGTGGCGACCTTGGCCCCTTCAACCCGCTGCCTTCGACCATCATGATCCACAGCGTCTTTGGCTGGCTGTGCTACGGGCTCGCCGTCTCCAACCCGTGGATCGTGGCCTCCAACCTGCCGGGCGCCGGGGCGGTTCTCGCAACCTTTGCCGTCATGCTGCCGCTGATGGGCAACAGTCATCCGGCGCTCTCCGCCTGCCAGCTGACCTTTGTCGGCGGCGCGATGGCGACGCTCTGCCTCTGGACGGGCCTCGTCTTTGCAAAGGTTGCGGCCCGCGCCACGCTAGTGGGGTACTTTGCGTCCGCGATCTTTGTGGTGCTCGCGGCGTCGCCTCTCTCGACCATCCGCACCGTCCTCTCCACGCGCGATTCCGCCTCCATATACACGCCGCTCACCTTGGCACAGTGCGCAAACACGCTGCTGTGGACGGTGTACGGAGTGGCCGCCGCCAAGGACGTGTTTGTGTACGGGCCCAACGGCATCGGCCTCTGCCTCGGCCTCGTCCAGCTCCTACTCAAGCTCGTCTTCCCCACGCGAAAGCGATAGGCGATAGCGGGCGGGGCTCGCCCGGGTCCCGCTGTCCGACAATCTCGTGTTTGAGTCTATGGTGGTGCACTCTCCGCGGTCGTCCGTGTGGTGTGTGTGTGCCACACCGACACGTGGGGCGTCGTACATCAAACATGCGTTCCGGTTAACCCTGGCAGCGCAGGGCAGCAGGCTGCTCTTCGCGAGCAGGACATTTTTTAGATCGTTTATAGAGACATTTTACACATGATCGAGCGCGGGGAGCCGCCCCCCGCCCTGCGCCCCGCGCCGAATCGCGAATGGCAATGCAGCCCCTTGGAGTGTGAAGGCTTCGTAGCCCTCCGGTCTACTATGAAGATCCGCAGGACTGGAGCGAAAAAAGCAAGCGAGTGATGATGGCAATGGGCATGCGCATCGCGCATATGCCGCCCGCCGTTCGTCATGACGGTTCCCGTAAGGTCATACACACACACCGGTGGTGTGCGCGCGCTGACAGGAGATGATGCTTTATCCTCTACTGTGTTGCCCGTCGTCACGTCGAGGACGCGTGGCACCGTCTGCATGTCCCGCCTCTGACTCTCTCCTCCTGCGCTTGCGCTCGGCCCGCTGCCGGCGCTGCGCCTCCAAGGCATCGCGGCACTTTTCCACCAGCTCCACCGGCCCGACCAGCTCCACAGAAACCTCGACGGGCGCCGAGCAGACCGGGCACTCCCAGCCGCCGCCGTGCACAGTCGAGATGCCATCGCTCACCGCCGGCGCGGCCGCACTGGCCGCGCCGGCCGCGCCGGCCGCGCTGGCCGCGCTGGCCGCGCTGGCCGCACTGGCCGCACTGGCCGCGCTGCGCCTGCCGCGCGCCATCTCCTTCGCCACGCTCTGGCGCAGCACGTGGCCGCACGGACGCAGCGCCACGAAGGAGTGCATGCCGTTGGTCTCGACCCCCGAGACAGGGCAGCGCCACGCGCCGGCGAGCCGGCCCGGCGCGTCCTCGTCCACGGCGGGAGCGCGGCGCGGGTTGGGCTCGAGGGCCAGCGGGAAGACGTCGCGGAGGGCGCGGATGTGTCCGAACTTTGCGGTGAGCGCCGCGAGGTCCGTCACGTCCGGTGCGAAGCGTTCCGTCCTCGCCAGGAAGAGGCACACCGCGTCGCGGAGGTAGAGGTTGCCGAGGCCGCACGCGACCACCACGCCCGGCGCGGGCCGCAGCGGCAGCACCTCGCCGGAGAGGGCGCACGTCTCGAACGCCTCCCTCCTGTCGAGCGAGAGCGGCCGCCGCTCCACCCCGGCGGCCGAGGTCGCCTCGACGGCGCCCAGCTGCCCGCCCCGGCTGCTGCGGTGCGCGCCGCCGTCGCTGTTGGCGAGGCGCCAGCTCGAGCCCCGGAGGACGTCCGTCCGAGTGACTAGCGTGCCGCCGTCGAGGCCCATTTGGGTGCGAGCCAAGACCGCAACCCGGCTCTGCCCTTCCAAGCGCGTACGGCGGTTTTTTTTGGAAGTTCTCTCGCGTTGGTGTCCAGTCCGAGCCTGGCTGTTCTTCACCTTTCTACCTACCTACCTAGTTCTCTACCAAGGGCCGACGTGGCGCGGCGTGAGAGCACGGAAGCGAGCTTTGCACGGCGATCGAGGATGGCGCGGTTCACCCCCTTCACCGATGCGATGGAGATGCGTTCCGCGTGGTGTGACACAAACGAGAGGCGGGAGTGGGGAGGGTACGCACCTGAGGGAGGGTGTAGAGGATGTAGAGTGTAGAGCGCTGTAGAGCTGTAGAGATGTAGAGTGCTGGAGAGCGCTGTAGAGCTGTAGAGCTCTACATCCGCCGCGTGACGAGGCGCCTGCGTTGTAGAGCGATGTAGAGGCGCTCTACAACGTGAAATCTCTACAACAAACTCTACATCATAAGCGGCGAACGAGGCACGGTCGCTCTCCGACATGAGGCGCGTTGCACTTGCCAGTGCTGCCCTGGCCTTCTGTCTGCCCGCCCAATGGGTGGCAGGTGCCTCTGCTGCTATGGCATGCCTCACGGCTGCGACTGGCCGGCGCCTCGGCGCGTCAGCTCGGCTCGGCGTAGCGATAGTGGCCAGCGCAACTCGCCTGGACTCAACGCTCAGCCAGGAGCTCCCGCACGCGCTGGCGCGAGTCATGGCGCATGCAACGCGTCTGAATGCTCGCCTCGCCTCGCGCAAATGCGACCGTCCTCGCAGCCGACAGTCCACCGCCTGCTAAAGAAGCACAGCGACGAATGCGGCACCGGCGACACATGGCAGGCTGGTCATGACGCAGTTATAGGGTGTTGTGTGCCGTCAGAGGGACTCTCTGTGTGTCAGGGATAGTCAGGGCTGTCCATCAGAGCTTCACTAAGCTCGGAGACACCCCATTAGCGCGGCTCGACCTCTTTGAGTCACTGCCTTCCCGGCGGTTTGGCTGTAGAGCCTCTACAACAAACTCTACAACAAAATCGCGCTCTACATCGCTCTACAACGCAGGCGCCTCGTCACGCGGCGGATGTAGAGCTCTACAGCTCTACAGCGCTCCAGAGCGCTCTACATCTCTACAGCTCTACAGCGCTCTACACTCTACATCCTCTACACCCTCCCTCAGGTACGCACGCGGTGCGGTCAACCCCGACCCGACTCTCTCTCAGTGCATGTAGCTCTTACGTATTCTTCGCCGTTTTTGTGGTGGAGTGATAACGCTTTCTCTCGCTCCTGTGTGTGAGTGAGTATTCTTCTTAATACGAAACCACGACGACCCCCCCCCCCGACCAGTCGACTCGCTCGCTCGCATCGGTTGCCTCCATGAACGGCGGAGCTATTCTCGCGTCCACACACCACACCTGGCTCCAACGTGGACACGCCCATAGCTGGGGACACTACTAGGTCACGCATGGCATCAGAAGTTTTATCTCTACACACACACACCTCTTTCCCTCTCTTGCTCCTCTCTCTGGACGCCGTTCTCGCTTGACCACACGCCGACGAGGAAGCGTCTTCGAGCCACTCCTCAGCTGGCCTCCCTCGATCGACACCCCTGCTCGCGTTATCGATACAACCAATCATGGCCGACCGGGGGTCCGACGACGACGGCTTCCTCCCAGGGGACCGGGGTGTCCTCGATGATCGCGCTGCGGTGGAGGAACTCAAGCGCGGAGCAGCACGCCTGCTCGGCTCATTGGAAAAGGCAAAGCAGAAGGCGGTGATGGGTGCTCTCACTGTGCTGGAAGATGCGAAGTCTAAACAGAGTGCGGACGATGCAAAGCAGAAGTCCGAGCGCGGGGCGAGCGAAGGGTGCGGTCCCAGCGAGGCGAACAGCAGCGACGGCGAGAGCGACCGTGACACGTTTGGGATGGACTCGGTCGCGCTTTGCGTGTGCGGCGAAGTGCCGTGCGTCTGCGCCTCCTCAGCCTTCACGACGGTCCGCATGCCCAGCGGCTCGGAGCAGCAGCTCATCCGCGTCACGGTGCCCCCGCACGCGGTCGCCGGAAGCGAGTTCACCTTCACCAGTCCGACCGGGGCCTCCATCCGCGCTGGAGTGCCGGACGGCGTTGGGCCAGGCCAGGTCATCCACGTGCGCTCGCCTGAGCCCACGCCGCAGCAGATCCAGCTGAGGGAGAGCCGCTCGTTCGGCGGCAGCTGGTCGAGCGGAGGCACCGGCTCGACCGCGGGCTCGACGCAGCCGTCTCCGTGGTCGTGGTCGTCGCTGGCGGCCGCGAGGGGCTCCGCGTTGAGGCGGGATGATCCCGGCTCGTCAGTCGACTCGACGGAGGGCGAGCTGCGCGAGGGCGGTCAAGGGGGGGAGGGGGAGGCGTCCGACCCTAGGTCCGACCACGCGTGGGGCACTGCCCTCGCTCGCCAGCTCGCAACCTCCTTCCCGCCTCCCGAGGAGGCGGGAGCTAGGGCGGGAGCCAGGCAGCAGGGCGGGGGAGGGGGCGGGGAGGGCGCGTGGCAGCCTGCGCCGGCCGCCTCTGCGACCCGCGCGGCGGCCAGTCAGCGGAGCAGGCTCGGCGGCGGGGCGGCGGCGGGCGGGTGGCCATGGGCGCGGCGGGCAGGCCAAGGGGCGGGCCAAGTGGCGGGCCAAGGGGCGAGGCAGGGAGGCGCCGAGCAAGAGACCGGGCCGTCCTTCTGGGCCGAGGCGGCGGAGCAGGCGCGGGACGCGCTGCGGCGGCGAGGTGGCGAGAGCGTGCAGGCGCGGCGGCGTGGTCGCCCTCAGCCCCCCCCCCCCCTCTCATACCCCTCCCCCCTTCCGAGCCAGGTCCCAACGAGGCCCCTCTGTGCGCCTGCCCTCGCCGCGATGGTGGCTCCGCGGGGCCGCGCCGACGAGGAGGCAGCGCGTGTGCTCCAGCCCGCCGCACGAGCGCTGCTGGCGAGGCTAGCCGCCCGGCGCCTCGAGGCGCTCAAAGTGGCGGCGCTCGTGCGCGGCACTGCGCGGCGCGCAGTCAGGCGGGCTGCGGCGCGGCACGCCGCCCAGGCGGCAGCGGAGCGTGCCGTGCGGCGAGCCGCGGTCCGCACGCGACGGAGGGGCGAGACGCGCCTCTCTGCCACCCCTGACTCGATGCCATCTGCCGCCCCCACGGCAGGTGCGCGCTGTTGCCGGCGCGTGGGTGCGCCACCAGGCCGAGGCGAGGAGGGCGGCGGCTGCCGCTGCCGCCGCCGCAGCCGCCGCAGCCCTGGAGTCGATGCGGCGGCGCGTGGTCAACCTCGACACGGGCGAGGTGATCGACGTGTCCGAGCTCGAGGAGCTGTACAAGGCCACGCCGCTCGACGCCTTTGAGAACGCGGCCAACTCACACCTCGCCCGCCGCGTGGCTCGGCAGGTGTGGTCTGGAGCAGCCGCCCACGACACGCGCATGCCGTGCAGAGCGACACGTCCCCGACACGTCGATGACGCGTCGCTCTGCACGCGCCAGGTGGAGGCGTCGGCCGCGTCCGTCCGCAGCTGTGCGGCAGAGGCGGCAGCGGCGAGCGCGGCCATCGTGGAGGCGTCTGCCAGGGCGGCTTCGCTCGCGGCGCAGCTGCAGGGGGTGTTGGGCGAGGTGAAGAGGGAGACGGAGTCGCGGCGGGAGACGCTCCTCAAGCGGCACGCCGAGCTCACTGGCCAGCTCGGGGCGCTGCGCCGTGTCGCCGACGAGGAGGGAGGCTCGCTGTGGGGAGGGCTGCACTCCCTTCACTCCGAGCTCGTGTCGGAGCTGCCCGGCCTCCTGCGCTCGCTCGAGGAGTGCGCCTCGCAGCTGCACGGCTCCGTGTCGGCGTCCGATCTGTCGGCCGAGCTCGGACGTCAGCAGGCGCGCCTTGGCTGGCGCGGCCACGCCAGGCTAGCGCGGCGGCGTGACTTCGCCGGCCCACCCACGCCGCAGGCGGACCAGCTGCTCCGTGCTCACGTCGAGCTTGTGCAGTTCCGCGCGTCTGCCCTCGAGCTGATGGTGCTGCGGGGCGGCCAGACCGAGGCGTGGCATGCGCCCTCGCGTGGTTCGGTCTCCTCCGGCGTGGTCTCCTCCGGCGACGGCGATGGCGTCCGAGCCGCCGCCGGCAACACAGGCGCACACAGCGACGGCTTGGCTGCGCTGGCTTCGAGGTGGCTCCAGGGCCTGTCTTTCTACGGCGCTTCCGCTGGCACAGGCGCTCCTCCACCGCCGAAGACGAAAGTCAAGATCCTCTCACGGCGGCTCTCCCAAGCTTGGACCCAGGAGCTTCAGGCAGCGCAGGAGCCGGGGCAGCCGGGGCCGCCCTCGCCGACGCCTTCCTTTTCGGGGCTGCACGGGGCTGCATTCATCGCGCATGACTACACGCAGCGGAAGAGGCCGACTGCAGAGACCTTCCCTTGGTGGGATGCGCGAGACGAAGAGGGGAGCGGCGGCGGCGACAGCGCTCCCGGAAGCGTTGTGGAGAAGGTGAGTGAGATGCAGATGGTGGGAGGCTTTCGAAGCAGCGCCTACTCACGCCTCGATTGATGTAGAGTTGAGCTGTTGTCGATTGACACTCCGACGTACTCTATTCACTGTATGTTCTCTACCCCCAGAAATATAATCACTCCGCACACGATCCCTCTCTGTGGCTCTCTTCTGACTTCCTCCCGCGCGACGGCCGACCCGGCGACGCGCGACATACACGCGACACCCATCACCCTCAGCCTCACCCCCGGGAGCGGGACTGATTTGAAGAGATTAAGCACTTCCAGTATCCCGACCCGTCGGTTTCGGGCGTTTGCGATTTTGTGCGTGTTTCCAATAAGACGTGGTCCGTGTCCATCTCGTGTCCTATCTTAGACTCGTGTTTGTTTGCCTCACCTTTTTCAAATGTACGTATGTAGCTCTCGTACGAACATACCCGAAGGTGGACTGCTGACAGGGTTTGCGATGAGGAGCGACTCCTCCGAAGGGTGTTCGGGGTTCGTTCGTTCGTATAAACCACTAATAGCCTCCGCACGGCTGCTCGGGTCGCTCCTCAACATTTTCCATACATACAGAGAGAGAGAGAACAGAGAGAGAGAGAGAGAGTACATACATACATAAATTGGGTGGGGGAGAGCGCCCGAGCTCGGCATGAGATGTCGGATAAAGGGGAAAGCTGATTATTAGCTTTCCCTCGGAGCCCGAATTTTGGCCAAACATCGCATGACCGACGGGCATCCATTAGTCCTCATCAGCCATTTACCATGGGACTGTGGGGTGCCGCCCCCGCCCCGGTGGAGGAGCCGCCGTCAAAGAGTGGTTTCTTCGCAGGTCTGATGGGCGCCGAAACCAAGCGGCCATCGGCAGCGGGGGGGGGCCAGGCTGCGCGGGCGAAGGCGCCAGTCTACCGCTCGGCGGCGGTTGCGGATGCTGCGCAGGCCAAGAAGGGCGTCGATCAGGGAAAATCGACAGCGGCCGCGGCGGGCGCGTCATCAACTGCAGCAAAGGGCGGCGGCTTCTTCTCGGGGCTGCTAGGCTCAGCCGAGGCCCCGGCGCCTGCAGCGTCCGAGGACGCTGGAAAAGCAACGAAAGGCGGCTTCTTCTCGGGTCTGCTGGGGGGAACTCGGGCAGCGGACGTCCCGCCTGCAGAGGCGAACAGTTCTGGCAGCTATTTCTCCGGGCTCTTTAGCGGCGACGCTGGCGCGTCCGCTGAGTCCGCAAAGTCGGCAAAGTCTCCGGCCAAGGGTGCTGCGGCTACAGCGTCGGCGGAAGGCAAGCGGTTTTCCAAACATGATTTGGGGCTGTTCGGAGAGCGATCGAGCGAGGCAGTCGAAGACCTTCGCCGCTTCAGCGGCTCCTGGTCGAGGAGCCCCAAGCAGCAAACAAAGGAGGAGGAGGCGGCGGGTCTCATGGAGCGGCTGACGGGACGCCGCTCCTCTTCTGGCGCCAGTGACGCATCCAAGAGCTTTGTGAAGCACGACCTTGGTCTGCTAGGGGACCGATCGAGCACAGAGGCTCAGAGACCAAAGCCGACACCAGCAGAGTCGCGGAAAGCGACCAAGGCAACCAAGACGCGAGACGTTGCGGCCAGCGACGGTAGCGCTTCCGCGCAGCCATCGCTGTGGCACCCCCCGTCAGAGATGGGCGCAGACGCCACCGACGTCTACGCAGCAGCAGCGGACCAGAGCACCAAGGGCCTTCAGGCCTCGGACACTCAATCGGAGGCAGCAACGATCTCGCCTTCAGAGACGAGCTCAGATGCCACCGAGGCCTACGCGGCAGCAATGGCCGCTCTTGACGATCCCAGCTTGGAGGACGGGTTGACTCTGGCAACTGATCTGGCACCGATGGAGGAAGCTAACATGGCTGAAGTCGAAGCAGGGCCATCCGTCACTGAGGTCGCTCAGTCGGGCGCCGCACTGAGTGACGTCAAGTCGGCCATTTCAGAAGCCGATGGACGGTCGCAACCCGTGGCGCCAGTGTATCGCCGCGCTAGCTTCACTGCGGGTGCTGGGAGAGCAAGTACGGAGAGAGCAAGCACCGAGAGAGCCAGCACCGAGACGACAAAGAAGCGCGGGTTCTTCTCAGGGATGTTCAGCTCGAAGGCTAAGAAGGCGGAGACAGCCGCGCGCGCTTCAGCAATTGCGGCAGCGGCCGCGGAGGCAGAAGCCGCGGTAGCGGAGCGAGAGGCGGCGGCGGCAGAGAAGGAGGTGGCTGTGGCCGGGGAAGCAAGGGAATCCTCAGAGGCCGAGGCAGCGGCAGCCGGAAAAGCAATAGCGCTGAAGGAAGCGGTGGAGAAGTCCACGGATGGGACGGCGGCTGCAGAGAAGGCGGCGGTCGTGGAGGCGGCCACCAAAGAGGTGGAGGAGGCGGCGGCTATGGACAAGGAGGCCCCCGAGAACGCAGCGGCGACTTCGCCGCGGCCGAGTCGACTGCAACAAACAAGGCTGCGGCCGAAAAGGCAGCGGCGGAGGAGGCGGCGGAGATGGCCGCAGCCGAGAAGGAGGCGAAGGCTGCAACTGAGAAGGCCGTAGCCGAGAAAGCTGCGGCCGAGGAAGCCGCAGCCGAGAAGGCCGCAGCAGAGAAGGCCGCAGCAGAGAAGGCCGCAGCCGAGATAGCTGCGGCCGAGGAAGCTGCGGCCGAGAAGGCCGCTGCCGAGAAGGCAGCCGCCGAGGAAGCAGCGGCGGAGAAGGAGGCGGCGGAGATAGCAGCAGCAGAGAAGGCAGCGGCTGATATAGCTGCTGCGGAGAAAATCTCGACCGAGAGGGCCGCGGCCGAAAAGGCTGCAGCGGACAAAGCAGCCGCGGAGAAGGAGGCGGCTGAGAAGGCTGCTGCAGAGAAGGCTGCTGCAGAGAAGGCCGCTGCGGAGAGGGCCGCTGCGGAGGAGGCAGCTGCGGAGGAGGCAGCTGCGGAGGAGGCCGCGGCTGAAAAGGCTGCGGCTGCGGAGAAGGCGGCTGCGGAGAAGGCGGCTGCGGAGAAGGCGGCTGCGGAGGCGAAAGCGGCCGAGAAAGAAGCGGCCGAGAAGGAGGCTGCCGACAAGGCGGCTGCCGAGGAGGTGGCTGCTGAGAAGGCTGCGGTTGAGCAGACCACTCAGGACGAAATCGCGGAGAGGGTGGGCAAAGCAGTCATGGAGAGGTCGCGCAGCCGTGGTGTTTCGGCAAAGCAAGCTGTGTCTGAGGGCTTGGCGGCAGAGAAGGCAGCAGAGGAGGCGCTTGCCGCCGGTGCATCTGCACCGCTTGCCATGGTGGCTGCAGGCAAAGCAGCGGCCAAGGCAGTGAGCTCGGGAAGAGCGCCTGAAGCGGCGGCCAAGGAGGCGGCGGCTGCGGCAAAAGCTGCGCAAGACGCCGTCGATGCAGGTGCACCCGCGGAAGCAGTGAAGGCGGCGGCGGCGGCTGCCGCTAAGGCGATTTGCCTCGGCACAACGGAACACGAGGCGGCTAAAGCCGCTACTGCCGCGGCTGAGGCGGCGGAAGACGCACTCGACTGTGGCGCTCCGCCCGGCGCCGCGGGGGCCGCTGGTGAAGTAGCGTCAAGGGCAATCCTCGACGGCAAGATTGCGGCGAAGGCAGCAGAAGAAGCTGAGGTGGCTGCAAGCGCGGCTCAGGAGGCTCTGGCTGCCGGCGTGTCTCTGGCTGCTGCAAAAGTAGCAGGCAGCGCGGCAGCTGATGCGTTTGGCCTCGGTAAGACGCCCGCGGAGGCGGCCAAGCTTGGCGCGAAGGCAGCGGCGGCAGCTCAAGATGCGCTCGACAGCGGCGTTTCGCCCGAGGCGGCGACGGTGGCGGCCGAGGCGACGACCAACGCCCTTGCACTCGGCAAGGCCCCCGAAGAGGCGGCCAAACAAGCCACCGCCGCCGCAAAGGCGGCGCAAGAGTCAATCCGTAGCGGCGCCTCGCCGGAGGTGGCTGCCCTGGCGGGCGACGCCGCGGCGAAGGCGATCGACCTGGGAAAGTCGCCAAAGGAGGCAGCCAAGGCCGGCACCGCGGCGGCCAAGGCAGCACAGGACGCAGCGGCCGCTGGTGCGTCAGCTGAGGCCGCAAACATGTCGGCAGACTTAGCGGCAAACGCTGTCGGCCTCGGCAAGAGTACCAAGGAGGCGGCCAAGGCGGCGGTGGCGGCTGCGACGGCGATTGACGAAGCAATCGCCGCCGGTGCCTCGCCCGACGCTGCGAAAGCAGCAGGCAAGGCAACTGCGGACTTGCTTGCGACCGGCGAGACGCCGGAGGAGGCGGCCAAGCAAGCCAGTGCCGCGGCCAAGGCAGCGCAGGACGCCATCGAGGCCGGTGCCTCGCCTGAAGCTGCCTTGCTGGCGGGAGATGCGATGGTCCAAGCGCGCAGTGTCGGCAAGACATCGAAGGAGGCAGCCAGGGAGGCTGCGGTTGCGGCAAAAGCTGCGCAAAAGGCTCTCGATGCTGGTGCACCGCCCGAGGCAGCAAAGGCGGCGGCAGCGGTGGCGGCTAAGGCGGTCGGCGCCGGGAAGAGCGAAGCTGAAGCAACAGAGCTAGCTTCCGCATCGGCTGACGCGGTGGCGGACGCACTCGACGCTGGCGCTCCGCCTGTTGCCGCGGAGGCGGCCGGCGACGTAGCGGCCACGGCGATTGATGACGGCAAGACCGCAGACGAAGCTGCCAAGCAGGCGGCGGCGGCAGCCAAGGGGGCAAAGGATGCGATTCGCTCTGGCGCATCGCCTGAGGCGGCCAAGGCAGCAGCCACCGCCGCGGCGAAGGCCATCGGCGAAGGCAAGACGCACGAGGAGGCGGCAGCGGAGGCGACGGCGGCAGCCAAGGCTGCCCGTAAATCAGGCCCCATAGGACGCATATCGGGGCTGTTTCGGTCCGGCTCATCAAGTGCTACCGTCGATCCAGACGCGCCACGGAAGTCGTTCGTCAAACACGACCTCGGGCTGCTTGGCGACCGGTCCGAGTCTGCGAGCGCGGCACGATCGCTAGAGCTGCCAGACGGAAGCATCGAGCTTCCCGACGGGAGCTTCAAGATGCCCGACGGGAGCATCACCATGCCCGACGGCAGCATCCAGATGCCCGATGGGAGCATCAAGATGCCCGGCTCATCAAGTGCTACCGTCGATCCAGACGCGCCACGGAAGTCGTTCATCAAACACGACCTCGGGCTTTTCGGCGACCGGTCCGAGTCTGCGAGCGCGGCACGATCGCTAGAGCTGCCAGACGGAAGCGTCGAGCTTCCCGACGGGAGCTTCAAGATGCCCGACGGGAGCATCACCATGCCCGACGGCAGCATCCGGATGCCCGATGGGAGCATCAAGATGCCCGGGATCGACATCAAGCCTCCCGATGCGAGCGTCACACTGCCCGAGGTCGACATCGGGCTGCCAAAGGGGAGCGTCGCGCTGCCAGAGGGAGACGTCGAGCTACCAGACGTCGAAATCGATGCACGAGACGCCAGCGTCGACTTGCCCAAGATGGATGTACCAGACGCGAGCGTCAACACGCCGGAGATCGATGGGAGCCTCAAGGTGCCAGAAGCCGCCGCGGAGGGAGGCTTCTTCGGTGGCCTCAGCAGTGGCTTCAGTGGCCTCTTCGGAGGCAAGTCGAGTGCCAAGATCCCCGAAGCCGACGTCGACCTGCCGGACGCGACTCTTCAGACGCCAGACATTAACGTCGAGGTGCCAAAGGTGAGCGTTGAGGCGCCACAGGGAGAGATCGACATGCCAAAGGTTGACGTCGAGGTACCTGAGCCTCGGCAAGCTGCCGCGTGAGGTGGCTAAAGAGGCTGCTGCGGCCGCCAAGGCTGCTCAGAAGGCTCTCGACGCCGGGGCCACGCCCGAGGCTGCCAAGACGGCGGGTGAGGCGGCGGCCCGAGCACGTGGGCTCGGCAAGTCGCCAGACCAGGCAGCAAAGGCGGGCGAGGAGGCGGCCAAGGCTGCGGGTGCCCCAGCCCCTTCTCCGGCTCCGGGCAGTGCGACTGAGGCAGGCGCGGCGACGGCTAAGCCGGGCGAGGCAGCGGCGGGGCCGGCTGCCGCGTCGCCCTTGCCAGCCGCTGCGCCGGCGGCGTCAAAGGAAAGAAAGGCGGGGGCGGCAGCTGGTGCACGTAGCGGAGCTGGAGCGCGTAATGTTGGCGCAGAGGGCGCCCCCAGCGCCTCCGATCCCGGCGAGCAAAAGCAGTCGTTGTTGTCGGGACTGATGGAGAAGGCTCGCTCGGGTGGCTCAAAGCTGATGGAGTCCGCTTCGTCCATGCTTCCCAGTCGGTCCAAGGCCAGCGAAGCCGGCGGCGGAGAGGGTGGCTCGACCAGGGACCTCGCAGCCGCAAGCGGAGCGGACGCTGGCGGCACGAGCCGTTCTCCAGGCAGCAGCGGCTCCTACAGCAAGTATTTGCTACCGCTGATACTGCTACTTCTTGGCCTACTTGTCGGGGCATACGCTGCCAGTCGTGGGGGATCTGGCTCTTCAGCGGCATCTCGCGCGCTGCCGTTCATTGGCGCAGAGCCAGAGCCGGACTCTGGCGCGCTCGGCCCTCTCGCTGCCCTGGGATTCGTGCTGCTTCCCCTCTCCTGCGCCTAGCAATCGGAGTGCATGCCACGGGATGTGGACCCGCAAGGGGGGGGGCTTCTGCTTTGTACTACGGGCAGGCAGGCCGCACCAGGTAACTCTTCACACGTCCTATCGATCCATGTCCATGTATGTCCCACGCATCACCTTCACCACCCACATGCCACATGATTAAAAGATCGTTGTGGCTTGTGGCTGCTTGTGCGGGGCGCGTCGTACGGTAATATTTCTGCGTCGAGTAAAATACGGGGCGTGAGAATTGTATATGCTTGTTCTGCTTTGTGTGTCCTTTGTGAGCGCCACGCGAAAAAGAAAGTTTCCAGTGAGACGATGCAGAGGGGGCGTCGGGGGGGACGACACTGCTTCTGCAGCGTGCACCTCGATCTTTTGTTATGACCCCCCCCCAGTGAACACACCAGTGAGGGAGGGCGAGACGATCGAGGGGTCCCGTCTCGTGGGTCCCGTGTACGGCTTTACGGCCGCTTTACCAATTTTTGACGGGAATCGACCCTATCCCAGTGCAACAGTGCAAGTATCCGTGAAAAAACGTATGGTATTCATCTCTCACAGGCTAGACAGTACTCTCACAACACCGGGGCACAAGTAGAAGTTGTGTGAAAAGCGCACACTGACTCTCACCGACTCTCCGTTGTACAGCGCGCAACGTATGCTACTACACCTCTGGCTGGGCTGCGCACATGCGGCTCTACTCATCCGGCTGCGGCGGCGGCGGCGGCTCCTCACGGACAGGCTCGGCACGCACTCGGCCGGATCGCTCGACGAGGGAGAGCTCATACAGCAGCGTCTCCATCTTCCGCACAGCGGTGCGCAGCGGCTCCGCCTTCTTTTGCAGCGCGCGCGGCGCCGCGTGGCCGAGCGACAAGAGGGCGGCCTGCACCGCCACGGCGGTGGAGAGAGCGTCTTGCACGGCGGCGGCGTCGCGGTCGGCCGCACGTCGCACGGCGAACCTCCCGATCTCGCCGACGAGGTCGCACACGCCTCCGAGGTACTCGGAGGGCGAGAGCTCGTCGCCGAGAAGCGCCTGCGGGACACGCCGAGGGCACGTCGTGGACGTGGCAGAGGGCGGACGGCTCGCCGCTGACCGGCGCCTCGTCGCCGCGCAGCAGCACGGCGCCACCCGGGATGGCGAGCCAATGCTGGAAGAGGGCCGCCTGAAGCGACGTGTCGCAGCCGTGTCAGGGAGGCGGTCACGGACTGGCACGGGCCACGAACAGGGCACGCCTCCGCCAGCTCCTCTAGCATGCCCTTCAGCGCAGCCTGCTGCCGCAAGGTGGGGTGCGGCTTGACCTCCGCCAGCAGGAGGCGCGCGAGCTTGCGCGCCGCCTCAATCTGCCGCCCGCCCGCCGCGCCGTCCCCCCGCTGCAGCGCGTAGATCGCCTGCTTGGCCTGCTTCTGCGGCTCGCGGCACTTCTTGATCACCTCCTCGCGCGCCGCGTCCAGCGTCGCGTAGGCCGCGCGCGCGGCGTCCAAGCCCGCGCCGTCGACAAGGGCCAGCGGGGCCACCGCTGTGCCGGCGGAGGCGGCCTCGGCGGCCGAGGCGTCGCCAGCGGCAGGCGGCGGTGGTGGAAAGAGCTTGAGCTCGTAGAGAGTATCCTCGAGGCGTCGCTCCACGTACTTTACCGAGTCGAAGCCGCGCCGGAGCGACCCGTTGCGAAAGTCGAAGTTCATCAGCCCCTCGTGCAGCGCTCCCACGACGGCCGCCGCGCCCTCTACCGATCGGACGTCACCAGCCGTTGCCGCCAGGCCAGCGTACCGCCCGACTTCGTGCGTGGCCGCAATGAGACCGCCCAGCCACTCCTCGTCGGTGTACGTGGACGAGGGACGCGCGCCGAGCGTGCCCGTGCGCAGGAAGGCGTCAAAGGTCTCCGCAGCAATTAGCTGCTGCGCTGCCGTGGAGAAAGTCGGCTCCTCGTCGGAGCCATCGACGCGGCCGTGCAGGCTCGCGCCCAAATCGTCCGCCGCCGCGGAAAGCGCTGTGGCGGCACCGTCCGCGTCGCCAATCTGGCGCCGGTGGATGGCCAGCGTGGCGAGGTCCTGCGCTGCCCGCGCGGCCTTGCCGCTCGCCTCGCGCCCGGCACGCGCCTCGCGGAGGCTCGCCGCGAGGTCCTCGATGTGCGCGAGAAACGGCGCGTGCCGACGCGCGAGGCCAAGCGCGCGGGGAGCGGAGGGCAGCACACACATACACTGCTGGGCAATGGCTGTCGGTCGATGTCGGGTCGATGTCGGGTCGATGTCGGGCGCGCGCCGGCGTCGTGGGGGTCGGCGTTTTCTTTTGACTGTGTCCACTTCTCTTTCCTGCCTGCTTCATCCTCTGATCGCTCTAATGCAATAGACGCGGAACTAGGTGCCCCATAGGCTTGGCTGCAAAGGGGATTTTTGTTGTGCCGACTTCGATCTTCGTGTGTGCTCCGCTTCTGAGAGAGAGATTTTGAGACATGAGAGAGAGAGAGAGAGACAGAGAGAGAGAGAGAGAGAGAGAGAGAGAGAGAGAGAGAGAGAGCCGAGATAGAAAGAGAGAGATTTTGAGTGAGACGGTTTAGATAGAGAGAGAGAGAGAGAGAGAGAGAGAGAGAGAGAGAGAGAGAGAGAGAGAGAGAGAGGGAGGGAGGGAGTACATTTCTTTCTAATTTTATTTCGCCTCGAGCTGTGCTTAAAAGTTAAATCTCTCTACCGAACCTCCAATCCCCGTCCTTGCTTGCGTCCCCCCATGCCGGTGTGTCCAGTCGCTGGCCAGCCTCTTCTAAACCAACACTCCCGTTTCCCAAGAAAAGAAAAGTCCAAGCCTTCCTCGATTTCCGCGAGCGGCGTCTCACAAAAAGCCTAGCCGTCCCGGCGCAAGAAAAGCCTTGCCGCCGAGCTGTCATTCCTTCTGCAGGCCGCGTGCAGCGACGCGCGAGTCCTGGCGGCGCAGCCGCCCCGCCGTGCGGACCATGGCCAACCAGCCCGTCGACGCGCCCGACGACGTGACCTCAGCCGGTAAGTGTCGAGAGCGCCCCCCGCCAAAAGTCGACGATCCTCGCTCGCCGCCTCGCCCCTTCCGGCGGCGCGGCGGCGCCCGCGACGGGCGGCTCGCCCCACGGCGCACCCCGCCGCCGTAGGTACTCGAGGTGCTCGCCCTCCAACGACGCCGCGGGGGCGGAGGGCCGCGACCCGCTGGGCCGGCTGCCGCCCCCGCGCCTGCCGCCCCCGCGCCGCCCCCGCGCCGCCGTCGGCGGCGTCCAGCGCAAGCGCCGCCGCCGCGTCGCGCGCCGCGCGGGCAGCCTCGACGGACCAGAAGCCGTGCTCGTCGTACCCGGCGTCCCACACGCCCAGCGAAGGGCTGAGTGCCGTCGCGAGACCTCGGCACGCCTGCGCACGCCTGCGCACGCGGCAGAGCGACAGCGGCACCACCCTCGTCGGGCGCCCACGAAGCGTGCTCGCGGGTCGCCGCTCCGTCGACCGAAGGCCGAGACACTTGCTCCGACGCCACCCCGCCCCCGCCCCGCCGGTCCGGCACCGATATCTCGGAGGACGACCTAAGGAAGAGCGTGGCGGCGCGTCGCCAGAGGACGGCGCGCTCGTGCTCTCGCCGCGAGATCGAGGGAGGGGGGGGGGGGGGGGGGCTTCCCCCCGAAAAAACCCCCGGGCAAGGGGTGCGTGGGCCCCCCCCCCCAAAAAACCCCCGGGTTAAGGGGGGGGGGGGGGGGCCCCCCCCCTCCTGTAAAGTCCCCGGGCCCAGGCCAAGGAGCTCGGCTCCTCGAGAGCACCGACGGACGACGATCGGCTCCTCAGCAGTGGGACACCGAGCTGGAGGCTCGGCCGGGAGCTCGCGCGGGCACGTGGAGCTTTCCGCTCGGGCCAGCAGGAAACGGGCGCCCCGCACAGCGACGCCCGCCGTAGAGTGCCGAGAGCTCGGCTCGACGCGAGCGCCGAGGAAAAGCGATCGGCTCCGCAGCAGTGGGACGCCGAGCTGGAGGCTCGGGCGGGAGCTCGCGCGAGCACATAGCGAGGTGCGTGCGCGGCGGCGTGACACAGGTGAGCGGGCAGCTGGCGCACATTTCGGCTGTGGGAGCTGCCAGGAGTTTGCTCTCTCCGTTCACACCCCTTTGCAGAATTCTTTTTTCATCAGGAGTTTAATGAACCGTAAGCTTCTATGGTTTCTGCATTCTCGTCGTTCTCTCTCCGCTTCATCCTCTGGCTCTATACGCGGCTTTTTCTCTCGAGCCGGCAGCGAAGCCTCTCGACTCGATCGAGGGAGAGAGCCTCGCGCTTCTCGCTTCGGTCGAGCGAGCTCATGGGCCTCCTCCCAACGTTTGGCGGCGATCCAGCGACCGTTGGCCAAAAGGCGCGCCCGTGACCGCCCCTCCCTGGTGTCGTCGCCGGCTCACACCGCCCCCTTACGCACACTGCAGTTCAAGACGTACGTTGGCATCGAAGTGCTCATCTGGTTCCCAGGGCTGTACGCTGCGTGCTACACACTGCAGCCCACGGTGCGCATCGTATCCACTCAGCTCGGCGCGCGCGCCGTCAAGGCCTCGTCGGAGTGGCTGCTGCAAAATGCGCCCAAGTGGCACGCGTCGATAGCAAAGCTGAGCACGCGCGTGTACGGCGGGCCGCACAAGCGCGCGTTTGCGGAGTGGGTGCTGCTTAACAAGGTCCTGGCGCCGGTCTCCTTCCCGACCAAGCTGTGGATCGCGCACAAGGTCGTGGAGAGGCAGACGGTGATGCCCGCCGAGTACATGGCCTCGCTGCAGCCGCCAGCGGGCAGCCCGCTGGCGGGCGGCATGGCGGGCGACGCGGCCGCTGCGGCGAGCGAGCTGGCGGGCGGGGCTGCGTGCGCAGTGGCAGAGGGCGCCGCCTCGGTCATCGATGGGCAGGCGGCGACAGCCAAGCAATGACGGGGTGGGCGCTTGGCGAGCTGCCAGCAACCTCATCCTCCGCGCCCTCACCCGCGAGGGAGGCGCGATCATCGACGCAAGTGGTGTCTGGTGCTTCTCGGCGGTGTGGTGTGCCTTGAACCCCTTGCATCCACGCCCTTCCTGCCCCCGCCTCTCCCACCCGCCCCCTCTCAAAAGCCTCACCCAGCTGCCTGTGGCCGGTTGGCCCGGCCCGTGTCTGTACCTCACTCCTCAGTCTGTAGTGTTGCTCCAAGTCGTCCGAACACACGACCCTGTGTGTTTATCTGTGTACAGTGCCTCAAGGAAAACCTGATGGGCGTGTCGCTCACTGTGCGGCCCCCAATTCGCAGGGCGCGCACACACGCGAACCTCGGGCCCCGAATTTTCAATGATCTTATCAATGATATTGATAAAGGGGTCGGGGCACATGCCACAAACTTCTTGCCGCGTCAACAGATCTGGGAGCTGAGAGGGATCCAAGGGAGCGCGGCCCGCGAGAGTGAACGAGACGCAGAAGGAAGGAAGTGCGGGTGGCCCGGGGCGAGAGCACGCACCCGACGGCGTGTCGAGCAGCACGACCTCGCGTCACCAGGCCGCTGCTGCCCGCCCGCTCCCTGTCGGCGCCGCGGCTGCATGCCGGCAGTCGAGAGCCGGCAGGAGACGCGTGTGCGCGGGCGTCAGAGCGGGTCCCCGGCCGAGAGTGTCGTCCACTCCGCCTCCGGCAAGTGGCTCCAGTTGGCGACGCACGCGAGCAGCCAGCGCAAGTCGACTCGGTGCAGCGTCGGCTCGATGCCCAGCGAGCGAGCGTGCGAGAGCATCTCCTGTGTCCTGCGGCACTGCGCGAGCGCGCGCGGCGCGAGCAGCGCGGGCGGGAGGAGCAAGTGCGTGCTCTTCGCGCTGAGCGTCGCCTCGATGGTGGCGCCGAACCTCTCGGCGAGCACAACCTCCGGCGGCCTCGCCACCCCGGCGAGCACGTCGGCAGGGCCGCCGAACACGCAGTGCACGCCTACAGGCCGGCTCCGAGAAGCGGTCGGAGAGGCGTCCCCGTCACCGGCCGCCAGACACACGACGGCTGCACGCCGGCGAGGACGTTCTCGGACATGCAGCGCACGATGGTCCGCACGTCGCGCGTCGCCGGCTCCGCCGCCCGCGGAGGAGTGCCGGAGGAGTGCCCGAGGAGTGCCGGAGGAGTGCCGCGCGCGAGCTCCGCCAGCGACTGCTCTCCGAGAGGCGGCGCGGGGTGCGGTGCGGGCGGCGAGGAGCAGCCGGCGGGCGGGTCGGGCTCGCTCGACGGGGCGGGTCCCTCTCTGGCCGGCGGGCGAGAGGCGGCTGTGGCAGGCGGGGCGTGGCGGGAAGGGGATGGGTCTGCGTCGAGGTCGGTCGCGGAGACGGACCGGCGGGTGAGGGGGGAGGAGCGGACTGGCGAGGGCCTCGAGGAGGAAGCTTGCGACGCTTGCGACGCTTGCGCCGCGGGAGGGTCGGGGGGCGGCATCCCGTGCCCGGGCGGCACCGCCCCGCCGTGGGGCTCGGGAGGGCCCTTCGGAGGGCCGGGCGGCACCGTGCCGGGCGGAGGCATACGCAGCTCCGGCACAGCCGGGCCGCATCGCGTCGCCCCTCCGGCGGGCGAAGCTGGAGGGGCGAGCGGGTGGCGCGAGACGGCGAGCTGGGGCGCGAAGAACTGGGCGTGCATGTGGCGGAGCCGCCCCGCCATCCGCGCGAGCGACCGGTCCGCCGGGTCGCCCGTGAAGCGGTCGATGGGGAGGAGGTTCGGGAGGTGCTGCGCCCAGGCGATGGTCGAGTCGTCGACGATGGTGACGAGGTGCGGGTGGCAGAGCATCCGGCGGAGGGTCTTTGTGGTCCGGTCGAGGGCGGGGTGCCAGGCGAGCACTTGGCCCGGCCGGAAGATGTCGTGCTCCGGGTCGAGGTGGTGGAGCGCCTGCGAGGGAGAGGGCGGGTGCACGGTCACCCGACGAGCGAGGGTGGGGTAACCGACCGGGTCGAGGCGGTGTCGAGGCGGTGTCGAGTCCTGCTGCACGTACTCTCGGCTCCCCATCGTGTAGAGGTAGACGCAGAAGAGCGACGACATCTCCCTCAGGAAGGAGAGCACCCCCGGCCGGAGCTGCATCTCGAACTGAACAGACTGCACGGTCAGCGTCACCGACCGCACGCCCTCCGACCCGCCCTCCCCCTCCGACCCGCCCTCCCCCTCCGACCCGTCCTCCCCGCCGGCGGGCGGACCGCCGCCACTCCGCACGAGGGAGGGCGGCTGCAGCGAGCTGGGACCCGGCGCGGCGGCCGGGGCGGCGGGGTCGGACCCGCCCGCGCCCGCCCCTCCGCCCGCAGCGTGCTGTGCGTGCTGTGATTCGTCCTCCGACTCGTCCTCGGAGGCGGCCGCGCTGCTGCTCGCCGAGTTTGAGCCCTCCGCGAGGGCGAGCGCCACGGCGGCCGCCTTCTCCTCCTCCGCGGCGTTGGCTCGCGCCTCCTCCGCCTCGGCCTCGGCGCCTCCCGCCTCGTCGCCAGGCACGCGGCAGCGCTGGGCCGCCTCCGCCGCCGAGGCGCCCGCGGCTGGAAAGGGAAGGTGCCGGACCGACGAGCGGAGCGAGTGCACGAGTGTCTCGTCCAAGTCAAGCACGAGGAAGAGCCGCCGCTGCTGCAGGTGCTGCTCGCGAGACTCCTTCAGGAACTGCGCCGCGTGGACGCGCCTCGCCTCCTCGTGCATGTTGCGCGTCAGATTGCGGAGGTGGCTGACGGGCGAGGACATGCAGTCGGGCGTGCGCAGCCGCCGCAGCGGCGGCGACAGCGGCAGGTCGCCGTCGTCGGCGCGTAGGGGCGGGGGTGTGCCGCCGGCGGGCGAGCCAGAGCTGCCGCCGCCGAGTGGCGAGCTGCCTGCGCCTGTCGCCAGCCGCCGCCGCTTGGACGACTCGTCTACGCCGTCTGTCATGCTGGTTGTTGAGCGACCTGGATCTGATGCAGGGCGCAGAAGCAGAAGCCCTTGCAGCCAAGGGAGGCAAAGGGGCGCAAGGAGAAATTTTGCCGTCAACCGTGTACTCGACGTTTCGAGACGTTACACAACGCGGGATTAAAGCCCCGGCCCACCGACTGTGCACTCTGTGCTCTCGTCCGTGCGTTACTGGGTGGGCCCTCATCGGAGAGCCCGACGCCGGCTCGGCCACGGCTTGGACTCACTGCCACCACTGCTGCTCCGCTGCCGGCCTCATGCGCAACACCGTGCGCTTCTGGTTCTTCACCGACGGCCGGCAGGTCGACTCTCGCGGATCGGACGTGTCCATCACGCTCTGCGGCGCACTCGGCGAGGTGTCGCTCTCTCAGCTCGAGCAGGCGGCGCCGGCGGCCGGCGGCACCCTCTTTGGTGCGGGCAAGCGCTGCGAAATCTGCGTCGAGACCGACTTTGTCGGCACCCTCAACGCGGTGCGCGTTGGCTACGGCACCCGCATCTCGTCTGGAGACTGCCCTCCGTGGTGCCTCCGACAAGTGGTTGTCAGGACGAGCGCGGACGGCATGGTGGCGAGCTTTGTCCTCGCGGGAGACGACTGGGTGCTCCCGGGCGCGACCGTCGACCTCGAGCGGAAGATGGTGTGGCACGAAGACCGGTTCGGCAACATCTCGGAGGCGGCGCCGCCGCCCGCGCCGCCAGCGGCATCGTGGATCTGGCCGCAGCACGTCACCGCAGCGGCGGGCGATTTCGCGCTGTGCGAGGCGATCTGGCGCGAGGCGGTTGCGCCGTTGGTGGACGAGGCCCAGCTCGCGCTCGAGCACGAGCGCACGCCGGGCACCTTTCGCAACGCGTGCAGGCAGGCCGCCCAGGGGCAGCCGCTCAGCTTGGGACTATCCTCGCCGGTGCTCTCACGCGAGCTCACCAATGGCGCGCGCCGGTGGGCCGAGCCCAAGGACGCGGCCGCGCCAAAGGCGTCGGCGCCGGGGAAGGGAGGGCGACCGAACCTGGAGGTGAAGGTGCCGCGAGACAGCTCACGCACGTGCGTCGTGTCGTGATGCCTTCACGCTTTTTCAGAGAGACGGTTCTTGAAAGCAAACAAAAACTTGTGTTGTCGAGTTGGCGATGACAGCCTCGCACATGAAATTGCTAATTGGGTGGCAGGGAGCGGCCAGGGACCAGGTGCCACTCGCACTCCTGTCACCTCCAGGGTGGGGGGCCGCGCGGCCGCGGGCCGCGGGGGGAGGATCAGCTGGGCCCGCCTATCTGCTATCACGTTCTCGTTCATCTTCTGAGCAAGGGCCAAGGCCAAGGGAACGGCTTAATTACGGGGGTCCCACTTTACCATTAGGGGCATTAGGGCCAGCCAGGGCGCCAGGGCGCAGGGGTCTCACACCCGACGACCTCGCGAACTAGCCGGGGCAGTCGGAGAAGGCAGTGAAGGGGCAACTCCCTGCACTGAGACGGTCGGCCGTCAGAAAACACGCCTGCGTGGATCGATCGCGTCACACCAATCCTCGCTACCCAACGCGGCCAAAGGATATCCCCACCCCCCTCATCATTCTTTAGCGAGAACGCCCGGTGTATTCTTTTTTTGCTTGGCCGGCCCTGATGCTGAAATTCTGCAAAACCTGGCCGGCCCCTGCCCTGCCCCTACCTAGCTACCTACCTACCTACCTTACTTATCTCCTGAGGGAGGGTGTAGAGGATGTAGAGTGTAGAGCGCTGTAGAGCTGTAGAGCTGTAGAGCGCTCTAGAGCTGTAGAGCTCTACATCCGCCGCGGGACGAAGCGCCTGCGTTGTAGAGCGATGTAGAGCGCGATTTTGTTGTAGAGTTTGTTGTAGAGGCTCTACAGCAAAACCGCGGGAAGGCAGTGACTCAAAGAGGTCAAGCCGCGCTAATGCGTAATGGGGTGTCTCCGAGCTTACTGGAGCTCTGATGGACGGCCCTGACTATCCCTGACACACAGAGAGTCACTCTGACGGCACACAACACCCTATAACTGCGTCATGACCAGCCTGCCATGCGTCGCCGGTGCCGCATTCGTCGCAGTGCTTCTTTAGCAGGCGGTGGACTGTCGGCTGCGAGGACGGTCGCATTTGCGCGAGGCGAGGCGAGCATTGCTGCGCGTTGCATGCGCCATGCCTCGCGCCAGCGCGTGCGGGAGCTCCTGGCTGAGCGTTGAGTCCAGGCGAGTTGCGCTGGCCACTATCGCTACGCCAAGCTGAGCTAACGCGCCGAGGCGCCGGCCAGTCGCAGCCGTGAGGCATGCCACAGCAGCAGAGGCACCTGCCACCCACATTGGGCGGGCAGACAGAAGGCCAGGGCAGCACTGCCAAGTGCAACGCGCCTCATGTCGGAGAGCGACCGTGCCTCGTTCGCCGCTGATGCGGGTGTAGAGTTTGTTGTAGAGATTTCACGTTGTAGAGCGCCTCTACATCGCTCTACATCGGACTCACATCGTCCCGCGGCGGATGTAGAGCTCTACAGCTCTACAGCGCTCCAGAGCGCTCTACATCTCTACATCTCTACAGCGCTCTACACTCTACATCCTCTACACCCTCCCTCAGCTTATCTCTTATGGGAACAAACTAAAAAAGAAATCACCGCGGATCGGCGACGGTGGGGTACTATACCAACTAAAGTGATGGCTGGTGGTACTATCCTGCAACCACAGTCCTTCCTGTGACATGGCAGGCCACTCTCAAGCCCTACAAGCACCAGATCAACGACTTGGGCGGAGGGTTGACATCGTGATTTTTGGAGCACTTGGAGCACTTGGAGTGCAGTTATCAACCTCACATCCAGGGCCGGGGAGCTCAGAAGCGCACCCAGCGGGCCGGATGATCGGGATCGGGTTACGGGCTAGAGAGCCCTAGCCCCGGGGGTGCGCGTTCGCAGGGAAAGGGCCGTAAAGTAAACACTGGTCTCCGAGGGTTAGCCCCGCGTACCGGGTTTCCCCTTAACTGCAGGACGCCCCCTCTACTCGGAGCTAATGAATTTTGCGGAAACTTTCTTTTTCTGCTGTGCGTCTGAGCCACAGCGTGTCCCGGTCCGTTGTTTCTCTTCTTATCCGTTACCATGTAGAGCAAGGCCGAGGGCGGGCCCTTTCGGGCTCGGGCCGCCCTCTCGCCCGCACCTCTGCGGGGCTTGCACGCTGTGAAAATTTCCGGCGTGAAGAGAGGGAAAAACCCGACGGCCCAGACCTACCCTACCTACCCCGGCATCAGGGCAGGCGAAGCAAAAAAAGAATACAGCGAAAAAAATGGAGCAGGAAGGAACGGACTGGCCGCCCCAAGTCCTCGTGGGCGACCATGCTACTGCAGCGCGCCACCTCCGCCAGAGCTGCTCGCCGCGTCGTCAGCGGCGCGGCACGGCTGCGCGCGCAGTGCTACTCTACCTCGCTCGCGGACGTCGAGCTGGCCGCGCCGCAGCCCGCGCCGCTATGTGCGCTGCTTGAGGAGGAGCAAGCGATGGCGGAAGCGGCGTCACGCTTCGCCCGGGAGCGCGTGGGGCCGGTGGTCCAGTCGATGGACGAGGCATGCGGTGGGCGCAGCAGGCGGGTCATCGGCGGCCCGGCGTTCCGAGGCCCCAGATTCCTGTGCATAGGCGGGCAAGATGGAGGCCGACGTGATCGACGGGCTCTTTGAGCACGGGCTGATGGGCATCGAGATTGCCGAGGAGCACGGCGGCTGCGGCGCCACCTTCACGGCGGCGTGCCTCGTCGTTGAGGAGCTGGCAAAGGTGGACCCGGCCGTGAGCGTCATGGTCGACATCCACAACACCATCATCAACAACTGCGTCTCGCGCTGGGCGTCGCCCGAGCTGCAGCGCGAGTGGCTTCCGCGGCTCGCGTCGGACACGCTCGGCTCGTTCTGCCTGTCCGAGGCGGGCTCGGGCTCGGACGCCTTCGCGCTGCGCTGCGCGGCGCGGCGCGACGGCGACGACTACCTCCTCTCCGGAGAGAAGCTCTGGATCTCAAACTCTGCAGAGGCGGGCGTCTTCCTCGTCATGGCAAACGCGGCGCCCGAGAAGGGGCACCGCGGCATCACCTGCTTCGTGGTGCCGCGCGAGGCGGCCGGCCTCCGCGTCGGCCCCAAGGAGGACAAGCTCGGCACCCGCGCCTCCTCCCGCCGCCTTCTCCTGCCCTAGCCCGCAGCCCCTTCACCCCGGCCCGGACCCGCGTAGGCATCCGCGCCTCCTCCACCTGCCCCGTCCTGCTGGACGACGTTCGCGTGCCCGCCTCGGCCGTGCTGGGCGAGGTTGGCGCCGGCTACCGCTACGCCATCGAGATCCTCAACGAGGGTCGGGTCGGCATCGGCGCGCAGATGGTCGGCCTGGCGCAGGGGGCGCTCGACCGCACGCTTCCCTACTTGCACGAGCGGCGCCAGTTCGGCGCGCGCGCGCGCTCGGCGAGTGGTCGGGCGGGGGAGGGCTGCCCGGACGCGTCTCGGTCCCCTCCTGTAGGTACTCCCCTCATCGAGTTCCAGGCGGTGGCGCACGAGGCAGCCGACCGGGGACGGGCGGGACGGGCGGGTGCTGCCGGTGTGTAGTTGGATGGTGATTGTTTGTCCTTGTTCTGGTTAGGTTGCCGACCTGACGGCGGAGCTGCACGCGGCGCGGCTGCTCGTGTACGATGCGGCGCGGCGGCAGGAGACGGGCACGCCGCTCGTCAAGGAGGCGGCGATGGCCAAGCTGATCGCGTCGCGCGTGGCGGAGAAGACTGCCTCCAAGTGCATCGAGCTGCTCGGCGGCGTCGGTTTCACAAAGGAGTACGGCGTCGAGAAGCTGTACCGCGACGCCAAGATCGGCGCCATCTACGAGGGCACCTCCAACATCCAGCTCAACACCATCGCAAAGCTCGTCTCGGCCCAGTACAAGTAGGCGCGGGTGGCACGCGCGATTCTAGCCTCTTCGTAGAACAAGAGCCGGTACGGGTGAGCCGTGGAGGCGTGGTCGGTGCTCTCAGCAGTGTTATGTGTGTGACGAAACATCGTACCCGAGTTCGAAATTCGGGGCGCGTGCGCCCGCGGCCGCGCGGCGCGGCGGACTTGCCAGATGCCACTTCCCACCGCACACACTTCGCGGCGCGGGCCCGCGCGCGCGACGAATGTTGTGCTATTAATCGACATGGTGCTCTCCTTTTTACCCATTCCTATGATTCATGTCTACAATGGCAGGCCCGAGTGTCAAGCGTGCGGAGGCGCGGTCGCTGAGAGGCTGAGAGGGGCGCGGGGAGATCTGAGCCGATCTAGGAGCCGATGCCGCGAAACGAATACCACGCCATCATCGCGCGCCTATGAACAATAGTGCGCCCGGCCCGGAGGCTAGTCGGGCTGCTGCTGGCCGGGCCGGAGGAAGGGGTTTGAGCCGCCTCCCGCCTCCTGCCTGTCGGCTGCCGCCAGCGCGTCTCCAGCGGTCCCGCCTCCAGAGGCAGCTGCGACCGTGGCGCTCCAGACCGCAGCCGCGACCTGGGGCTGGCGCGCGAGGTCCGAGCCGGCGATGGTGAGGTTCTCCGCATTCAGGATGAGCGGCGCCGCGCGCTCGGCCGCAGTGTTCATCTCCCCGGGCGAGGTTGCGGCGACGTGATGAGAGCCTCGCGCCGGGCCACACATCTCGATGACGCCAACCACCCAGCAGCCGATGCAGACAGCCCAAGAGAAGACGACCACCGGCTCGTCCAGCGGGCTGTCCGTCTTTGCCACGAGCAGCCCGTTCTGTCCGACAAAGAAGTAAAAGAGTCCGATCCCGACGCGGGTGTCCAACATCCCAAACCGCCGCGTGATGAGCCGGTCAATCCACTGCGCGTGCAGCTGCATGCTCACGATCAAGGACCCAAAGATGAGATTCCATATCGCGCGGATCAGGAGCGGGATATTGGTGTACGTGGAGAACTTGACGACAGTCAGCACAGCGAGCGCCGCGAGCACACCTCCGGCGGCAAAGGCGAGCACGCGCTTCAAGCGAGAGAGAAAGGTGGATGCGCTCGCGCACCGCCCCGGCGCATCGGCGGCTGCCATCAGCGTCTGCCTGTCTTCGCCTACTACTCCATAGTGATGGACGTCAATGACGTCAAGCCGTGAGGCGGTGTGAGGGGAGAGGGCGCCAGCAGAAGGGCGAGGGAAAGAATTTTACATGCCACAACAAAACTCCCTCGCACAACGCCGGGCACGGGACTGGCGCGCAGGGGAAAGAAAAGAGAAACGGCACGGCGGAGCCGCCAGCTCCCGAGGACCCCGCGAGGCATCAAGAAAGAAAAACGAAATCTAATGATCCCGAAGGGCGGGGGGGCGCGTCGATTGGGCGTTTGGGCGGTAGCGAGCGCGCACCTAGGAATCCTACATGGCCTGGCCAGCGTCGCGCGAGAGAGCGGAAGCGAGAGCGGGGACCTGCGGGACCGCATTCGAGCGAGGTTGCCGACTTCACGGGCGTCGTCTGGCGAGACTGCGACAGCGCGCCAGGGTGTATCGGTCGGCAGAGTTGCTCCGCGGAGCCGCAGTCGCCCGCCCCGGCGGTGAACGGCCTCGCTCGCCGTATTCTGTACATCGCGTCAAGCTCGCACACACATGCACATGCACATGCGCTTGCAGCTGTCGCGTCGGCTCGCCATCGCCGCCCTCGCTGCGGCCGTGCCAAGATCGCTGCTGCCGCCGCTCCCCGCCGCCGCTTCGTTTGCTCGCGCGACAGACGAGTCGGACGTCGCGTTCGAGGGCGGCCGGCCGGTCGGGCTGAAGCTCCTCGACCTCACCGTATACCTCGATCCGAGCAAAAAGATCGCCGGCTCGTCGAGAGTGATCGTGTCTGACGTGCTGGACGACGGGCAGGCTGCAGAGCGCGGAGTCAAGCTCGACTCCATCATCGTCGCAATCGACGGCGAGAACGTTGAGCTGGAGCGGGCCGCCGCCGTCCAGTCGCGGATCGGGCAGGCGCTCGGGCGCGGCAAGTTGACCCTCACGATCAAGGACCCGACCGCCTTCCAGTACGCGCTGCTCGATCCGCCTCCCGGAGGAGCGTCCGAGCTCGTCACCTCGACGGCGCTGACTCCCTCGTCGGAGGGGAGGGCGGCTCAGCTCTTCGCGGTGCGGCGGAGCAACGTGCCGCCGCGTGGCTGCCGCCGGCCGGCTGCGGACGGCGATCTGATCGAGATCGGATACGAGGGGCGGCTTGCGGGCAGCGGCGCCCTCTTCGACGGCATGGAGCTCGCCAAGAGGCAGGGCGATGAGACGATCCAGTTCGTGCTCGGCAGGCAGCCGGCAGGCCAGTTCCCGCCCTCGTGGGACGTCGGCCTCGTCGGCATGTGCATCGGCGAGCAGCGCACGCTCGAGGTGCCGCCGACGCTCGGGTATGGGGCGAAGGGCTTGCCCAAGAGGGGCGTGCCGCCCGACGCAGCCCTCACATACAGGGTGGAACTCGTCGCCATCAACGGACTCGCCATGGACTGAGATGTGCTCTCTAGTCTCTAACTTTCACCGTTGTGGCGCGCATCTTTTACTAACACACTACACAGAGAGAGCTTGGAACGTTCAACGTGCTACGTGGGGTGCGAATGAAGCGCAAAACTCTCTCTAGAGATCATCTTCGGTAGATCCCCAATTTGTCCGTCTAGACGGCTTTTTAGCCACTATACATTAAGTCGATGAATGTACATGAAATTGTGCCTCCGTACCGCTAACGGACGATATCGAATATCGTGTGTATACGCGCAACGCGGGTCTGGAACGGTTATGCATGAGGTCCGGCCGCGGGGGGAAAAAGCCAGCCGGTGCAGAACCCTGGGCGGTGCCCACACACGAGTCCCTGTACGTGCGGTGTGCTGTACGGACACTATGGAAGCGCATTGACGGGAGTGCTACTCCGGTACTCGCGAGTACCAGCCTTGCGCCCAGGGAGCACCCCGACTGCTCATCTGCTGTGCCTCAAACCGACTCAACACCTCACGTCCAGCTCGTATCGCTGAGTGCGCTCTTCGCCGCCGCCCGACACGCCGAAGGAGATGACCACGTCCCAGCAGCGCGGGTTCTGCGTGGCCTGCGTCATGGTGAGGCGGCCCCGGATGCGCTCGTCCTGCTGCACGGGCAGCGGCAGCTCGCAGTGGAAGAGGACGTGCCGCCAGTGCGTCGGCTCTGCGTCGGGCGCAGTGCTCAGCCATTGCCCCGGGACGAGCTCGACGGCGAAGTAGCCGACGAAGCCGTGCAGCTCCGCGCGCACGTGGCTGCTCAGGTCGAAGCTCGCGCAGAGGGACTGGCAGTCGGACAGGTCGCAGCTGGCGAGGTCCCCGATGTCGAGCACGCAGCTCGGCGACGAGATCACGTTCTGCGCCAGCAGCAGCTCGACCTCAGGCCTGCGCGCGAGCTCCGCGCGAGCGATCGGGGCGAGGCAGCTCATGTCGATGCCGTGGACATCCGCCCAGAACGCCTTCTGCTCCTCGGCGGCCTCCTCGTCCCGGAAAGGAGCGAGCCACATCTGCGCCCGCCGAGGCAGCATGCTCCCTCCGGGCTTGAGCCAGCGGTCGCGCGCTCGCAGCACGGAGTCGAGCATCGACTCGTAGAGCAGGAAGCAGCCCATCCACTCGGAGACAATCACGTCGACGCGCTCGGGCAGCTCCACCTCCTCCACCTTGCCGCGGATCACCTCAACTAAGCCGGTGAGCCCGGAGGCGCTGACGACGGCACGCGCGCACTCAGCGACTGCCGACGCCTCAACGGCGTAGACCTTGCGCGCGCCAGCACGCGCACACGCGATGGCGAGCACCCCAGTCCCACAGCCGACGTCTAGAACCGTCTTTCCCGCGAGGCCGGCACTGCGGATGGCTTGCAGGTAGGCGTCTGTGCGTCTGCAGCGCAGCATCTCCTCGTGGATGCCAAGGCCGGCGTAGCTCTCGAAGTAGCCGTCGGAGGCCTCGACGGAGGGAGCCTTGCGCTTCGCAGACTGATTATCCACCATGAGCTTAGCGCACACGTGGGCGTGGCGGGAGTCTACTGCGAGCTCGCTGTCTATCATCAAAGAAAGGAAACGTCCTCCAAGTGCTCCAAGTGATACGCTGGCCGACTGCACGCTAAAGGCTACACGCTCGCACACCACTTGCAGAGTGGCTCTCCCGGGCGCTCAGCCCACGGCGGAGGCACGCCAGGCCCCGGGCAGCCGGCCGTCACTCGCCTAAGCGCCTAAGCGGCCTAAGCGGGGGGGTGCTTAGGGTGCTTAGGCGCTTAGGCGGCCCTTGCGAGCGTGGCGGCGTGGTGGTATCGTAATACAAGTGACTCCGATGACACACATGATGCTCTTGCTAGTGTCATTGCTCAGAGAGCAGCCTCACCGCGTCGAAAGTCTACCACTGGCCCTGGTCGCACACCGCCGCTGAGCTGTGATGATGCCCACAGCACCAGCAGCAAAGGCGGGCGGGCCGACCCCGCGGCCATCGCCGCCGCTGCCGCCTCCTCCGCCGCCGGCGCCGCCCCCTCTGCCGTCGCCGTCACCTTGGGCTGCATCACCCGCGCCGCCGCCGCGCACCGGCTCGTGCTCATTCAAAGGCGCCTCGAGTTGCAGGCCAGCGGCGCTGACGTTGTCGTGGTCGGGCTGCCCAACGTCGGCGCGGGAGGGAGGGGGCAACGCCGTTATGAAGAGCGCGAGAGCGAGCGCCGACGGCCCAGATTCTGAGCAGCAGCCCGCCTGGTCATGGGCCACTTGCCTACGTGCGTCCGGCTTCCACTATAGGACGAACGTCGAAGTTTGCTCTCCGACGCCGTGCCGAGCGAAACCTTTTCCTTCGAAGCCCGGCGACGTAGCCGGGCGAGCGGAATAGGGCAGCCCTAGAGAGCACCTTGAGGCCATTCAATAGAGCCCGTACTATAGTCGAGAGTCGATCGCCGGCCCGCGCAGTGCTGCTCTGACCGCTCCGCCGGGCCGCCTCCGGGCCGCCGCGGCGGAGACGTGCACATAGGCAAGTTGGTATTTTCATATATGAACTTCAAAATAGTATTGGCTAGTCTAATTCTACTCATCACAACTCGCCAGGAACACCCACACACTATAGGGTCATTGTGTAGCCCTGCTTAGAAGGAAAAGGTTTTCTGCAAGGTCCGTATGCCTTACCGTGTAGTCGGCCGCTGGATGTGAGGTGTGTGTGTGTATGGATGTGAGGCTAACGACTGCACTCCAAGTGCTCCAAGTTTGCCAAAAGGCACGGGACTGGCGCGCACTGGCACTAACACAGGTACACCACGGTTCTGTGGTCCATATGGTTTGGGACATTGTCCTTGCACATCGGTCTCGAGGCATGTGGCTTGTGGGTCATCATGTGCTCTATCTAGCATGTGCTCAAAGTTGAAAGTTTCTGGCCTTCATGGAGAGCGAGGAGATTAGACCAAATGAGCCGGCGTACACGCGACGAGGCCGGTCACCGGCGGTAGGGGCCACGGTGGGCGCGCGTGACGGCGGTACACAAGAACACAGCTCAGGAGGCGCAAGAGGTGGACGGTGGGATGCGCCAGAAAGCACAGCAGCGGCAGAGCAGCACCAACCAAAACACTGGGAGAGGGAGGTGGGGTGGGCCGCCACCGTCCGCTTTGCACTGCCTCATTGAGCTGGCGCGCTGCGCAGGATCAGACAATAGATCCCGCATGGAATTGTATTCAACCTAGACCGAGAGTTCCGCTCCAGACGTTTGAATTTGAAGCTGAGTTCCTCACGCAATTAGGGCTTGTCCCGCATTCAACTGCGTCGGCCACCTGCGTGGCGCAATCGGCCGCGTCTGCGACGCACTCGCCGATAGGCCCAAGTTGCTTCAAATGATGCTCATAAAATGTTTCCATAAAGTCTTCTAGTGCGGCTTTCGTCTCTTTGACCGCGTTGACAACCGCGTCGGCAGCCTCTTTCCCGGCTCTCAATGCCTCCATCGCGGCGGCTTTCCCGCTGTCCGCGAGGGCACCCACTGGGAGACCTTCCACGAGTTTCATCGCTTCGGCGAGCGCTCTTCCAGTATCAATCGGGCCAAGTGGCACAGAAGTTGCTAAGTCCAATGCTTCCATGCCGAGACCAAATGCATAATTAGCCACCTGCCCAAGGGGCGGCGTATCCAGAGCTGACACCACGTCGAGGGCCGCGTCAAGGGCTTGTTGGGCGCCTTGCACCTTTCCGGCCGCGGCGACCACGCCATCACTGGCGGCCGCCACGTCTTCCTGGCTCGATCTCGATGCGCGATATTCTGCGCTCGCGATTCTGTCGACGGCCTGCATGAGTTGTCGTGTCTTGTCCTCGGAGAGCCCTATGTCCTTGGGGAACTCCGCGAAACCCAAGACCAGGGCAGCGGCTACCATGATCACCGTCATCCCAGCGTGCGCGATGCCCCAGAAAGAACGCTTTACGGCCCTGGATGTGAGGCTGCTAACTGCACTCCAAGTGCTCCAAGTGCAAAAGGCGCTCCCCGGGGACGGGGACGTCCCTGCGTAGTCTCTCTCCGGGGACGTGGGACGAAACGTCTGTTTCGTAATCGGCCGTAATCCTTTGCAATATAGTGGCGCTAAGAGACGGCCCCCGGGGGCCCAGAAAACATGCTGATGCGGAACTGGGGTGTCGCAGTGTCTCTTGCGAGTAGAGGCCCCGCCCACCCAGGGTACCCTCTCCGAGGACCCATTTGGGTACCCTCTTTCGAGGACTCGCCGGGGCTGGTCCCCCCTGGTTCCCGTACACCCTCCCCCTCCCCCGCGCGCAGCGCGGCCTCCGCAGCGGCGCGCAGCGCCGCTGCACCCCGCCGGCGGCGGGAGCGCCGCAGGCGGCTCGACAGAGCCCCTTGCACTAGCCACGACGACACACTAGAGCCGGGGCGGCCTTACGCCCACCTTTTAATCCCCAAACACACGCCACCCCGCTAGTTCTAGCATCGTTCGCCCCGCCCCGTCCAGGGGGAGGATGCCATGCCGCAAAGTGCGCGTCACAGACCTGTGAGCCAGGACGGAAAAGGTGTGAGTGAACGGCGCGCAGGTGGCAAGGAGGGCGGGAGGGCTGGAGGGCGGGGAGCGGTGAGGGCGGCGAGGGCGATGAGAGAGGGGAGGGCCGCGCGCACCCGGTCGGCAGCGACTACTCGCCGCTGCCGAGAGTCGCCACAGCGTTGGCGTTGGACTGCACCGGCACTGGTTCGGGCTCCAGCTCCAGCTCCAGCAGCTGCTTTTCATCCATCTTGTCGAGGATCGCCGTGCGCTGCTTGTCGGCGGTGAAGCTCTTGGAGAGCGCCTGCTTTGCGCCCACAGCTTTTGCCAGCCGGCGCTGAACCCTCGTCGTGATCGTCACCTCCCTGTCCTCGATTTGCTCCCGCGTATACCTACCGTACTCCGTGGCTGGCGTGAGTGGCGAGTCCAAAACGGGACGGCGAGTCTGACAAGTTGAGGACCTAATCGCCCGCTGCGACACAGCAAAGTTGTAATCAAAGTCTCGCCGCGACTGCGACGTCGGCTTCACGTCCGCCGCCGCCGGCTCTTGCCCGGCCTCCGCCTCCGGTGACGCCGCCTCCGCCGCCGCCGCCGCCGCCGCCGCCTCCGCCGCCTCCGCCGCCGCCGCCGCCTCGGTCGTCTCCGCCAGCTCCATCAGCGCCACCACCGCGCGCGCATGCTCGCCGTCCGGGTCGGCCGGAGCGAGCACGACACCGCGGCGCGCCTGCTCGCGCGAGGCCGCGCGGGCGGTGGAGGTGCACCTCTCGCAAACCGCCTTGATCTTATCGCCCGACGTCTTGGCATACGCCAGCCCATCAGGCGGCGCGGCGGTCGAGTGGGCGTACTTGGCCACGATCTGCTCATTGTAGAGCTGGGCAGCGCGGTCGTACATCCACATCGAGAGCACACCCTAGAGCGGCGGCGGCGTCGGGGCCACCAAGCGCCGCTCCCGCGGCGGAGGAGAGTGTTCCGTCGTAGCGTGGCCGAGGCACGAGGTCCGAGCAGTCGGTCCAGATCCGCTTGGCCAAGCCACGCTCGTCGTCCGTCGACATGTACTCCGGCTCGGGCTGCGGAGATGCGGTGGAGAGATGGGACGGTGACGCCACTGGTGCGGCCGACCGTTGCTCATCGGTGAGCGGAAGCGGCGGGGGTGGCACGACGAGGGGCGCCGGCTGCGGCTGGTCAGACGGCGGTGGTAGCGGCGGCGGCGGCGGCAGCGGCTCGGCGTCCTCCGCCTCGTCCCCCGACGCGGCGGCAAGATAGCTGTCGTCGGGCGGCAATGCGTCGTCGTCTGAAGCCGCCGCCGCCTCCCCTCCCTCTGCCTGCCGCACCGCGGCATCCACTACTGCATCGGGGATCGCGTAGAGCTCCGCACTAATGGCCGCCGCGCTCGCAGCCGCCGCTGCAGTCGCAGCCGCCTCTGCCGCCTCTGCCGCCGAGTACCACAGCTGCGCGCCAGCGTTCCAACACGCCCCGCACATCCTCTGAAAGCGGCACCTGTCCCCGGGCTCGCGACTGGAGTCGAAGTAGGGCTGGCAGAGGGTCGGCGGGTCGTGTATCATCGACTGAGCGGCACACCTTGCGCCAATGCAAGGGAACCGGTGCTTTGTCGCCTGCAGCGCCGGCGCTCCATAGGGCACGCCGCGCCAGGTGTGCGGCACATATAGAGGAGCTGGGGTTGCTGACGACGTTGCCGCCGTGGAGGCCGATGGTCCGGCGCCCACGGCTTGGTTGGTAGCCATCCCCGCAACCTCGGACGGCGCGGAGGGCAAGCCCCCCGCGCCGTCCAGCACCCCCGTCGAACACGGGGGCTGAGCGTCGAACACGCGTCGAACACGCCCGTGTTCGACGGGTGGGGGGCAACCAGTTCCGGCGCTCCCCGGGGCTCTGCTCCAAGAGACCTCGAGAGAGCGTGCGTGTGCCTCTATCTACTCGCCAGGGGGTGTCGGGCCGGGGCGGGTAGAAGAAAGAAAAACCCCGTCCGGGAGAAACGACATGTATTGGCGGCACATGTGACATGATTGGAGTGGGAGTCAGAAGAATGGTTCTTAAGCGTGAGAGCTCGACAAACTGGGAGAGAGATTTTTGTCGATTGTCGTTGTTTTGCAAACTGGAGGCCCCGAGATAAAAATAAATAAACAAAGAGAATAAATATAACCGTCAAACTCTGAGACGAGATGGGATTTAGCGACATGTGTCCCCGCCCTGCACGATCTTGGTGTGGAGGGATCGCCTGAGGGATAAATTCCTGCAAAGAAGAGCGGAGTTACGCCGAAAGCGGAAAGGTGAGAGAAGCCGCGTCCGTCGCGCGCGTCGGAGAGAGAGTTTTGTTCGTGTCGGCGAGTAGAGCATCTTGAGCACTTGAGCACTGGATAGGGTCGATTCCGCATGGTACGAGACCCCATGAACACCCCAGAGCCCAGTGCATGCCGTCCGCCACCTGGGCTGCCATCGGCATACACAAGGCGCAAGCTCACCGAACGGCGGGAGGTGTACGCGACCCCGAAGAAATCGGGCCGTGTCGTTCCCTCCGCTGGAGAGAGGTCCATGAGCGGTTCCCCGGGTTCCCCAGGACCTCCCTCTCCAGCTGCGACCGTTGGATCATACTTCATAGCACAAGACCAATGAGGAGTTGCTCATGCTACAAGAGGAGCTCGTTCAGCTGGATCCAGAGGGAGGTGTCGACTGTCGTCTCCTCAAACGGGATTAGACATTATGACATTGGAGCATCTGGCAAGCGCCAAGCGGGCCAGAAGCGGGCCGTCGCGCGGCGGGCGCGGTGTCTGCGATCGGCTATTTCTTTTCTTTTCTCGACTTTTTTTCCGTTTGCGAATGATCACAAATAAATAAATAAAACGGGCAAACTCTGAGACGAGATGGGATTTAGGGACATGTGTCCCCGCCCTGCACGATCTTGGTGTGAGGGATCTTCAATCCGTGTCCCCTCACCCCTCGTCACAACCGTCAACCCGACACGGAAGAGCGGCAAGAGTTGGGGCTGCGGCTACGGCTGCGGCTATGAGAGGGGCCGGGGTCGCGGGAGAGCCGCTGCGCCCGAATGATCACGGATTCACGGTATGCGCCGATTTATTTATTTATGCATCTCTCTTTGACTCTTTCGTCACTCTCTTTTCTCTGCAGTACTGCACTGCTCCCCACTGTGTGTTTGTAATTGCAACATGAGAACATCAAGAAACCAACAACCGCGGGAGGTGGAGCGAGGCGAGCAGTGCCGAGAGTCATCCTGCATGGGGCTGAGCCACGTGCACGACCCTCCACAGGTCCTCGGGCCTGGAGCCAAACGCGCACTCGCGCCTCTGCTTCCAGCCCGGCAGGGCCGTCGCACGCCGCCCTTCACGGCGACTGCGCCTCGGCCGCGTCCTCGAGGTCGCGCTTGATCGCCGGCGACCGCGCCGCGCTCGACGGCGGCCGAGCGATGCGAGGCGCGAGGCGGTCCGACCCGTCGGGGTTGGGCGCGCCGCCGCGAGACAGGACGAGTCGGACGCGCGGGTAGGCGCGCGGCGGCGCCATGCCCGCCTCGTCGAGCGCGTGCGCCTCGGCCGCCTCTGCGCGCGTCTTGTGGTGCTCTCCCCACGGCGTGACGTACCTCCAGTTGCCGTACTTTCGCGAGTTGAGGTAGGCCTCGCGGATGCGCCAGCCGGCGGCGAAGGCGCCAGGCCACAGCTTCTGGTCGACCATCGCCTGCGGCGGGAGGGGCGCGGGGAGGGAGGCCCTCAAACGACGCTCTGCCGCGGTGCGGGTGCTTCTCTCTCTCCGGCGGCTTCAGGGGCGCAGGGCGAGGGGCGAGGGCGAGGGGAGCCTCATCATACTCCATCAACTCCCCGCCCTCCGCCCCGTCGGCCCCGCACTCCCCGCCGCCCTGCGCCCGCAGCCCGCCCGAGGAGCCGCGCCGCAGCGAGGCGCCCCCGGCCGGGCGGGCAGCGCGCGGCAGCCCCGCCGCCGCACCCATCGGCCTGCCTTGCTCATCGAGCGGCGCCCACCGCTGCCGGCCTCGCTCGGCGCCGACGACGCGCCAAGTGCGGCCGTCGGGCCCGGCGCGCTCGGTGCCGACGCCGTAGTGTGCTGCCCTGCCGGGTGGCGGGGCGTAGACGAGGCTCGGCCCTAGGGTTAGGGTTAGGGTTAGCGTTAGGGTTAGACGAGGCTCGGCCCTGCGCAAGGAGGCAACCGCTCAAGGGGCGGGAGGGGGGCGAGGGAGGGGGGAGGGGCGAGGGAGGACACGGGGCGGGAGGGAGATGGTGGCGGGAGAGGGGGGTGCGCGCCTCGGGAGCGAGCCGAGTCGGCCTGCGGCGGCGGCTTTGGCGGCGCGTACGCGGGCGCGGCGAGGCGGGCGAGCTTGGTCGCGCGGGACTCGAGCGCGCTGCTGTAGCAGAGGGCCGGTGTCCCTGCCACAGTCCCCTCGCCTGCCACAGCCCCCTCGCCGCCGCACCCCGCCTCGCACGCCTCGAGCGCCGCCGCATGCGCTCTCCGCTCCTTCCCGCTGCGCCTGGCCCCGCCGCCGCCGCCGCCGCCGCCGCCGCCGCCGCCGCCGCCGCCGCCGCCGCCGCCGCCGCCGCCGCCGCCCGCCGCCGCCTCGGGAGGGCCTGCAGGCGGAGCTGGCTGAAGCGCCGCCGGGCCGAGCGAGCGGGGCGCGTGCGCCGCCCAGCCAGGCCCAGAGTGCCTCCCGCAGAGGAGGAAGCGGAGGTCGCCGCCGAAGTGGGCCACCGAGCCGAGCCGCAGCCCGGAGGCGAAGGCGCAGTGCGGGTGCAGCAGCGCGGAGCAGCCCGCCGCGCTGCACGGCACCAGCCCGCCCGGCGGAGCGCCGCCGCACAGCGCGCAGCCGGGCGGGGCGGGTCCGCAGCCCGGCGGGGAGGGGCCGAGGGCCTCGACGGCGGCGGCGGGCGGAGCCAGATCGCGTCCCGCCCCGAGGCCTCTCGCCCCTCGCGCGGAGGCTTGCTCCCGCCCACGCCCCGGCTGCTGCCGCCCCGGCTGCTGCCGCCCCGGCTGCTGCTGCCCCGGCTGCTGCCCCGGCTGCTGCCCCGGCTCGGCTTGCGGAGCGTCGCCGCACGACTGAATCGCGACGACGAGCGAGAGAGGGACGGCGCGCCCGTCGCCAGCGCCGTTGCCGTTTGCGACCGGTGCGACCTCCGGCAAGGCCGACGGTGTGGCGTTCAGCTTGCACAGCCCCGGGTGCCTATCCGGACGGCTGCAGCGCTCGCTCTTCGAGCAGCCGCGCCACTTGCCTCCGCCGGACACCTCGACCACCTTGCCGGCACCATCGCCGCCGCCGCTCGCGTCGCAGCGCTTCTCAAAGGGCTGCGCAGCAGACGCGGCCAGGGCCGCCTGCACACCATACGCAACCAGCGCGGAGCCACATGGGCTCTGCCTGAGCGAGACACCGCGAACAAAGCTCGCACACACGCCATGCACCCAGCCGCCGTCGACGGACCTGAGCAGCGCGCCTCCGCCAGATGCGCACAAGGCGCACACCACCGGCTCGCCGTTGGGCTGCACCTCCGTGCAAGCGCTGCACCGAAAGTGACCAGCCGCCGGCGCGTCCGCACACGAGCCGAGGTAGCAATCGATGTGGACGGTCACCCCGCATCCCGCGCAGGTGTGCAGCTGGGATGGATCAGACTCCGGCGCGGCGCAAACGGCGCAGATACCAGCTTGCGCCGTCATGAACGAGCACTACCGCCAACCGGCTGGCCCTGGTTCAGGCTGCAAAGCGGTAGGGGGTCCTAACAACCTATCTGTGAATGCCTCGCCGGGTTCGTCTCGCCACGAGCGCAACTCCTCTCGCGAGCCCGCCAGAGCATGTCCTGCTGGGGTCTCGGGCTGCTCCCACTCTGTCCTATACCGCTATAGCCCTCTCTCTCCCTCCTGGCTCCTGTGAGCTGTGTATGTCCTAACCGAGATACAGGAACCCCACCACGAGAAGTTTCGCCGCTGTACCGGCTTTGCGTTTCTCTTTACAAAATTCGCTACCTAAAGAGAAGAGTCAAGACGAAAGTGAGTGAGTGAGTGAGTGATTGAGAGAGAGAGAGAGAGAGAGAGAGAGAGAGAGAGAGAGAGAGTGAGTGAGTGAGTGAGTGAGAGAGAGAGAGAGAGAGAGAGAGAGAGAGAGAGAGAGAGAGAGAGAGAGAGAGAGAGAGAGAGAGAGAGAGAGAGAGAGAGAGAGAGAGAGAGAGAGAGAGAGAGAGTCGAGCAACATGCAGCAAAGGAAGTGCGGCAATGAGACCTCCACTGCCCCCCCCCCCCCCTCCGAGCTCCACGCGCTTAAACGCGCTCCCATCAGCGACCAACCATGCCCGCCCGCTCGCCAGACGGCGTCAGTCGATCCAGCAGGACGCACGCCGTGTACTCCTCCTCCTTTGCCACTGGGCTCTAGGGCCCCGCTGCCCCGGGAAAGGACTGGCTGAGCTTTGGCCACTCGCTCACAGCCGTCCAGCTGCTCATGTCGGCGAGGAGGTGAGCCTCGACGGACGAGAGCCCCTTGAGCGTGCCCGGCGTGGTGGGGAAGTACGGAAAATTGCCAGGGGTGTTGCACGCACCTCCCTCCGGCAGGACGGCGGTGATGGTCTCGGCAGGCACCCGATCGAGGAAGGACTGGGGCGCTTGGTTGTACACCACGGTGAAGGTGACGCGGCCGGCCGAGATGCCAAACCAGTCGTTGGGGAGCACCTCGATGTCCTCGAGCACTCCAATCAGTGGCTTCCCTGCCGCGAGGCAAGCCTCGAACTGGTCGAGCAGCTCCAGAAAGTGGTCGTGGTTGAAGACGTGGCACTGCGCGGCCGGATATCCGGTCGCGAGCTCGTCAAAGTCCTCTCCGACGAGCTTGACACCAAAGTACGACGAGACGCTATAGTCCATGCACGCCGCCCAGTACCTCTCGTCGCTCCACTCGGGAGGACACTCGCTGCGGGGGAGGAAGGGAGACGGCGTCGCCATGAGCGCAACCACGTGGGACATGCCTTGCTGCAAGAGCGCCATCGCGGCCAGATTGTCAAAGTTGCCCCCGTCGCCCCACTGGAGAGGCTCGACCCGCCCCGGGGAGCTCTCGATGTTGTAGATCGGCATCAAGTCGCCCACGACCGCGTTGACCATCTGCGACTTGCACTTGGCCATCCAGGACTGGTTGATGAGGTCGACGGGCGTCTGGAGGTCGGCCGATAAGAGCATGCTCCCTGTGGCGAGAGCATCCTCCACTGAGAAGCGCTGCCGAGAGCAGGGGAAGAGCTTCTCCCAGCACGTCTTGTGCAGCAGCTTGCTCGGCGGGACACTCTCAACGTGGCACGCCAAGAACTCAGTGTCGTCTGATTTGCTGCGGCACGCATCCGCCATGCTTCCGGGCATCACCTGCATAGCCCCACCGTCGTAGTTTGTGAAGACGGCCGAAGGCGTCACCATGTAGTTGGTGTAGGACGCGTTGTTGTGGGAACGCCGCGCCGCGAGCGGGTCGATGCCCACTGTGCTCCCTTCCCTCGAAGCCTCTCGGCAATCCATCTCGTGCTCGTAGACGGCCATCAGCGTGCCGCAGCCAAACAGGTGCTTCCTCGGCCCGTACATGGTCATATTGACGATGGGAGTCATACCGGCGGTGTATGGTGCCGGAAGGACAAAGTCCTTCGCCTTGGGCATGCTGCCGCAGCAGCTCTTTTTGCCTTTGCTTTCTGTGATGAGCCGCTCGACATCCTCGGGGCTCCCGGCCATCTCCTTGTTGTAAGGCACGCCAAACGGCGCGAGAAAGACATCGTAGATGCCGTGTTGCCACGACTGAGCCAGCGGCCCGCCGCCATTGGCGGCGCAAAGCAGGCCGTCCATTCCGTCGACGCAGCCGCCAAACATGCCGGTCGCAAGGTTGATGGCGAGCTTGGTCATCGAGGCTGTCACCATCGCGCCGGCGGGACGAGGCTGCATAGTCTTGACGGTGAGATCCTTCAGCTGGTACTTGAGCCGCTCCGTGGCGAGAAGCGTCTCCAGCGTCGAGGACTGGTTGAAGCAGAAGCAGCCAACGCACCAACCGCCGCCGCTCGAGCCGGAGAGGTAGAGGTGAACGCCATCCTTGGGCTCGAGGGCGCCGCACTGGTACAGACCGCGAAGGAAGCCGTGTCCATACGTGTAGGCGCGAATCCCACCTCCCGAGAAGGCCACTCCAACCTTGGTTTCCAACCCAGGGGCCGCCCGAGCTGCAAAATCAGCGCCTCTCGAGCGCGTTGAGCTCGGCTGCGGCGTTGGAGTCAGGCTGGGCGCGGCACAGCTGCGATTCGCGGTGCCTTCCTGTGTGCGTCTTGCTTGAAGCCATTTTGCGTTTGGCTTCTTATACCGCGGCGGCTCGCCACCCCCCATGTGTTCCTCCCGGGTGCTGTTGGCCGGAATGTCGCCGCCGCCGGTTTCGTAAAATCAAATTCGACTGGCTTCAACTGGCAACGGCAATTTTGGCTGGAGTAATAACGACCAGAATTGTGATCTGTGATCTCGGTGAGGGTCCGCCCGCGCAGGCGCACTAGCCACTACCGAGAGCGCGGACTGGCGCAGACTATACTTGTGTACAACATGACTTCACATGAAACATGCACATGAACATGCTCATGCACCTCGGCGAGAGTGGTGTTCAGAACGCCACTCGATGGAGGATGAACTGGGGAGATACAGACAGAGTCACTCACAACGATCTCTCTCGCTATCTAATAGATAGATACTATCTTTCCTCTCGCTCTCTTTCTCTCTCACAGCTCGACCTCTCTACGTACACACATCCGCGCGCGTGGCTTGCCAATCGGCATCACGGTGTAATCGGGGTCGCGCACCTGCTCACGGCTCTCGGTCGCCTCCCACCGCCGCTGGCCGGCCTCGGAGCAGAGCTCGACCGACAGACTGCAGCCCCAAGCCGCGTCCGACACGGCGGCTCCGCGATGCAGGACCGTCGAGAGGAAGAGAATGGCTGCGCCCTCGGCCCTCGTGACGTGCTCATAGTCTTCGGCGCGCGCATCACCAAAACGTCCCTCGACGAACTCGGTGGTGACCCGGCCCGGCGCCTTCTTCCAGATGATGTGCGCCAGGCCTTGCTCGGTCCAGTCTTGGTGCAGCTGCTGTGGCGAGGAGCCGGGAGGCGCAAGCACCCATCCCATGTTCCGAACGAAACCGCCCGACTCGCCGGGCCAAAGCACCTCTGACAGGTGCGGAGGGAGCGGAGCCGCCTCCACCACGCCGGCAGCCCGAGCGAAGGCTTTGTCCACAGAGACATAAAAGCGAGGACCCGAGGCCTCGTACGGCGGCAGCGGCGCCGTTGACGGGAGATTCGAGTCCCACACGCGAATGCCAAGCGGCGCTAGCCTCTCGCAAATGCGCTTGCAGGCCTCGTGTCCTTGCTCCCACCAGGCGTCGGGGTTCAGAGCTGAGTCCCACATTGAGCGAACGCTCTCGAGCTCCGCCAGGACTCTCTCGTGGTGCTCTGCGTGCGCCTGCTCGACAAAGTCGATGACGTCCCACCGCTTCCGCCTCTGGAGCGACACCTCAGCCCAGCCACGATTGTGCAGCGCCTCGTGGGACCTCTGTCGCCGCTGCTGCCGTCGCCACCGCCGCTCCATGTCCGACCGGCCGGCCTTAACCCCGCCAGAGAGGCCTCGAACTTCCGCCGGCGCAAACGACTTCTTGGCGGGCATGCAGTGGGCGCCCATCGACGCTACCCGACTGTGTGGCGACGGCGACGGCGCGACGTACGGCGAGACGTGGATGCGTAGCCACCAAGCGCAGAAGAAAAAGGTAGCCCGCTTATTCCCTAGAGGCTACCACACTGTCTCGGCGCGTAGACACTGCAGAGAAAATACAGGCGGAAGGATTTCTTCTTGCGCCTCCGCCCACGACGTAAGAATCTTTTACCACTTGCGCCCTGGCGAGGCACGTCGCGTTCCACCCTCTCCCGTCGCGCTGCCGAGAGGCGAGGGAGCGCAGCGCGCCGCGGCACAGCGTTCGCGCCGCCGCACGGCGGCCCTCAAAAGCCTCGATAAAAGTGCTGCTGCCGCCCTCGCTGCTGGTGGAACCCGCCTCCGAACGGGTTCCGTTGCTGCTGCTGCCGCGCGTTTGGGTCGTCCACGTCCTCGCCGCGGTCGTACCTCGCGCGGGTGTCCGCGTCACTCAGCACCTCGTGCGCGCGCGCAATCTTCTTGAACATGGCCTCGGCCTTGTCCTTGTCGTCGGGGTTCTTGTCCGGGTGCCTAACACAACGTGCCCGGGTAGTCGGCAGGTGCGCCGCCAGCCGGCTGCCGCAGCCGCGCCAAGTTGCGCGCGCCACTTTCTCGCGAGTTCGTGGTACTTTCGCTTGATGTCGCGGGCGGAGGCGCTGCGCGAGACCCCGAGCACCTGCGCCGTCCGTGGGGCGTGGGGCGTGGGGCGTGGGGGCGGGGGAGGCGGGACGGGGGAGGCGGCGCGGGGGAGGCGGCGCGGGGGAGGCGGGACGGGGGAGGCGGGACGGGGGAGGCGGCGCGGGGATGGATGGGGTGTGCAAGTCTGTGCGTATGCCGGTGGGCGTTCCTTGTAGTGGTCGACCTTCGACTTTCGCTTGATAGCGCGCTCGAGGGCGTCGACCTTCTGGTGTATGCGAGGGTTGCGCGGGTGCTGCCGCTGCGCCGTACGCAGCGCCTGCAGCGCCTTGTGATCGTCGCCGTTCATCACCTGCGGAGGTAGGCGGGAGGGGGGAGGGGCGGGCCGATGTCGCCAGAGGAGGGGCGGCGGGTTGGGTCGTGTGGCGGGTGCTGGCTCGAGGTGCTGGCTCGAGGTGCTGGCTCGAGGTGCTGGGCCGCACCAGCGCGTCCGTGTAGAGGAAGAGCGACTCGAGGTCGGCAGAGTTGGAGCGGTGGAGCACGCCGCACCAGTGCGCGGCCTCGGCACCCTTCTTGAGGCGCGCCTGGCAGCGGCAGAGCCCGAGCGCGAGTTGCGTCACCTGCAGAGCGGCTCCGGAAGGTCCCGGGAGGGGGCAGGCTCCAGGAAGGTTCCGAGAAGGGCCCCGCCGGCGGAGGCGAGTCGAACAGCTTGGCGGCGGCCGAGTACTTGTCGGCGGCGGCTGCCCACTGGCGGGCCTGCTCGAGCTGCTCCGCCTCGCCCAGCCCCTTGCCGAACTTCTTCAGCTTGCGGTGCAGCGCCTTTGCAGCTCCGTGCTCCGGGTCGGACCGCAGCACCGCGCCGACGTCGCGCTTGCAGTTGTCGACGTTGCCGAGGCCGAGGTAGGCGTGGGCGCGGAGGACGTAGCAGGCGTCGCGGTCGGCGCCCGACAGCAGCGCCGCGCGCAGCTGCTCGACGACCGCCTGGAAGCGGCGTGTCGGCAGCGTGTGAGTCGCCGCGAGCCTCACGAGACACTCGGGCGCACCGCCCCTCTCTCCCGGCACCTGGTGCTTCGACGCACCCGCAAACTCCTCGGCGGTCGCCACGTAGTAGGCGGCGACCATCGCCTCGCGCCGCTTGGCGTACCCGCCCGCGTCGCCGCCGGACGTCTCCCCTCCCCGGCCCTTCTCCTTGCGGAAGGTGGCTCGCGCCACGTCCGCGACGACAGAGTCCACCTGCCGCCAAAACTTGACGAGGTGCGCGCCGGCCGGCAGCGGCTGCGGCTCGGGGAGGTCGACGCTGAAGCCGCCGCACTGCTCCTTCCCGTCGCAGTACGCCCTCGCGTCCACCAGCGTGTACATGCCGCTGTGCAGGTGGCGGCCGGCGCCAGACACCGAGCCGGCGTGCAGCGAGTAGGCATCGTCTCGCAGGACCTCGGTCGGCTTCTGCGCGCCCTTCTGCGAGCCGCTGCTCGGGCCGCACTTGCCACACGAGGCGCGGCACGACGAGAGCATGTACGACGGGTTGTTGGTGCACTCGCCCTGAGTGAGAGGTGGAGGCGGGCGGCGGTGGCGAGGGTCGCAGGTGTGGTGGCGGCGAGTGCAGGTGGAGCGCTGAGAGCGGCGGCGGGATCGGAGCTGGCGGTGAGCGTGGGTTAGTGCGCGGCAAGTGCGTGGACGGCTCCGATGGCCAGCGGGGGCTGGAGCGCGCCTGCTTTGCCCAAGCGGCGCACTCGGCGTTGGTGTCGGCGCAGTCGGGCGAGGCCTCGCACCGTGCTCCCAGCAGCAGCAGCCAGCGTAGGCTGGTGGGAAGGACGATCCGCGGCCCGCGAGGTCTACTTTGTCGGCTCATGGAGGCAGCGGGAGGCAGCGGAGAAGGCAGCCAGACGGCCAAACCGCGCTGAGGTGGCGCCGCGAAAGGGGTTCCGGGCATGAAGAATTTTACCACAAAAGCCCGTGTGTGTGTGTGTGTGTGTTGTAGGTATGTTGTTGGCAAAGGAAGACACAGAGCTCATGTGTGATGCCTTTCGGGGCCCAGAGATAAAACTTCTGATGCCATGCGTGACCTAGTAGTGTCCCCAGCTATGTATGCCTATGGGCGTGTCCACGTTGGAGCCAGGTGTGGTGTGGACGCGAGAATAGCTCCGCCGTTCATGGAGGCAACCGATGCGAGTCGACTGGTGTGTGTCGTCGTGGTTTCGTATCAAGAATACTCACTCACTCACTCACATACAAGCCCCTCTCACAGCAGACTGGCTCGGACTGGCACTACAAAAGGCACGGTCATTAAGAAAACAGCGGCGTCGCCGCCGTTTCTAAGCCTTTTTTAACAAACAGCCCTCATCCACCCCGCGCCGTGGTTTCTTAGCTCCGGCCAGCACTCAAGCCAGCAGAGCCGGCAGGCCCGAAGGATTTTTAGGTAAGTTTAAGAGGTAAGCTGTAAGCTGCGCGGGCCCAGGCTGCGGTCCGCGAGGGCGATGCCAGAGTCTGCCGCCGAGTCGGCTCTCTGGATGACGGGAAGACGCACACACGCCTCCATCTACTCCACTCAGAACACCGCAGACTTGGAAAGTGACAAGTGCGCGCGCCGCCGCAGGCGAAGAGAAATTTTGAGCTGGGGCTCCCTTTCACACTCGTGCGTCCGCCCTTTTCTCGGGGCCGCGTCTGCGGCGCGCCGTGGTTTCTTTTATTCTTAGATTTTTGCGGAAATCGCTCGTGGTTTCCAGACTTGGGACCCGCCACCCGGCTGCCGGCACCCGGCTTGTGCCAACAACAAACCTAAAACCCGCGTGCGGACGTAGCTCGTAGCTGGCGGGAGCCGCGGGCGGCGCGGCGCCCTGCGCCCCTGCGCCCCTCCATGCGCTGGCTGCGTTGCGTATGGGGGGACCGCCTCACGAGGGCAACATGAGTGTTAGAGTTGTTGGTATTGCTAAAAATCTCTCTCAAATCTCTCTCTCTCTCTCTCTCTCTCTACACGAGGGAATCGAGAGAGAGATTTTAGAAGCCAACAAGAAATGTGTCACACACAGTGATTTGGGCTTGGCAGCTTGTCGACTACCAGCCGGAGCCGGAGTCGGAACCGTAGCCGAGATGGTCGTCGAGGGTGTCGAATATGTCATTCGCCTCGCTAGTAGAGCCGGTGCCGCATGAGTCTTGGTCGGAGGAGGAGTCGTCGGAGGAGCGGTCGGACCGCTCGCGCTTGTCGCGCCTGATGCGCTCTGCGAGGGGGCCGGGGTCGTGGTCGTCGTGCTCGAGCGTCGGGAAGACAGCGCGCCGTGCGACCTTCTCGGCCGTGCTGCCATCCCAGAGTAGAAGGTGTACCAGTCGCCGCATGGATAGAACCAAGCGTTGACCAACCTGTACCGTCCGAGAGCGGCCGCCTGAGCGGCCTGAGCGGCCTGAGCGGTCGCCTGAGCAGCCGCCTTTGCAGCCACCTCCTCGGCTGCAGCCTTCCGCGCCGCCGCCTCTGCGGCCGCTGCAGCGGCCACAGCCGCAGCTTTGGCGTCGCGGGCTTTCTTGGTCTTTCTTGCCTTCTTCTTGGTGCTCTTGGGGGGGTCATCAAGTGACCGCGGGCTGGCTCGCCAGAGGTCGTGCTCTGGACGACTGGGGCAGGGCGACTCACGGGAGGAGGAGGGGGACGAGGGCGGAGGCAGGCTCAGCTGCTCTCCGGTGACCTCGTGTTGGTGGCAGAACCTGATGGTTCCGTCGCAGCCTCGCACTGTGTCGTGAGGGTTGTAGAATTCGAGAGGGAATCGGGCCAGCACTTCCGGAAGAGAGAGAGGAAGACGGGTCGAGCGCAAACAGTAGATGAAATCGACGAAGTAGCCGCCGCCGCGCCGCCGCCCGCCCTCGTGGCCACCGTAGACGCGGCTGAGGAAGAGGTCGGCGGTGCGCCCGCTGGGCGGGCAGGCCTTGAAGAAGTTGTTCAGAGAAGTGCGAGTGATGAGGCCGCGTGCAGCAGCCTGGATCTTGGTGATGAGGATCGTGATGATGAAGGTGCCCTTGCGCAGCAGGATCCAGGAACCGCGCGCATCGCCCGCTGAACGCGGGTCGCTGCGGCGTCCCGTGCGAACCCCAGGCGGATGTTCCGCAGCGTGGAGGTCACAGCCGCGATGTCGTCATGCCCAGCAGCCACCCCAGCCTCGCCAAAGTCGCCAGCGAGGTTGGGCAAGCCCGGCAGCTCTGGCGAGCCATAACGCGGCCGGCAGCAGGCCCACCTGGGTTCGAACTGGGGACCAGACGATCACAACCGGGCGCTGACTCGACCGAGCCAGGCGAGGAGTGCTCTGCTGGCTCTGGTCGATTCGGTGGGGGGTGCCTCATAAAGCGTCGGCGAGAGTGAAAGTTTCTGCGCTCGGTCTCGTCGGCGTCATGGGCGCACTGGACGGCCGTCCGATAGTGGTGATGATGCCGGGCGCAGCCAAGGCTGGCCGCGCGGCGGCGCCGGACAAGGCGAGCGAAAGCGAAGTGACCCGCTGATAAGGAGGTGGCGGGATTCTTGGGAATCGATAGGAAGGAAAAGCAACAGGGCGGAGGGGAACCGCCTCACCGGGGCAGGTAGGAATCGATAGGAGGAAGATAGATAGAACAACGTTTCAAGATAGACCTACACGAGCGATGAAAAGAAAGATTGAGCGCCCTCGCAAAGGTTACAAAAGAAACAAGCCGCACTTCCCGCGTATAGTGCACCCCACTGTGCCATGTCCCTCGAGTCTGCGCCGCTCGACGCGGTGGACGACCGCGAGTCGATCCGGCTCGGCCGGCGGGCGGTCATTGTCGCCGCGGCCAGCGCCTCCGACATGGTCGTCAACTTTCCGCTCTGGATTGTCGCCAAGCGCGTCTCGGCCGGCCTCCCGCTCCCTCCGCGCGGCGAGCTCTACAAGGGCTCGGGCACGCTCTACCTGGCGATGGGCCCGATGACGGTGGTGGCAGACGGCTCGACCACCCTCTTCGAGCGCGCGCTCCTCGACCTCGGCGGCTTCTCCCAGAGGGCGGCGCTCGCCTGCGCCTCGATGGCGTCGGGCGTCGCCGGCGCGCTGCTCGTGGGCGCACAGGCAAACTGCCCGCCGCCGCTGCCCCGCCCAGTGAGCCGCCGCCGACCCCGCGTCTCTGCGCGCGGCAGGTCGAGGCGCTCGTGACCCGCGCGCACGCCCTCGGCGGCACGGTGGCGCAAGCGGCCGGCGACACGCTCCGCAGCGGCGGGCTGCGTGGCCTGCTGCTGCCGCACGGGCTGACGATGATCGCTGCGCGCGAGGTGCCCTACTGCGGCTGCCTCTTCTTCCTCTCCGGTCAGTTCCGCGCCCGCCTCCGCCCCTCCGCCCAGGAGCCGCCTCACAGCTGGCTGCGGCTCGCTGCGAGCAACTACGCCGCCGCCTTCTTCACCGCGCTGGTCGCGGGGCCGCTCTCGCATGCGCCGTCGGTGGTGGCCTCGTACCAGCAGGCGCACGCCGCCGGTCTCGGCTGCGCGGTGCGAGCCATCTACGAGGCGCGCGGCGGCATGCGCGGCTTCTTCCACGGCCTGCTGCCGAGGACGCTCTCTCTCTCGGGCTCGCTCTTCATCGTCCCCTTCACGATCGAGCTGCTGCAACCCCTCCTCGGCTGACGACGCCACCCCGGCTAGGAGCAGACGATTGTTTGTTTGCACTTGGTCTTGGTACTTGGAGCACTTGGAGAGTGGAGTGCAGAAACTGGCAGTTGGCAACCCGCACCTTTTGCGACTTCTCTTGTTGATTAGGGGGGGTAGTCGAAGAGGTATAGTAGTCGAAGGGGATCAGGAATTTTTTTGCTTCATCATCGATGCTGCGCCGTAACCGAATGTGCGACTTTGTGCGACTTGTGGTCAAACCCAGCAGCGAATAAGACAACGACGGGCACTCCAGCCCCGCGCGCCGTCTGTCGTCACCCCCTCTCGGATCGCGCGCACGCTGTCGCGCGCCGCCGGCCTGGATGCGCTTGGCCCTGGCGCTCGCCATCGGCACCTCAACCGCCTCCCAGCAAGGTGCGCATTCGACCCCGCTCCTCGTGGCGCCTCGGCGCCGCTGCGCTGGCTCTGCGCCCTGCGCAGACGCATGCCCAGCTCGCCTGGCCCAGCTCGATGCTGACGGCACTCTAATACTCACGTTGGTGTGGGTTGGCCAACCCGCTCAGCCACTCTCGCCGCTCCTGCGCGGCGTTCCCTTTACCTATGCCCGCCGCGGCGCGTGCACCCTTCGCATTCTCCTGACCTGTGCTGCCCCCTGCTGCAGACTTGCCGTGGCCGCCCTGGCAAGGCGGCGAGCCCGTGGCTGGGCTCAAGCTACCCGCCCTCCCAGCCTTCAAAGGCTCCTCCCCTGCGCGGGCCAAGCCTGGCTACTGCTTGGTCGCGCCCCAGACGGTGTGCGAGGCAGAGGCGTGTGAGGATGAAAGCTGCGCCGAGTCCGCCTACGAGGTTGGCGCAGAGCGCGTGATCGAGATGCCGCTCCGCGCAACGTGGGAGGAGGAGCTCGAGGCTTGCGCGGCGCAGTGCGCCGAGACCCCCGGCTGCGCTGTCTTCATGGCGGAGCGCGCGGCGCTCTGGTCGATTTGCGCCTTCTTCACCGAGTGCCACCCGCGGCTCGACGACGAGGTGATAGAGGCGCTCCAGACGAACAAGTACGAGTCCAATGTTTACGTGCCTAGTGCGTGCGCGGCGGAGATCACCACGGATTTGCCCGCAGCTGTCGAGCTGCCGCGCTATGACGCCCCTGACGAGCGGCGTAAGCTCCGAGGTATGCCTGGACCAGGTGGCTCTTCGCTGCCGTATGTGCCCCCGCCGTCGCCGGGGACCAGCATGCCGTACGTGCCGCCACCGTCGCCGGGGACCAGCGTCCCGTACGTGCCGCCGCCGTCGCCGACCCCCGCAACCAGCATCATCCCTTTCTCGCCGTCTCCCCACCCGCCGTCTCCTTTCCCGCCATGCCCCCCTCCGCCGCCCTACGGCTCGTACTCATCGATGATTCCCCCTCCCCCTCCGTGCCCCTCGCCCTCGCCGCGGGTGCTGTTGCCGCCGCCGCCTATCCCACCGCATCCTCCCGGTATGGCGCCCGAGCCGCCGCCGCCGCCGCCACCGCATCCACCCGGAATGGCGCCCGACCCGCCTCCATCGCCGCCGCCGCCTCCATCGCCGCCGCCGCCCACGCCGCCGCCAGGGCTTTGGGCGACTCGACTGGTTTTCTTCGCTGCACAAGAAACCCCCGAAGATTTCTACGAGAATCCCGGGGTTTCCGTTTACGAGGAGCGTCTGACTACTTTGATTCGACTCAAGACTGGGGTCACTCCCGAGAAGATCATCACGGAGATAACGCAGGCATCGGTCCGGGTGGACAGCCAGATCCTGCTTGACGACCAGGAGTCGTGTGACGCTGTCCATGCATGGTCCCCAAACGCCGCATCGCTGACGTCGGCACTCGAGATTCCTGTGGAGCGCGTGGTGCCCGAGAACCGCTTCCCCTGCGAGTTTGTGGTTGATCCTGACACGGTGCCGTCACCGCCGGGAGCGCCACCTCCCGGCGGCGATGACGACGAGAAGCTCCTCGCGCTTCTTGTCCTCCTCATCCTCCTGATCCCCATCCTGTTTTACATCTGGGTCAAGTGCAGGTACGGCGAACAATCGGGCGACTATTTTGCCTACAAGTTTAGCCACAACAATCCGTACATCGTCGTCCTCTACATGCCAAAGGAGCGTAGCGAGGACCTCAAGAACAAACTCTTCAAGAAGGACCCGCCCGTGCAGCCCTCCACCGGCGGCGGAACCCCTCCCATCAAGGAGGCCGACGAGGCCAAGGAGTGGCAGGCGGAGGCCCCAGGGCCGTCCCACGTCGACGCAAAGTCCCCACCCGAGACGTACTCCGAGGCTCCTGGCCCGTCCAATGCTCCCGGCCCCAGCGAGGCGCCGATCAGCGGCGTGAAGTCGATGTACAACGCCATGTTCGGGTCGAGCCCGCCAGCGGCGGCATGTGAGACGAAGGCGCCGATAGAGCGCATCTAGCCCCCAGACCATGGGCTGATTTGCGCTGCCACGACCCCGTCGGCTCGGTTGTACCAATGTATCTGGCGCGAGCCGGGTGCGCGCACGTCTCGCAGCGACGCCGCCGACGGTGCGATGCGTTTGCACTGGGCACTGCCCCGGGGCCTCCGGCTGCGCGCGATTCCGCGAATGTGCGCGTGTGTAGAGCTAGAGCGTGCACCGTAAAGCCGCGAGCGAGGCGGCGCGCTCTATTGACGTATGAGAGCTGCTGCGAGCGGTGTATGTGAGTGATGACAGAGTATCAATGAATGGTTTTGACAAGGCACAGCAGAGCGGCAAACCTGCCACATATCAGTACTAGAAAGTGTAGGTCGACCGTTTCGTTGAAGGTCCTTCGGCGGAGGAGAGCGCGGTGCCGGTCGACCTCGATGACAAGCCTTGGCGAGAGGAGTTGCTCGATGACAAGCCTTGGCGAGAGTTGGCCGCAGGGGTGCGGAGGAGCTGCGAGCCGTACTTTGCGCCCCCGCCGCGGCGGCCACCGCTGCCGCCGAGAGCCGCAAGGATGCGGGGCGAGACCTCGAGGCCCGCCTTCGAGAAGAGCTGCCGCACGCGGCCCATAGAGAAGAGGGAGCCGTCGCGTGACGGCGGCTCGTAGACGCGCGGCGCGCCGCCGCTGCGCGACACTCCGTGAAATGGCGACGCCTCGTCGTCCTCCTCGTCGGAGTCCACCCCGACGCTGCGACCGAAGCCGTGTCGCGCGGCAGGGGTGGCGGCAGGGGTGGCGGCTGGTGCTGCCGCCTTTCGTGTGCGGAAAGCGAGCGGGACAGGCGGCGTGGAAGAGGAGGGCTCCTGCGGCGAGCCCGCTGCTGGCGGAGGCGGGGCAAAGCGGGCGCCGCCCGGCGAGGCCGAAGGCGGGCGGGCAGCGGCAGCGGGTGGAACGGGCAGAGTGGGCGGGGTGGAAAGAGCGGCGTGAGAGGCCTCGCCGACGGCCGCGGGCTGTGCCGCGGGCTGTGCCGCGGGCTGTGCCGCGGGCTGTATCTGGCGCAGCGCGCGCAACGCATCGGCGAGGGCGGCGACCTGCTGCTGCGCCTGCTGCGCGCTCTCCTCCGCCTCGCGCTTGGCCGCGAGCGCAGCGCGGAGCTGCGCCGCGTCGCCGCCGCTCGGCTGGCTCTGGTGCGGGAGTTGCTGCGGCGGGAGTTGGGCGGCTCGTTCCCGCTCGCGCTGGAGCGAGGCAAGGAGCTCCTGGTGTCGCGCGGCCAAGCTCGCCTCCCGGCCCTGCGCGCGTGCGCGCTCGGCGCCGAGCTGCGCCTCCGCACGCGCCAGCTGCGCTGCAGCGGCAGCGCGACCCTCCTGTGCCGACCGCTGCTCGGCCGCCAAGGCGCGCCTCGCCTGGTCCAGAGACTGCTCCGCCAGGGCCTGCGTCTCCCACTGCTGCCTGCGCGCCTCGTTGAGCTCGCGGCTGCGCGCCGCCTCTATGCGCTCGGCACGCTCCCTCTGGCCGGCCGCCTCGCCACGCACATGGTCGAGCTCGGCCTGCAGGGCTGCGGCGTGCGAGACCTCCTCAGCCGAGCCCGCGCCGCCGCCGCCGGCCGCGCCGCCGCCGCCGGCGCGAGCGGCGGCGGCCGCGAGCCGCTGCTGCAGACCCCGCACAAGCTGCGCCTGCGCGCGATCGCGCCTGCGCGCCTCGGCCGCCTCAGCCTCGCTCGCGCGAGCGCGCGCCTCGGCCTCGCGCGCCTCCGCCTCGCGCGCGCGGCGCAGCTCGAGCAGCTGCGCCTCGCGCTCGCCCAGGCAGCGCGACACGTCGCTCAGCTCCGCCGTCGACCGCGCGAGCCGCTCTCGCTCGGCGGCGAGGGCCGACCGGTGCGCCTCCTGCGCGGCCGCCTCGCGCTCCGCGGCGGCGCTCGCCTCGGCCTGCGCCGCGCGCTGCGAGGCGGCCAGCGCACCGCGCAGCTCGAGCAGCTCGGCCCCGGCACTGCCGCCGGCTGAGCCCGCCGCCGCCGCCGCAGCATGCCACCGCTCCTCCCGCTGCGCCGCCGCGAGCTCGTCCCTCGCCCTGCGCGCTTGGTCTCGCTCGCTCTCGAGCTGCAGAGTCAGCGCTGCGACCTGCTCACGCGCATCGCCCGCGCCGGCCCGCGCACCCGACAGCTCCGCCTCAAGTGCGGCGAAGCGGTCGCGCGCCTCGTCACGGTCGCGCGCCGCGCACGCGCGCAGCTCGTCGAGAGCCCCGTCCGCCAAGCGCCTCTCCTGCGCGGGTCGGGGCAACCGCGGAGCGGCGGTGAGAGAGCTGGCCGAGGGCCAGCCGAGGCAGGCGCAGACGCGTCCGCGCCTCGTCCAGCTGCGACCGCAGCTCTACGAGCTGCTGGCTGAGCGCTTCGTCGGCAGAGCCCTCCGCCAGCTGCGCCTCGAGCCGGCCGCACACCTCGCGCTCTCGAGCAACCTCCGCCTGCGCCTGGCCGAGCCGCTCCTCGAGCGCCGACGTCGATGCCGCTGCCTCCGACGCCGCCTTCGCAGCGGCGGTGTGCGCCGCTGCCACCTCGTCGTCGCGCCCCCGAGCCGCTCGTTGCGCCTGTTCGAGCTGCTGCCGCGCCTCGCCGAGCTGCTGCCGCACCTCGTCGAGCTGCTCGGCGCTCGCCGCATCGGCGGCGGCGGACTCCTGCAACCCGCCCGCGCCACGTACGCCCGCTTGCTCACGCAGCGACTCGGCCTCCGCCTCCGCCTCTTCGCACCGCAGCAGCAGCTCCGCCCGCTCCGCCTCCCAACCGCCGCCCTGGCCGGCCGCGACCGCCTCCTCACGCGTCGTCAGCTCCTCCACTCTCGCCAGCAGCTCGTCGCACGCCGCAGCGTATGCGGCCCCGCGAGCGATGGCCTCCCGCGCCCCCTGCCGGGCGGCAGATGCACGGAGCCGCTCCATCGACAGCGCGAACGTCAGCCGCAGCCGCAATCTCGCGGCGCGGGAGGCCGCACGCCGCCGCTCCACCGCGAGCGTCTCCGCCGCCCCGGCCGCCTCTCGCTGCAGCTCGGCGCGAGTCTGCTCCGCCTCGTCGAGCGCCTTGCGCGCCGCAGCGCGGGACGAGCGCACACCGCTCTCCGCAGCCGCCTCGGCAGAGGCCGCCGCCCGCGCCGCCTCGCCTTTGGGGGGGGGGGGGGGAGGCAAACGCGAAGTCGGGACGGGAGGCGGGATGTGGCGCTCGCGCAGCTCTCGCCTGCGTCGCGGTCAGCGTCGAGCAGCGCAGACCGCAGCACCGTCAGGGTCGCAGTCCAGCGGCGCGCCTCTGCGCCGTGCGCCCGCTGCGCCTCCGAAGAGCGCTGCTCCGCCCTCCTCACCTCGCCGGACAGCGCGGACTCCGCCGCCCGGCCCTCCGCCACCGCTGCATCGAGCGCCGCTTGCGCCTCCGCCGCCGCGCCGCGAGCCCTCTCGAGCTCAGCGCCGCCGCTCGGCGCCGCCGCGCAACGGCTAGAGGCCGGCGGCGTCGCTGCGGCGCTCTCGCTCGCTGGCGCGACTGGCGGCGGCGCGGCGGCGCCGATGGCCCTCGCGCTGCCTGCGGCGAGCGACCTCGAAGCCGGGCTGCAGCTGCCCAGGACGCCCCCGCCCGCGGTGCCGTTGCGAGGAGGGGGGGCGGCCCCTCTCCCGCCCGAGGGGGGAGAGCGAGGGCGGGAAGGAGAAGCGTGCAGCGCCTGCAGCGCCTTCTCCGCCGCAGCCGCGCGAGCCACCGCGAGCCGCGTCGCCTCCCGCTCGCGCCACACCTCCGCCGCGTGCTCTCGCGCCGCGGAGCGCAGAGCCGCCTCCGCCGCTCCCCGCCTGCCCTCGGCCGCCCCTTCCCTCCCTTCCCTCCCCTCCCTCCCCTCCGCCTCGGTGCCGCCGGGCGAAGCGCCGTCGGGGTGGGAGGCGGCGCCATCGTCGCCGTCGGACGCGAGCGCCGCTTTGCGGGCGCCCGCGATCCGGCGCAGCTGCCACGAGGCGTCCGCCCACCCGCGCAGCAGGGCGGACCTAGGGTTAGGGATAGGGTTAGGGTTAGGGTTAGGGTTAGGGGTAGGTCCGCCCACCCGCGCAGCAGGGCGGACCGCTGCGCCGCCACAGACTCGAGCCGGACAGAGACGGCCGCGAGAGCCTCGCCCGGCGCGGCGGCCGCCGGAGCACCAGCGCCGCCGGTGGCCGCCGCCTGGCGCAGCGACTCGAGCTCCGCCGCCTGCTCGGCGCTCCGCGCAGCGAGGGAGGTCAGCTCGACCATCGCGGACTGCAGGCAGCGTTGCGTGTCGCGAAGCTGCTGCCGGACGCCCTCGTCGCCGCCCGTCCCCAGCAGGCTGCTTACCGCACCGCCGTAGCTCTTACGCGCGCCGCCCTCCAGCGTCGCTGCGCCCACATCCACGCTCACCCGCGCCGCGGCCAGCTCCGAGCGCAGCCGATGGCCCGCCTCTTGCTCGCGTGACAGCTTCTCCTGGGCGATGGCGAGAGCACCCCTCGCCTCGCTGAGCTCCACCTCGCCGACCTGCACGTGCGATCGCGCGAGCTCCTCCAGGCGGCACCGCAGCCCGTCCACGGCCTCGGAGCTCGCACCACCCTCGTAGCGCTCGGCTTGCGCGAGCAGCGCCTCTGCACTCCGCAGCCGCTGCCGCTCCTGGCGAAGCTCCGCCTTCGACTCCTCCTGAGCCTGCGCTAGCGCGGCGCGCAGCCTGGTCCGACCGGCCTCGGAACGGCGCAGCGCCTCCTCCAAAGAGCCGCGGGAGTCTGGTGGGAGTGGCGTGGTGAAAGAGCTTAGTGGGCAACAGCGTACTTCCGCGCGCTTTCTAAAGATATAAGGGCCTCGCGTCGTCCGCCGTTTATCCCGGTGACCCCCAGAACTCGCGGACCCGAGGAGTCTCGAGCTTCAGCTGGCGAATCATGCCGCTCTCGGCACCGCAGCGGCGCGAGCGCCGCGCCGCGCAGCGCGCTGCCGAGGCTCAGGACGCGGCTCGCGGGCAGCGCAACCGCCCGGCGCCGAGCCGGTGCTAGGCCGCCTCCGCTGCGCCTGCTTCCTTGCGCGCCGCTGGACGTCGGCCGAGAAGACCGCTTCCCTCTGGGGACCCGACTCCGCGAAGATCGCGCGCGCGTCGTGAGTGGCGGCGCGCGCGCGATCTCCGTTCCCGGGCACGCCGGTCGCAGTGGCATGGGCTCCCAGGCTCAAAAGCGCTCCCGTCAACAGCGAGCGAGCGCCGCCGCTGCTCCTCCTCCCGCCGCCGCTCACCGAGACTCGGTGCCGCCGTTGTCTCCGCCGCCGCCGCCGCCGCCGCCGCCGCCGCCGCCTCGCGCCTCGCCTCCGTCACCGCCGCCCTCCATCTCGCAGCGGCGCGTCCCTCTGATGGCGCGGGCGCCTCGCTCACCGGCGCCTCGCCGCCCCCCCCCCCCTTCTCGCGCCGCTCCGCTCGTGGCCGCCGCCTCCCCTGTCAATCCCGCCGCCTCCCCTGTCATCCCGCCGCCCGCACCACCGCCGCCACCGCCTCGCGCCTCGCCGCCGCCGCCACCGACCGCCCTCCCCTGCGCCGCTGGAGCGCGGTGCAGGGGGTGCCGAGCCCCCGCTGCGCAGCCTCACCGCAGTGCACTGCGCTCTCCGCGCCCCTGACGATTAGTGAGGAGGTGGTGTTGCACAGCATGGAGCTCGGCGAGCGTTTAGCGAGCCCCGCAGCTAGTCTTTTTATACTGCAGTCTTTTTCCGCCAATGGCAGTTAGCGGACGTCGCCGCGGCTCGTCTCTGCCGCGGCGGCTGCTGCGCGCACGTGGTGGCGCCGCTCTCTCGCGAGACGGCTGGCGACGCGGCTCGCGGCCGACGTACGCTGCGCTCGTCCGACCGCCCGCGGCGTGGCGTGCGCGGCGCTGCGCACCGCTCTGCGACCGCTTCTGCGCTGCTTTGAGTAAAGTCCACTGTATATGAGCTGCTGCCTCGCTGCTGCGAGTTGACATATCCGGTGATGTGCGAGCGTTCCGTTCGTGCGTCGACTGGCTCCCGGTTCGAGTCGCCGGGGGGGAGGGGGGGGCCTCCTCGGCCTCCTCGGCCTCCTCGGCCTCCTCGGCCTCCTCGGCCTCCTCGGCAGCCTCGGCTGCTTGGCGCACGCGGCGCGCGAGCCGCGCCGCGCTGCCTTTTTGCTCGCTGCCTCCGTTGTCGGCTCGGCCGTTCCGTCTCCTCGGTCTGGCTCGGGCCGTGGGCGTGCTGCTGCTGCTGCTCGGCACTGTTGTCGCCATTTTCAATATCTCTCTCTCTGCTCTCTCTCTCTCTGCTCTCTCTCTCTCTCTCTCTCTCTCTCTCTCTCTCTCTCTCTCTCTTTCCATGTCTATCAGACTCACTCTCGCGGGCGGTGTGGGCACAGTCTCTCTATTTCTCTCTTTCTCTCGGGGGTGTTTGTATCTCTCTCTCCGGCACCCTCTCTCTCTCTCTACTCTAGCTCTCTCTCTATATCGATTTGTTTGTTTTTCTCCCCCCCCCCCCTCCATCCCTCTCTCTCTCTCTCTCTCTCTCTCTCCCCCCCCCCCGGGCCAGCTGCACGCATGCTCGGTGACATCTCTTCACCTTCACACTGGTCGAGTCATAGGTGACGCGAGGGCGCTCACTTAATTGATTAATTCACTCATTAATTCCTTAATTGCGTACCGTATTCCGGGTAATCTTAATTATTAATCATCGGGCGGGGCGCGGCGCGGCGGCTGCGCGAGGCGGCGGCGCGGCGCGGCGGCGGGCGGGGCGGAGCGGGGCGGCGCGACCATCAGCAGACGCCCGGGCCTTTGGTCCCTGGAGCTCGGCAATGGTCGCGCCGCCCTCGACTCACGGGGCTGCCTTCCATCCGCCGCTGCTCAGGCCGGGGGAGGGGGGGAGACCTCCTGTTCCTCGCGGAACGGGAGCAGCCCCCTCCTTGCCCGGTGTGCGAAGCAGGGCGGTGGTCGTGCCATCTCCGCTTCAAAACGACCACGCCGCAATCGTCGCCGGCGCGCGACACGTTTCCGTTGGCGGGACTGTCCTGGTCGAGAGTGTGTGCCGCTGAGGCGGGACCACTCGGGGACAGTGCTGACGGGACGCGGCTCGAAGGGCGTGGCTCCGCAGCGCGGCTGGCACTCGTCGCAGAGGCCTCACCTTCGAAAAGTCGGGCATGGCTCCACCCGCAACTTTGTCGCTAACACGCGCGCACCGCCGAGCCTGCGGCGGGCGCGCTGCGGCCGCACGTCTACTTCGTCATAGTGCCACGACGTGCGGCCTAGATTTAGCCCACGCGCCTCAACTTGCATACACTCATACATTGGATTATCATCGCCTGTGAGTGCGAGATAGGGCTAGCCGTAGGCAGCTAGCCTCTGAGGAGGGCGTCCATAGACACCTCACTAGACCCCACACACGGTCTCGTCCGTGCCTCGCCGGCCGGTGAGATTGCTAGAGGTGGAGCAAACTGCTCTAGCCTCACACATCACTTCCTGTCGTCTGTTGTTTGAGTTGTGCCCTTGTTTGTGCCCTTGGCACCGTGGAGTGCTGGGGGGGGCGACAGGGAGGATGTGGCCCTGAGTTATGTGTACGCCGACTCAGGGTGTGTGGCAGCCAGCTGGCTGTGTGTCTTGTGAGCTTGTTTGTGTCTGTGTGTCGCTCGTGCGTGTCGTCATCATCTGTCTAGCGTCCACCCATACCGCGTTGGTGTCCAGTCCGAGCCTGGCTGTTCTTCACCTTACTACCTACCTACCTAGTCTTTTTATAATTCAAGCCTTGCAAAAGGCTAAATAAATAAATAAAACGGACACACCAAACAAGGGGTGGGAGAAGGACAGGGTCCCCACCTGCGCGAGCAGGATCTTGTAAGGACGATCAGGGACACAGGGGAACGGGAACGGGGAGCGCATCGCGACACGGAGGGGGGCTGGGGAGGGTTCACCGCAAAACGCTTTCCGGAAGCGGCACTTTGCTCCAGTTTCTCGTTCTCAGTCGAGCCCGTCCCCCCGCGGACGGTGGAGGCGATAAACCGATGTCCGTGGAAGCGTCCTCGGAATTTACCGCGAGCGCCGCACCGTGTCCTCCCAGCGGCCAACACAGCTCCCGCAGCAAGCGCACCAGGAGCTCGGGAGGCTGCAGCCCGAGCGCCAGGAGCATCGCTCACCGCCAAACCGACACAACCAAACCTCCCAACGCCGACCTCACCGCGCCCTGCAGCGAGCCGGCGCAGCGCAGTCCCGACTCGGTCCTGCACGACCTGAGTGGCGCTGCGTCGATCGAGCCGCTCGAACTCCCCGCGGCCGACGAGCGGGCCGCGCCGGCCTCTTCGGTGGACGGCGGCCACAGCCGCGCGCCGACCGAGGCGGAGCGGGCGTCCCTCGAGTGCACGGTCTGCTACTCGTGGCTGCAGCCTCCCTTCAAGCGGTGCAGCAACGAGCACCCGATCTGCGCCGCCTGCCGCCCCTCCTTTGAGAGCGAGGAGTGCCCCATCTGCCGCGTCTCCATCGAGCCCGGCGCGCTGCGCGACGACGAGCCCGCCGCCGCCCTCGCGGCGCAGATCAGCCTGCCCTGCGCAAACGGCTGCAACAGCGCGGTGCCCTACCTGAGCCTGCGCGAGCACGAGGTCCGCTCCTGCCGGCTGGCGCCACTCCTCTGCCCCTTCCGCGAGGCCGTGCAGCTCGGGCCTGCCGGCTGGTCGACGGGCGGGCGGTGCGACTGCCGCGGCCTCGACCTCGGCGACGCGGACGGTCCGCCGGCCGGAGGAGGGAGGGGAGGGGAGGCGCCTTAACCCCGTCCGGAAGCGCGGCTGTAGGGCTGGCGGCCCACCTGCGGGAGGCGCACGGCGTGGAGGCGCAGCCGCTCGACCAGCTGAGCCGCGTCACGGCGGAGCGCGTGGTCGAGGTCGAGCGGACGGGCACGTGGACCCTATCGCTGCCGACGGCGGGTCTCTTCGCGACTCCGGCGGGCCGATGTCCGCGCGGAGAGGTTGTCCGAGAGGAGCGCGAGCTCACCCGAGAGAGGCCGAGGCGTAGGCGCCTTTTGCAGAGTGGGGTCAGCCCGCCGCCTTCCGCTGGCCGGCGAGAGGCTTCTGGAGCCAGCAGGACGGGCAGAGGAGCCTGCTCGGAGCCTCCTCGGAGCCTTCCCTAGGCGAGGCTGCTCACCCGGCAGGACGGCAAGACGTTCCTCGTCCAGTGCCTCGCCGCGCGGGCGTCGGGCGTGTCGGTGCTCGTGCTCGGCCTCTTCTACCCGAGATTACCCGAGAGTACCCGAGAGTACGCGAGAGTACCCGAGAGTAGGTGCTCGTGCTCGGCCTCTCGCCCGGCGCCGAGGGGATGCAGGTGGAGGTGCAGGTGCAGGGCCAGCAGGGCCAGCCGCCGCCCTACTTTTGGACGTCGCGCGTGCTCGGCGCCGACGCGATGCGGCCGGGCGTCGGCGCGGAGGAGGAGGCGCGGCTGCTGCGCCGCTGCGTCGCTTTCCCCGAGGCGGCGCTCGAGTTTTGCGCCGGCGCGGATGGGCGCCTGACGCTAGTGGTGAGTGTTCGCGGCGAGGAGGAGGAGGACTCGGAGGAGGAGATGTTCGACGACGAGACGTTCGAGTTCATCCTGATGGACGGCGGGGACGGCGGGGAGGAAGAGGGCGGAGAGGAGGGCGGAGAGGAGGGCGGCTCGGGCGAGTAGCTCGCGAGCGCGGGACGTGCTCAACGCCCGAGCGCACACCCGAAAGGGAGAGAGAGAGAGAGAGAGAGAGAGAGAGAGAGAGAGAGAGAGAGAGAGAGAGAGAGAGAGAGAGAGAGAGAGAGAGGGCGGGAGAGCATGCGCACTCTGTTCTCGTGGGACGTGTGGGGCACGGCCATGCTTGGGCACGGCCTCCACTGTCTGCACCTTACTGCACAGACTGGACTGAGCTCTGAGGATAGCGGACAGAGGAGACTCTCTGACTCGTGTAAACATTGGACGATGCGGTGCTCTATCTGCGGCGTGCGGGGTGGTGTGGTGTGGGACGGTGGGTGTGCATTTGGGTTACGCTTTCTTGGGACGGACGTTAAGAGCCTTCTGCCGTTTTCTTGGGACGGACGTTCTAGAGCCTAGAGCCTTCTGCCTCACCGAGCCTCGCTTCAGAGCGACAGCGAGGGCTAGAGAGACTCCTCAGGCGCTCGGCCAGATCTGTCACATCTCTCCTGAGTGTCCCGCTCAAAGATGCGCAGGCTGCCGCCGCCACGCGTCACGCGCAAGCGGTCATCGAGGTAGACCACGTCGAACGTGCCCTCCTCGCTCACGCCGCCGAAGCCGGGCAATGACAGCACTGGCAACGACACAATCTCCTCGGGCGCCTCGCCCCCTCGCCGATTCGCATCGAGGGTGACGCGATCGAACACGATGCCGAGACGCAGCGGCGACTCGCTCAGGACCATCGCTCTGTGCTGCAGATTCAGCGAAGACTGGCCGCCAACCGGAAGCAGCGTCCAGGCAGAGAGGATGCCGCCCGCCGGCCGCGCGATCGTGATGACGTTGTCGCACCGCAACCCGCTCGCTGACCTCGACAGCCGCTGGCGAACCGACACCGCACCCAGTGCGTCGGGCTGCGCGTCCATCAGGGGAAGCACCGGCCCTCCGGTCCGCCCGTTGGTCGTGGTTATGAGCCGCCAGTTACCACAAAGCATCTCAGCATCGCGCGGCCACGCTGGCGGCGAGTACGCAGGTGCGGCGGTGGCCTCGGCGACGAGCGAATCGAGCGTGCGCGCGTCCTGCGCCGACGTGGCGAAGAGTGGCGTCCCGCGGGCAGTAGCGAGGAGCCGTGCAGTGTCGACTGTCGCAGCAAACGACAGATGTGAGAGCAGAGCCATCGCTGGGTTTGGACTTTCTGGTATGGTATGGTATGGCGTGGAGACCATACCCCCCCGCCTGCTGACAGACCCAGCCTCCCGGAGACCGGGGATGGGCGGTCAGGACCATACCCCCCCACCCTTTGGGCCACGAGGGTACCTACCATACCATACCCCGGAAAAAGTTGGAACCCTGGGGTCAGGCCGGTGAGAAAAGCAGCAACAAAAAGAATGCACGAAGAACGTGGCCCGCGTCGCTGGCGCGAGTGGCCTAGTCCACAAGACTGGCCTCTGGAGCTCACGCCTGCCCTCTCGTCATCCATCGAGCACTTAGTGCGAATATCCAGACCTGTCTGTGTCTCCTGTGTACCCTCTCTCGCACAGAGATGTGTTTTTGCCGCCTGAACATGGGCTGCAAGGCGCGCGGGCAGCCCAGCCAACCCTTCTCCCACAAGACCGGCCACGGCTACGTCAAGGCGCATCGCGGTTTCTACCACGACGCGATCTTTGTCAAGCGCAACAACTTCAACCTGCTGCTCCACGAGACGTTCGTTCGGCGGCGGCTTCTCGCCCACCGCCGTTCTCAAGCTGCGCCGCCTCGCGCGCAAAGTCGCGCGCGGCAGCGTTGACCGCACGGCCTACTCGCCAAAGTACTCGCTCTCTTTTATGTCCCACCATGCAGAGCGCATCTCTCTCTCTGTTGTGCGAGGCGTGAACCGCGCCATTCGCTCTCACCTGGCAACCCTGTCTGCACGTCTCGCGCGCGCGTGAACAGGGCTCCAGGCCCCAAATTACGTGTGAGTGTTAGAGTTGTTTGGTATTGCTAAAAATCTCTCTCATGTGGACGAGTGAAGAATGGCCACAAAGCAAAAATAAACGGCGTTGCCGGGGGCCCAAGGAAGCGCGAGGGAAAAATTCCGCCGCTGAGGGCGCTCGTGCGGCAATAGCCGGGTGGAGGGGGGAGCGTGCCGGACCGGGGCGTCGTCGCGCCGTCCGATGGTCTGCTGCCCCGCGCAGCAACCGTCGGGCGACGACCCGGGGGCCAAAAACCCGGCGACGACGGCGCTCTGGATGGGGCGTGACCTCCTGCCTCCAACCTCCTTCCTTTTTGAGCAGGTGTGACGCCGCGCGAGCGACGCTCCGAGATCGCCCGAGATAGCGCGGCGCGGCCCCGAGATCGCCCGAGATAGCGCGAGATCGCCCGAGATCGCGCGGCGCGGCCCGGGGCGAGGTGGGTGGGTTGGGAGCGAGGGGGCGGAAGTGACCAGTGCGGTAGATGGTAAGCTCGAGGCGCGTGAGCCGGACTTGGGAGCCGGACCACCCCCTCTTGTTATCTGCGTTGTTGAGCCAGGACTCAACATACTCGGGCTGCCTCATCCCAAACTGTCACTCCCCTTCAGTCTTGGAGAACCCTGTCCACGCCTGAGGATTCTGCACTAGCGATTCTGCCACCCAAGACAGGAATTCTGTATGCGGAGGCTCGAGAGGTATTCGTGTCCGTTTCTTCTGATTCTCACTCTCCTTTTCCGGTTCTGCCTACTCGATCTGATTCTGCCCGTCCCCTTTCCACGCACTCAGCCTCCGGGCAGGATTCCTCACCCAGCTTCCGTTTCTGCCTAATCGATCTGATTCTGTCCGTCCGATTCTCGCCTTATCAGATTCTGTCGCGCGGTTGCGGTTTCTGCCTCCGGATGCCGGAAAGGGAATTTCCGCGCTCCCCGCCGATTTCTTGGCAACCCGGCCGGACTCTCGTTTCCTGATTCCTGTTTTTGCCCCTCGAGGGGCGGTAGCCCGGCCGCCGGCCATCTGGGCATGCTCACTCAACCAATCACGCTCATGTGTACGCGCCGTATCCTCCGCGCCACCCACTTTGCCATCGAAGTGCGCTCCGCGCTCCGCACAGTACAGTCACTTTTGAACGGCGGCTCATCACACGTGCGTCAGAGATCTCATGGGCGGTGGCATGGTGGAGCCAGAGCAGTGCGCGGCCGATCTTAATTCTGGGCAGGCGGTCTCCCATTCCCGCGGGCGCTTGGTGCCGGGGTTTGAACGGCATGCTGGCGTCAGATGCAGCTTGGCGCCGGCCTGCGGCGGCCCCGCAAGGACGTTGGTGCTGCTCAGCGATGCTCACAGCGGCACGCCTGCTCTTTTGCTGTGGGGAGTGCTGTCTGATTGGGTCTCCAAGCCCGCGGGCTCGCTGTGAATGCACCCGCCAGCTAGGCAGCTCCGCGGCGGTGTGGGTGTAGAACGGGTAGGCTGCTGTCTCGTGTCTCGGTGCTCGTACTAAGTCAATGGGAGGAGTGCTTCAATTTCTTCTTCTTATACGCCCAGCTCAAAAGCACACACGCATCACGACGCCTAGACAGGCGAGACGCGGCGACAGCCGCGGCGAGCTCGTTTTAGAAGCGAGCCGCTCGCGGCGAGCAGTTTTAGAAAAAGGGAAAAGGGGGAGGGTTAGTTTGAACCCGAGCCGAGCTTCGCTCGGCTCCCCCCCGCGCGGGAGCGCCCCCCCCCCCCCCTCTCCTCGGGGGGGCGGGCAGAGCCCGCACCACACACTGCGCCTTTGCGGACGCCGGACCGAGGCCTAAGCGCTGAGTGCGCTGACGTGAGGCTGGAGCGCCAGAGAGACCCGCGCCTGAGCATGCTGCCGCGGGCGAAGTTTGAGTGAGCTGTGTGAAGCCCCGCGCACACGCAATATCGGCTCAGGAGTTCGGAGAGTCAGGCCAACATAGGATCCCGCCGAAATGCGTAACTCCGAGGAATCAGGAATCAGGAATCAGGAATCAGGAATCAGAATCCCGGTCAAAATGTTGGAATCAGGAATCAGGAATCAGGAATCAGGAATCAGAATCCCGGTCAAAATGTGGGCGATCCGACAAATCAGGAATCAGGAATCAGGAATCAAATGGAGCATCAAGAATAGGAAGAGAGACAGGAGAATCGGGAGGGGGGAGCAGAATCAGGAATTGGCTCTGGCTGCCCTAGAGAATCGGAAAGGAAGCGGAGGAAACGAGAATGGAGAATCAGGAAGCTGAAAGCGGGGCCAAGATGGGAGAGTCTGGGGAGAGAATCAGAATATCTGAGCAGAAGAGGAACCTGGGAAGGGGAATCTAGTGAGAGGTAGAATAGCAAGAATCCTTGTGTAGTAGAGCAGAATAGGAAAGGCAGAATCCTTAGGCGCGGACAGACTTCTCCATTACTCCTCCCCTTTCTCCCGGCCGGGGTGGGTCGCGCGCGGGGGCGGCGGGTGTGCGGCGAGTGTGCGGGATGTCTGTGGGCCCGAGAGCGATATGCCATGTCCGCCTTGCGTTGTTTCATAACACCGAAGGCTAAGCTCAAAAATAAACTACGCCACGTGTCGCTGCAGCGCCACCTCCATCTCGACGATGCCCTCCAAGCCGCCGGGCAGCAAGCCGCGGCCGCAGGGCACCAAGCGCGCCAAGTCGCAGAGCCCTGCGCTGGCGCTGGGCGGCGCGGCCGCCGCCGTCGCCGCCGTTGCGTACTACGTCCTCACAATGTCCAAGGCAGTGTCACTCTCGCCCAGCGACAGCGCGGCGCTCAAGCAGGTCTTCTTCTCGGGCGAGCCGTGGCTGGTCGAGTGCGGCCACTCGGTCAGCCCGGCCTTCTACGATGCGGAGGGCTCGCTGCCCAAGGATTTGCGCGTCGGCCTCCTGGACTGCGCCGCGGCGCTGCCGTCGGGAAAAACGACGATCCAGCGCTTCAAGCTCTCTCCGCCAAAGCGCGGCCCGACGGTCCTGCTCTTCGCCAACGCGGACGCGAAGCCGGCCGTCGCCCCGGTGGACGCGGCGCGCACCGGCGTCGACCTCGCCAAGTGGGCGGCGCGCGTGAGCCAGCCGCGGGTCGTCTCTGTCGCGACGGTGCAGCTCTTCGAGGCGCACTGCACGAAGCGCAAGTGGTGCGCCCTCGCGCTCGGGGCGGGTGCGCGCCTCCCGTCCGAGGAGCGAGCGGCGCTCACCAAGCTTGCGGCCGCCGCTCGCGCCGTCCGCTTCATCGCTGTCGACGGCAGCAAGCTGCTCCTGCCCGACGAGCTGATGCGCGTGGGTGGGGGCGTGCCAGCGCCGAGCCGCACGGCGTCGCCGCTGCTGCTGCTCAAGCAGGCGGGCGGCGAGGTCAAGGAGGGGGCGGAGGAGGGGGCGGGCACGCGGCGGTACGCGGCCAAGCTCCTCCCCGACGGCCTCTCGGACGCGGGAGCCGTCGAGCTTGCGATCGGCGCGGCGATGGCAGGCGCGGCTCAAGGGGCAGCAGGGAGGGAGGCGGGGGAGGGAGGCGGGGGAGGGGGGCGGGGGAGGGGGGCGGGGGAGGGAGGCGGGGGAGGGAGGCGGGGGAGGGAGGCGGGGAGGGAGGCGGGGAGGCGGGGGAGGGAGGCGGGGGAGGGGAGGGCGGCTTGCGTGCGGTGCTGACCTCCGCCCTCGCCGCCCGGGGCGTCGGCAGGTGGCGAGCTGCCTGAAGGGTTCGAGCTTCTGTCCGAGACTCCGACAGCGGAGCAGCGGCTGCCGCCTCCTCCTCCGCCGCGGCAGGAGCGGGAGGAGAAGAGCGAGGAGGCGACGAGGACTCTGAGCGACGCCGAGCTCAAGGCGCTGCGTGCAGAGCGCGAGGCGGAGCGGCAGCGGCTCGAGGAGGTGAGTGCTGCGCTGAGGCGGCGGAGAGGGGAGGCGGAGGGGGGGAGAGGGCGAGGGGGGGGTGACGCCTCTGCCTCTTGCATCGCCGCCCCTGCCAACCCCGACCGTACTGCGCAGGAGCGGCTGGAGCAGCGGCGCGCGCAGATGCAGGAGGAGGAGGCGATGGCGGGCAACTTGGTCGAGGAGGTGGAGGAGGAGGGCGAGGCGGAGGAGGAGGCAGACGAGGCGGAGGAGGAGGTCGAGGTCGAGGAGTTCGAGTGACCGAGCCGCGAAGTCGGCAGCGTACGACAGCAGGACCCGGAGGCCACGGGACGCACTGACATTCGCGGTCTTCACATATTCGCGCCATGCCGCCGGATGCTGAGCGACGGACGACGAGCCGAAACAGACCTGTGGAGCCAGAACGCGGTAGTTTGCTCCCATTGGAGGGTGCGGAGAATTTCGCAACCCGGGTTTGCATTTTTGCACATGCATATTATTTTTATGCATATTATTTTGGGCCGCAAAGGCCAAAGCCCGGCTGGGGCCTGGGCTGAAAAACGTGAAAGCAGAAAAGGTGAAAGGCGCTTGCCGCAAAGCCCTCTTTAGCTCTTTATTTTTACACATTTTAGAAAGTCAAAGTGGGCGAAATAGAGAGAATGGGTGAGTACACGTACAACAACATTGAACGTACATATCTGCAGTCCTATCGACGGGGCCCCGGGGAGGTGGATATCCATATGGCGCGGAAATGGGAGCTCGGCGCAGCGCTGCGCCTGTGCCATGTCGTCGGCATGTGGCCTGTGCCGTCGCGCCCTTCGTCTCTTCACTCTTCGCGCGCCCATCCCCGCGAGTGGCCGTGCCCCGAGAGAACTGGCAAAGCGCGAGCCGCGCGGGTGGGCACGAACGACGACGGAGGAGCGTCCGCGGAGACTCTGACGAGGGCGTGCGATGGACAGGAGAGCTATGTAGGCGGAGCATGCCAAGCTACTCGCACTTCGTCCGTCTGGCCGCGTCCCGAGCCACGACGATCACGGCGGCGAGGATGACGGCCGCGCCGGCGGCGGCGCGGCCGGTCAGGCGTTCACCGAGGAGGAGGGCACCGAACAGGGCGGACCTGCGAGGAGTCGGGTGGCGCTGAGGCAGCGGGAAGGGCTCTGACTGCGGAGGAGGAAAGGAGGCGGCGGGGAGTGTGGGGAGGCCGCGCCACAGCGGCTGCGCGGCGTAGGCGACCGCCGCGGTGCTCGCGGCGACGTCTCGCTGGGCGAGCGTCTGCGCCACCTATCAATGAAGGACAGGCACCGGAGTGGTCCATAAAACTAAACATCTCGCTGGGCGGACGAGGTCTGCGGCGGGCCACCGTCGGCAGCGCGGTGGTGACGAGGCCAGTCCACATCGCGAGGGCGAGCACGGGGCCTGCGACGGCGCGAGGCCGGGCTGCGGCCGCCTGCGCGAAGGCGCGGAGCCCTTGCGCCTGCGCCGGCGAGCAGGCCGCCGCCGCCGCGAGAGCCGCGAGCGAGAGCAGCCCGCGCGCAGCCTCCTTGACGCGGGCGAGCTGCAGCGGAGGCAGGGCCGGCGCGAGCCGAGAGAGGCGCGAGACGTGCACGCTGCAGCAGAGGGCGGCCGCGCAGAGCAGGCCCTCGCCCCGCCACCGGACAGCCGCCGCCGCGCCGCCGCCGCCCGAGAGGACGAGCATCGCGACGCCGCACAGGGCGAGCAGGCAGCCGAGAGACTCGGCTCGGCTCGGAGCGCGACGCTGGAGCAGGCCGTCGACGAGTGGTGTGAAGACGGTGGTGAGCTGGATGAGGAAGGCGGCGCGGGAGGCAGGCACGGTGCGCAGGCCGAAGAGCTGGAAGCACGAGCCGAGGAAGAGGTAGCCGCCAAGCTCACAGCCGCCCGCGAGGAGGGCGCCTCGCGAGCCCGGCCTAGGAGGTCGAGGCGCGCTGGGCGAAAGGTCGCGCCGGTGGACGACCGTGGCGGCGGCGGCGACCGCAGTCGAGGAGACGAGGTAATTGATCAGCGTGAAGAGGAGCTCTGGAGGCGGCGTCGGAAGCGCGAAGAGGCATTTGACAGCGACGCCGTACGTTCCCATCGCCAGCGGCGCGAGAAGCAGCATCGCCAGCGGCATCGCGCGACGCGCCGGCGGTGGAGACGTGACGGCAGCGGTGAGGACAGCCGGAGCGTGCCGCACTGTAGCCGTAGGCCGTCGCATCGCCGCCGCCACCGCCGCCTCGGCGCAGTTGTGGCTGCCTGCTTGAGCCAGCGAGCGCCGGTCCTGCTCAGCGTTCCGTGGACCACTCAGCGTCAAGGAGGCGGCGGCGATGGCCAGGGCGAGAGGCATGGGGCGAGGACAACAGAGGGGGAGGCGTCGGAGATGGAGGAGCGAGAGGACGGGACAGGGCGCGAAAACGTTTTCTTTTTCAGAAAGCTCAAAACATGGCGTGAGAACCAATTTTATAAAATGAACTCGGGCGCACAGCAACCAACCACTCGTGTCCCTCTTCCTTGAACTAAGAAAGAAAGAAAACCTGCCGCCGCTATGTCCGCGGGGGCCAAGCCCTGGGAGCGCGCTGGCGTCCCCGCCGGCATCGGGCCGGGCTTCACGCCACGGTCGAGCGGCCCTCGGCCGAGCGACGACCACCCCAGCTCGGACGCCAACCGGACGCGCTCCGCCGAGCGAGCCGACGGGACCTCCGGCGGCGCGGTCAGCGGCAGCGCACCAGGTGAAGCTGCCACGAGCGCGCATGCGCCGGCCGGGTACGGCGGCGGCGAGCGCGGGTTTGGGGAGAGAGACGGTGGCAGGCTCGGCGGCGGGCACGGCGACGGATACACTCCCGGTTACCCGCCGCCGTACCCTCCGCACGTGCCACCGCACTCTCGAGGCGGGTACGGCAGTGGGGTTGGAGGAGGGTATGGAGGAGCGCACGGCGGCGGGTACGGCGGCGGGTACGGCGGCGGGTACGGCGGCGGGTACGGCGGCGGGTACGGCGGCGGGTACGGCGGCTATGGCGCGCGCCACGGCGCGGTGCCGTTTGGTCCATTCGGCGGCTTCTCTCGCGACCCGGACAAGGACCCGATGCCTCCCGGCCTGCGCCAGCTGGAGGACCTGCTCTTCTCGATCGGCCGGATCACGCAGATGCTGGAGATGAACTTCGAGGTGATGCAGCACTTCCTCGGCGCCGCCGGCTCGCTCGCCGAGCGGCTCGCCTCCATCTACGCCGACGCGCGGCGCGCCGGCGCAGTCGTGCGGCGGCAGTCCCTCGAGTTCGGAGAGAGCTCGTACACGGTGGTGCGGCGCGTGCGGAGGCACGTGTGCCAGCACCCCGTGCAGGTGGCGGGACTCCTCGCCTTCCTCCTCGGCCTGCTCTCGCGCTTCGCCCGCCGCCGTCGGCCAGCAGCCAGCCGAGGCTCCCTGCCCCTCGCGGGCGCCATCGCCACCGCCGCCGCGGCCGCCGGCGCGCAGGGCAGGTGAGGCCTGGCGGAGGAGGCGTGAGCTGTGTGTGCCGGTGTTTGTGTGTGGCAGGCGCAGACGGTGCTGAAGCTTGTGCTTCCCCCTCTCTTTCTGTCTTCGCATCCGGGGGGCTCGCTCTCGTCGCGCCGCTTTTGACGTGTCGCCGAGTTCTCTCTCGAGAGAGAGAGACCACGAGAGACGGGCACATCGCATCGTTTTTTTGCACCGCGCCGCCGCCGCGCCGCCGGTGCGCGGTGCGGGCGCGCGGTGCCGACAGGCCCCGCCGCGCGCCGGGGTCGCGGGCAAGCCGAAGCCCTCGAAAGCCCCAAGCCGCAAGCGTGGTCGGGCGCCCCTCTCGCGCCTTCCCTCCCTGTTCCCTCCTTCCCCTGGCCTGCAGAAGTCCCACCGCGGGCCCCGAGCGGCGGGCCCCGCGCCGCGCGTGCGCAGACCGGCAGAGCGACTCCTCAAAGTATACACTTTTTCTCGTCTGCGCGACGAGAGCGCGCGCTCGTCGGCGCCTCCGTGACACTCGTGACCAGCCCGTGACGTGCGGAGGCTCCGGAGACCGTGGGAGGAGAAGGTCCCAGTGAACTGTGAAGGTGCAGTGCATCCGCCATCCCTCCCGCGTCAAACTCAAAGACGCCGCGGGGCTCCGCCTCGCGGCTTTAGACCTCCCGAGTGATTCCCCGCGGCCGTGAACGAGTGCGGGCGTGGTATGGGCTGTGGCCTTGGCGGCGGCTTCGACGAGCTTGCTTTGTTGTCTTTTGGCCGGGACATCTCGTCGCTGAGTCATTGCCGGAGAGGCCACAGCCGCCATCACCTTGAGGCGATCAAGCATGCAACTGCACGCAAACCTTCTGTCGCGTACGCGGCAGTGCAGTATCCCAACAGCCATGCCAGAGAAAGTGCACCGATTTCCAACCGCCTGCTCCCAAAATCGCCCGTCGGGCTCTGCCGAGAGTGGCGGTCAGAGCATGTCGAGTGAAAGCTTGGAGTGAAAGTCGCTGCCGTCAACCGCCTTTTGGAACTCTTCGTAGCTAATGGCACCATCTCCATCCTGATCTGCCTCCTCGAGAACATTGTCCACGACCGTGTCCAGCTCATCTGGCTTCATGACCTGCCTCGAGCCACCGACTGGCGTGAGCGCGCGCAGCAGCCCCACCAAGTCGCCCCGCCCGAGGACGTTGTCATTGTCGAGGTCGTAGACCTTGAACGCGAACTTGAGCTTCGCCTCGCGCCGCTCGTCCGGCGCAAAAACGGCCAGGCTGAGAACAAAGTCTCGAAAGGACATGCGGTCGCTCGGCACCTGGTCCAATAGCACCTCCACCATGCGCGAGCTGAGTGGGTTGTGCTTCAGCTGGGGCAACTCGAGCGCCTGCTCGCGTGTGAGCCCGACACCATCGACGTCGAGCAGCTTGAACTCCCTCAGCAGCTTCTTGATTTCGCGCTCGGTGACTGAGCGGAGACGCAGCACACATGAGGTGAGTCGGCTACACACACCTCCGCTTTCGGTTACGTTTTCCGGCTGCGGGTCGGATGTGCACTGCGTCTAGCCATTTCGGGGCGGGGCAGGCGTGTGACTGTGGGGGCAAGGCGAGGAGGGCGCACATGCAGTGCGGACGGTGAGCTCGTCGATGACCTCGGGCTCGGGGGGCTGCGAGGTCGGCTTGAGCATCTCTCGTCGTTGCGGTTCAACCGGACGATGTTTGGCGTTGGCGAAAGAAAAAAGAGACGCCAGAAAAGAAAGAAAACAGGCAACCAAGGAGGGATGGATGGGAGGACGGCACGCCGCCACCACACAGGGATTTTAAGGAGAGGGGTGTGGCGCTGCATGCACATGTACATGTACATGTGCATGCGGCTGTCGCCCACCCTGCCCCTTGGTTTTGGCTTTTAGGGATGTTGTTGGCGAACCCTGCTCGTTCTCAGGGAGGGGCGTAGTCCCGTTCACACCCTCACTTAGGCATGAGCGCCCGAAACTTAAACGGCGGGCGCTTGACGAACCCGAGGGGGGGGACGGGGGCAGCATCCAGCAACGGCTGCGGCCCCGAGAGTCGAATCGACAACTCATACCGTCTAGTGCCGAACTTAAGGTAAGGTAGCTTGAGTTAGGGAGCTTTTTTCCTCTTACCGAACTCCTGTTCTAATGTACCTAACTCCTGCTACCCACCTCTCGGTCCCGCTGGACCGGCACACGGGCCACGCGGCCCGCACACCACTCTGAGGCATCGCTCCCTCCTACGCTACGACCTACGAGCACCTACGCTCGAGTACGAGTGCCTACGCTACAGATGCCCTACTCCTCCTCCTCCTCCTCCTCCCCCCCCCCCCCCCCCCTCCTCCTCCTCACTCGCCGCACCCTCGTCGTACCAGCGAGGGCCGAGGGGGCCCGTCGCCGGTACCAAAAAAGAAATCCCACGTACCTAACTGCTGCTACCCCGTACCCTAACTCAGTGCAAAGCACCTAACCTAACTCAAGCTACCTCACCTTAAGTTCGGCACTAGACGGTAGTTCGAACTGGCGACTCATTATGAAACTTGCTGAAATCGCCCTGTGTGGGGGCGGCAGCGGCGACCGCCCCGGGGGCGGCAGCGGTGACCGCCCCGGGGAATATGTTTAGCGACTCCCACCCCCAAGGAAGTTCTGATAGACATGTCCAGGACTCTGTGGCTGAAGCAGCGTGTGCGTCGAAGCCACAAGAGGGCTGGCTACGTCGGAGAATTGGGGGGGTGGGGGTTTCGCGTATTTTGTTTTTCCATGAACGGTTGATGAGACTGTGCAACGATCGCCGCAAGGGGCGTGAACGCACAAGTGCGTAATGACCGCAAGTGGTCGTGACCGCAAGGGGTGTGAAAGTAAATACTCCACTTATTCACAGATACCATACCAGAAAAGTACCCGAATCCAACTCCACGTGCCCAAGCGCACACCGGCCGGAGCGCCACCGGGGGGTGCCGCCCTCCCGTTCACCCTTCCCCGCGGTCGGCCTCGCTCGCCGCGCCAAGCCGCGGTCCGGTCGTCCGCCCGGCGGCCAAGGGCGGGGAGGGGGCCACCCGCGCTCGCGCAGAAACCAAGACACAGAGCTCACACAGGATCACAGCGGGAGGAAAGCGGCGAGTCGCAATTCCAGGGGTCGTTGTGGCGGGCCACCCTGTCCAAAAAGGCATGGATGCCGATCTGGGGTCTTTCGATTGGTTTTAGGTTTGATCAAGACACAGAGCTCACACAGAATCACGGAAAGCGGCGAGTGCCGAGTCGCAATTCCTGGGGACCTTGTGGCGGGCCACCCTGTCCAGAAAGGCATGATGGATGCCAATCTGGGGTCTCTCGATTGGTCGTCTGCCTCTTTCTACATGTACAACATGCACATGTTATCTCCCTTGGCAGTGGCCGCAGTCTCTCGCCGATTCTCGCTGCGACCTTCATGCCACCTCGCGGTCGTCCTACGTAAGAGACAACACAAACTCTCTCTCTCGTAAGAGAGACAAATGACACAAAAAATAAAAGAAAGAAAACGGACAACCCCAAGGGAGGGATGGGAGGACGGCACGCCGCCACCCACCACACAGCTCACAGGGATTTTAACCCTTTTACGTCCACATTTCGAGTGAGTGAAAACCAACTCCTGAGCACGGCGCCGCAGGCGCCTGTTGATAGGTCCAGGTGATAGCCCTGGATGGGCAATGCATTCGCCTACCTGGGCCTCAGATCGCCCGACCGCGTCCCGGTGCTCTGCGTTCGGATTTGTGACGCCGCCGCACCGCGCCGCGGCCGGGGGCCCGCCGGAGGACGAGGATGGCCGTGACGGACCGGGACGAGCTCTGGGAGGTTCAGTGTCAGTGAGTATATTGTAGAGACTGACCATGTGCACAATATATTGACTGAGAGCTAAGCCAGGGGAGGCGATGCCGGGGACGTACAGCAGCTTGATGGTGCTTCGCCGGCGTAGAAGCGGCCGCGGAGGGCTCCGGGTGCCTGAAAAAGACGGATTTACGTGGCTCGTGGGCTGTGGGAGATTTACTGTCGACCCAAACGACACTGTGCCGTGATCCTCTCATACAGGGCTAAATATTTATTTACCGAGCCGTTTTAAAGTTCCACCGCTACGACTGGAGATACGAGATTTGCTCACCATGAGCGTTATGGCGCGAAAGGGTTATAAGGACACAAAAAATGACGTAAGAAAAAAAACGGAAGATCTCGACTTAGGCGCCCCCAGCTTTGCGGCGTTGGGGCCAGCGGTTCTGCGCGATGGTTCCAGGCGGCGGTGGCACGGTCGCCACGCCCACCACTGAAGAGGAGAAGACGACGCCCTCCTCCCACTCCTCCGAGCAGCAGCCGCCTCCCGTGCCGCCTGAGACCGGTCCACCTTCGCTGGACAAAAAATGACGTAAGAAAAAAAAACGGAAGATCTCGACTTAGGCGCCCCCAGCTTTGCGGCGTTGGGGCCAGCGGTTCTGCGCGATGGTTCCAGGCGGCGGTGGCACGGTCGCCACGCCCACCACTGAAGAGGAGAAGACGACGCCCTCCTCCCACTCCTCCGAGCAGCAGCCGCCTCCCGTGCCGCCTGAGACCGGTCCACCTTCGCTGGCGGCGGACTCACAGGAGGGCAAACCTTGGGCACTCAAGCTGGGAGAGTACCTGCAGCGGCGCTCGAAGGGAGAGGTGACCGAGCCCGACGCGGACGCTGTGCCTTGGGCGGTACAGCTCGGCACATACCTTCGCGAGAAGCAGCCCGGCCCGTGGTCGCTGCTGGCCAACGAAAAGCCGCAGGACCCGTTGGTGCGCTGTCGCTCGGGGGCGTGTGGCTCTGTCGAAGAAGCGGCGAGCCCTCCGCAAACCCTTGTCCGCAGGCGCTGCGCCTCGGCAACTTCATCAACGAGACCCAGCCCATCAAAGTCTTCCACCAGGGCAGCGACGATGCTTCCGGCGAGCAGCCAAAGGAGCCAAAGGATCCGTTGGTACTCCGGCTCGGAAACTACCTGTCCGGCTCGAAGGAGGCGCCGACAAGCGCCGAGCCGCCACCTGTTGAGCCGCCACCCCCCTCTGCCGCAGCTAAGGAGGCCGTCCCTGTTCCGGCGGCAGCGCCCGCCCCGCCAGTGGTGCCGCCACCTGCAACCTCCCTAGCAACCTCCGAGCCCGCTGCGGCAACGCCTCCCGCGATCGCGTGAACTTTGTTTTTTATTTAGTGAGTAAGTGAGTAAGATCAAGTGATAAGAAAACACCCAGCACACACAGGCAGGCGCGATGTCGAGGTCGACAGGCCCCGCCCGGCGGCGGGCGTGCGCGGGGCGGCGCGCCGCCTCGCCCTCGGCCCTCGGGCCGTGCCGTGCCGGAGGCTAGGTGCCGGAGGTCGGCTGGGTACGTGCGCATGAATCCATGCTGCATGCATATCTCCGCACTCGCTCTCGCTCTCGAGGCGAGGCAAGCTCGAGACCGTCCCCCAGCACGATCCGGCCAGCAGCTCGCGCCTTGCTCACAATAGCGCCCGTAGCCCTCGGCCACACAGGGGCCTCAGAGCTCGACGATGGACTTTGGGTCCTTGCCCTCGAATGCAATCTCGTAGATGCGCGCGAAGAGCGGGAACTGGGCCTCGAGCTTCTTGTGCTTGAGCACCGTCATCACGTCCTTTGCTGTGATTGTGCCCTGCAGCTTCTGGCCGTTGAGCTTGCTCTTCTCGATGTCGTCCCACGTGCCCTCCCCCTTGGCGAACGCCTCGGCGCAAGCGCGGTTGCGGCCGCCGAAGCAGGTGGTGACCAGGTCGGCCAGGCCGCACGACTCCATGAAGGTGTCGTCCTGCGCGTGTGGGGCAGGGACGGGGCAGGGACGGGGCGGTCAGCCTCCCCCGCAGCAGCAGCCCCCCGAGGAGCCCCGCGAACCGGCGACGGGGCGCGGCGCTCTCCCTCCCCCGGGGCAGCCGCGCGCCTGGATCCCCTTGAAGAAGAGGCGCGCGAACTTGGCCGTCTCCTTGAGCCCGATCCGGATGATAGCCGCCTTTGTGTTTCCGCCATACCCGAGCCCGTCACAGAAGCCGGCGCCGAGCGCGACGACGTTCTTCAACGCGCCGCAGAGCTCGACGCCCGCCACGTCCTTGATCTTGCCTAGCGCACGCTCCACCAACGCCTCACGCAAGGCGCACAGCTAGCCTCCCCCCTCCTCCTCGGCACTCACCCACGCGGAACGTCGGGCAGTCAAACAGCTTTTGCCACACGGCGCCGGCGCCCTCCGTGGCGAATCCGACGGTCGACTCGCAAAACTCGTCGGCGGCGACCTGGCCGTGCCGGCAGGGGCGGGGGTCGGCCGGGCGGAAGCGGGGGGGAGGAGCGTGTGCGGGCGGAGCGCGGCGCCTCGTTGGCGACGTTAGCGCCCATCAGCACCGAGGTGTCCATGCCTCCCATCGAGTCCTTGATGATGCCGGAGATGAGGCGCGGGCCGCCCTCCTCGAACTCGATGCCCTTGATCAGCGAGATGGCCTTGCAGTCCGGGCCCAGCTCCGCCGTCTGCAGCGCGTCGAACTTGAGGAACTGGTGCGGCGTCACAAAGATGAGCAGCGTCGCGCCCTTGACCGCGCTCATGATGTCGGGGTCGGCGACGACGTTGTTGGTGAACGTCTTGCCCTTGAGGTACTTGACGTTCTCGTGCTTCTCGTTGATGATGTCGGTAAGGTTCTTGCCGTCCACCTGCTCCTGGTACACCCACATCCGCACCTCATCCTCAAAGTCGCCCAGCTCGAGCAGGTTCCGCCCGACAACCTTGGCGATTGCCGAGCCCCAGTTCCCCGAGCCGATGATGGCGACCTTCTCCTTCCTCTGCGCGGCCGACGCGGCGAGAGCCGTCAGCCGCCGTGGAGCGGGAGGTGGCTCCTCCTGCGGGCAGGGCTGAGCGCACCGCGCCGCCACGGAGCGAGAGGAGGCTGGTGGCGCCGGCGGTGCCGAGCAGCGAGGCGAGGAGCAGTGCACCTGCGAGTGGCGCAGAGCTCGCGTGCGATGCAGAGGCCTGCGCCGCAGGGGAGCAGTGGCGGAGCACCAGCGTGCATCGTATCGAAGGTGGACGAGGGTGCCAAGCCTATTTTATTTAATGAATTAAGAAATCACGGGATAAAAAGTGTTTGGTGACCGCGCGGGGCGGGCTACTCGAACTCCTCGTCGGGGCCGACCCACTCGGCCGCGTCGTCGAAGCTCACCTCGACGAGCGAGAAGTCGCCGGTAAGGCGCACCACCGCGCGCGCCTCCTTCGTGCGCCGCTCGTACAGCTGCCCGCGCCGCAGCTTGTGCTCGCCGGCGAGGATGAGCACGGGGGCGCCGCGCTGCTTCGGCAGCACCGTCTCGACGGCGGAGGTGGAGAGGCCCTCCACCAGCCGGCCGGGCGGGTCGTCCAACCGCAGCGAGAGCGTCTGCGCGCCGCTCACGTCCACGACGCTGCCCTTCTTGTTGTAGAGCGCGCCGCCCTCGAGCCGCTTGTCCACCACTCTCACGCGGATGTGCTCCCGCACCCACGGGCGCGGCGCGGGCTGGGCTCGCACCTCCTTGTGGTGGTGCTCCCTGCCCCGCTCCCCGTCCCTCTCCCTCTCCCTCTCCCTCTCCCTCTCCCTCTCCCTGTCCCTGTCCCTGTCCCTGTCCTTGTCCCTGTCCCTGTCCCTGTCCCTGTCCCTGTCCCTGTCCCTGTCCCTGTCCCTCTCTCGGTGCTGCTTCTCGTGCGCCTTGTGCGGCCCGCCGCCGTCGCCGCCGCCGC